CATGCCGTAACCAACTGAGCTACTCAAGAAGGACGAAGAACCAGCCTCTCTTTGCAAGGCTGAGAAGGCAGCAGTTTTGGCGACCGAATCCAGTGGGAGGGGAAAGGAGGAAGATAGTCTTTTTGGAAGAATAGCACAGAGGGAGAGTTTTCCTTAACACACACAAAAAAACCATATATTAGCAACAAGGCCAAATAAGCAATTAAGCAAATTCCCAGGATGGATAGTTTATCTGCTCAACGGCAGACAGTTAATTAACTAGATCGATGGCCAAGGCAGGTGCACGAGATACAAGAAAGGCAGGCCTGTTCCCCAAACCCCCATTTGAAAGGCCGTGGGGGTTGTGGGGAGATGGTGTCCCAGGGGCCAGGTTTTATCTAGAATCAGAGGGGAGATGGAAGACCCAAGAGTGACCTGGCAGGAAACCCCACCGTTGGCAAGGACCATTCCAACCCCACTGCTGGCAAGCCAATTTTTCATTTCTGGTGCCCTGACAGGCTAAAGTGAGATAGATGAGGCCCCTTATTCCCGAGGAGAGAAAAGGATGGAGATTGCCAGTTTGGGGTGTGGGCGGCAGCAATTCGCCAGCCACCCTGATCTAATAGTGCTGCTGCCTCCTGCCCCCCAAACATGCAAGCAGAGGCTCTTGCTTGGGAGACAGCGTGGCACAGTGGTTAGAGTATTTGGCTCGGGGGAGAGAGCAGGGTTCAAATCCTCCCACTTGTCCAGGAAGCTTCCTAGGCGTGGCCTTGGGCCAGTCACCACCTCTTGGCATAACCGACCTCACGTTTGTTGTGGGGATCAAATGAAGGAGGGAGAAGAATGTACACCACCTTGCGCGCCCTGGAGAAAAGGGGGTATATGAACGCAATAAATAAACTGTAGGAGATATTCAGATATATTATTATTAATAATAATAATAATAATATTTTATTTATATCCCGCCCTCCCCAGCCAAAACTGGGCTCAGAGTGGCTAACAACAGTAAAAATAGCACAGTTTACATAAAATCACAGTCAATTACAGTGGTACCTCAGGATTGAACGGGATCCATTCCAGAGTCCCGTTCGCATCCTGAATAGAACGTAAGACGCGACTGTGCATCTGCGCATGTGCGGGTCGCGTACTTCCGCACATGCGCGTGATGTCATTTTGACCGTCTGCGCATGCGTGGGCGGTGAAACCCGGAAGTAACGCACTCCGTTACTTCCGGGTTGCCGTGAAGCGCAACCCGAAAATACTTATCCTGAAGCATATTTATCCCGAGGTATGACTGTAATTGAAATACGTTCTAAAATCAGTTCAGATTCAAATTAGTGGCAACCATTGGGCTAGTTTTGTGAGGATCACCAAAGGAGGGGGTCAGGCTGTGCCCTGGCCAAAGGCCTGGTGGCACAGCTCTGTCTTGCAGGCCCTGCGGAAAGATGTCAAGTCCCACAGGGCCCTAGTCCCTTGTGACAGAGCGTTTCACCAGATCGGGGCCACAGCTGAAAAAGCCCTGGCTCTGGTTGAGGCCAGCCTAACCTCCCTGTGGCCCGGGACCTCCAAGATGTGGCCCAGGACCTCCAGGAGAGGCGGTCCCGTAGGTACCTACCATCAGCTGCAGATGCAGGGCTCAGGAGTCAGCATCCGAGACCCTCCAAGTGTCCCTATTTTCCAGGTACAGACCCGGATTTACAGAAGCCGTCCCGGTTTCTGATTTGACCCCGGTAATGTCCTGCTTTCCCTTGGGACGTCCCCATTTTCATCGGAGAAATGTTGGAGGGTGTGGCATCGCGGCCTCCGACCGTGGAGGCAAGAGCATCGCCGTCATGGCTAGTAGCCAAGAATAGTCTTACCAGACACAAATTTGTCTATTAGGATGTCAGAGGTGGCTGGATCAGACCCCCAAGGGGCGCACCCTGCACCTTGTCTTCGCAGTGGCCAAGCAGAAACCCACAAGCAGAACCTCAGTGCAAAAGCATTACCTCCTTTCCTGCAATTTCTAGCAACTGCTATTTGAAAGCATCACTGCCTCGGTAGCTTGAATAGTTTGCTTGTTTTTTAAGAAAAAAATTCAGTCCGGGGTGCTCTGGGGACAGCGGAATAAACCTATCTGGCTGATGGGCCCCGTTAAAAACTCTTTAATTTGCAAGGTCGGGAATGGATCAAAATATGCATTCCTCCTGAAAACATAAAACAACCCTCAGCTCCTTGTTGGAACGAGGGGAGCAGGCATTGATTAAGCTAAAAGCACTATTATCTAAGCCTACTGGCATGCAAGATGGGCAGTCGGTCCAGACACTCTGGGTTATTAAGCCACACTTTAAATCAAAATGGGTTCTCCCCACTTTTGGGAAGAGCCTGCTGGGTCTCCCGCTCCTGCTTCAAGAGGGAAAATGCTTTAAAAAGAGAAGAAAGAACTTAAGGAGAGCCAACAGCCCATCCTGTTCCTACAGTGGCAGAATACCAGGAAGAAGTTAGGAATCCAGATAGACTGCCTGTGACCTGGAGGTTCCACAAGGACAGAAGAAGAACCTGATAGCAGCTGAGTCAGGCTAACAGCCCGTCTAGTCCAGCATCGTCTTCTCACACTGGCCAACCAGGGGCCCCAGAGATATTCCCGCAAGCAGGATTCAAGCCCTCTCCCCTTTTATGGTTTCCAGAAACTGGAATTCAGAAGCTCTGTGTGTGGATGAATTCAGACTCTTGCAAAAGATGCTCTTAATCTCAGGGTTGTGGGTTCGAGCCCCAAGTTGGGCAAAAGATTCCTGCATTGCAGGGGGTTGGACTAGATGACCCCCATGGCCCCTTCCGACATTACAGTTCTATAAAAAGGTAAAGGGACCCCTGACCATTAGGTCCAGTCGTGACCGACTCTGGGGTTGCGGCGCTCATCTTGCTTTACTGGCCGAGGGAGCCGGTGTACAGTTTCCGGGTCATGTGGCCAGCAGGACTAAGCCGCTTCTGGCGAACCAGAGCAGCGCACGGAAACGTCGTTTACCTTCCCGCCGGAGTGGTACCTATTTATCTACTTGAACTTTGACGTGCTTTTGAACTGCTAGGTTGGCAGGAGCAGGGACTGAGCAACGGCAGCTCACTCCGTCACAGGGATTCGAACCGCCGACCTTCTGATCGGCAAGTCCTAGGCTCTGTGGTTTAACCCACAGCGCCACCCGTGTCCCTACAGTTCTATAATTCTATACAATTCTATAATTCTATTTAAAACCCATCCACATTAGTGGCCACCCCTGCCCCTTGTAATGGCTGTTCCTCCTTCTGGGGTAGACTGCGTTGGGACGTGGAGGCTCCATTAAAAACACCGTTATGGGTTATAGCAGGCAATATTATCATTACTGATTAAATTAGTATACCACCCTATACCCATAGATCTGAGGGTGGTTCACAACATAAAATAATGGTATAAAAAACAGAAAATACACACACACAAAAATAAGAGCAGAAAGGAACAAGCAATCTCCCCTTCCACAACACATTTAAATCAGCCAAAGGCCTGGCTAAAAAGGAACATTTTTGCCTGGCGCCTAAAGGTGCATAATGAAGGCTCCAGGCGAACCTCCCTGGGGAGAGCATTCCATAGACAGGGAGCCACTGCAGAGAAGGCCCTGCTCGTCTTGCCACCCTCTCATGGAAGCAGCACACGGAAAAGGGCCTCAGAGGATGATAAAATGCTTCTCCCTCCTCCCACAGAATCGTTGGAAGTGATTTCAGTGTCATCTAGTCCAACCCCCTGCAATGCGAATCTTTTACCCCATGAACCCATGATTAAGAGCATCTTTTGCTCTTAATGTGTATCCCACATGTTAAAGTTGCCTTAAGCAAGTAGCAATCCCACCTCCTGGCAGCGAGTTCCACAGAGTAACGGTTTGCGAATAGGTTTTTTGCCTTCACTCCCCACCATTTTCTCTAGGGGTGCGCTGGAGTTGCAAATTACTGGGCCACCACTAAATCAATTTCACCCATTCCATAGAATTAGTTTTAACTAGGTTTTGTATTATGTGTGCCATTAATCGCCGACACTTTGAATTTCATTGCGCTGTTCTCTTAGTGTGCCATGCAAACTGCAGTTGCATTTTCCAGGGCAGGGGGCACTGGGGATGAGTTTATGGAACCAAGGGGGATGGCGGCCACCCGGAGAAAAGTCCAGGAACAGCTGGCTTAGAGGCTGAACAGCCGGATATAAAAATGGCAGCCTCTGCCTGGCACTGCTGCAGAAACAACGGGGTCTTCAGGGAGGAATGACAACCAGAAAGTGATCTCTGCATCCCAAGGCGCCTATCTGCTCGAGGAGGAAGCTGCTGGTCCCACCCTGCGCTCAGAAAAGCAAAGGCCCCTCCAGGAAGCCAGGATGAGAGCAATCAGCTCCAGGGGCCGAGAGACGAGATCGAATGGGACGTGCACAAGCAGCTCCCGTTGTGCAGTAGGGAAAGCAGCACCCGAGATCCGCAGATCAGCTTGCAAAGCCACATCTTCCTTGGAGGTTTCTAAGCAGAGGTTGGGTGGCCCTCTGTCATGGATGCCATAGCTGAGATTCCTGCATTGCTGATGAGACTGCTGGGGCCCCTTTCAAACTACAATTCTAGGATTCTGTGTACTGAGCGATGCGCCCCCTGCAAAGACCCAGAGGCAAGCGGGAAACCTCTCTGCAGAGAAGTGCCAACGGCCACCAACCATGGCTGTTTGCCCTCTGCCGAAGGAGGAAGCAAATGCCTCCAAAGGCCAGTTGGGTCCTGCTGTTGGCCATGGGCAGGTTATCAGGGCAACAGATGCATTCAGGGGTAGGCTGCCCCTGAATTTGGAGGTTCCATTTAGCTGTGATGACTAAGGGCAAAGGGAGCCCTCAGCATTCGGCTTCTTTGAGTGTCCTCGAGTTCTAGTGTTGGGGGAGGGGGCAAAACCCTTTCTCTAGTCAACTTTCTCCATGCGTAATTTTATATGCTTCAATCCTGTTGCCTCTTAAATCGCTTTCTGTCTAAACACTCCACCAAAATGCAATTTCAGTAAACAGTCCTTTATTTTAAAAAAGTACAAAAAACAAGAAATAAAAGGAAAAGGATTTGTTCTGACATGGAATCAGAGGTATTTCTTTTAAAGGAAGTAAAATTAAGAAAGACAAGGGTTGTAGGGGAAGAGAGAGGACAGGAAGGAGAAGCAGATTCACCAGAGTACAAAAAAAGCAGCTTGGGATACAGAGCTGCGTGTCCTGACCAACAAGAGGAGGGTTAAGGATACGATCTGGCGCACCGTGCATGACGGAGCTGCGTGAATTTTAGTGGTTCAGTTCAATGGCAGGAAGGTCTAATTTGCGCAGGCTCAATAGAATGTAAATAAATAAATCTCTCCCTGCATGTAAAAATGGCATGGGGGGTGCATAACCCCTGAATGGCTAGCTTTCATAAAGCAGGGAGCGCTTGGGAGATTTGTGCACGTTTTTAATGAGGGGAGAGAACCGTTGAGAAGCACAACTCACCCGGAGAGGTTTACCCAGCCCAGAATCCAATGCCTCATTTCTGCAGCCTGCGGAACGATGAAACACAAGACTCTCTCCTCTCCCCCACTTCCAAGGGGGGCCTCTCTGTCGCTCTCAAAAACACAGTGTTAAAAGGAATTGAGGCCTCTTTGCTGACAACGGCTTTGGACCGTTCTCCTCCTGGACTGACAGTGGCCAGGAGATCTGCCTGCGGAATGCCAGAATGGCTGGTGAACCCCCAAAAGCCACCTGCATGCCCCCCGAAAGGAAGCAGGCGTACTACTGATAATCAATCCCTGGCGGCAAAGGCAGCGGTGGAGCAGCAACAGGTCGTATGGCGCAGCCCAGAATCCTTTGCAAAACGAGAGGATGCAGAAAGGGCCCGTTGGTTTGTTTGAGGAAGAGGAGCAGGAAGGGGGAACGGCCATGTCTTTTTGCAACGTCCTGTTCGAACCATCCTGACTTACACCATCTCTGCCCGCCCCCCCATTTCTGGATGTGTGAAGTCCGGTCCTGCCAGCGGGCAAGGGTATGAACATTGTTCCTGCCCCTCTGACCAGGGAAGAAGTTTTGGCAATCCAGACGCTGTGTGTGGCTGCCGCCAGGTTCTTGTCCCAAGGGGGGCAGCACTATGCTGCCACCAGGCTGGGCTCGGAGGAGCAGGTCCCCCCCCCCCCGCCCCGCTATTTTCCCTGCTTCATGATGAGGCGGCTGGAGAAGTCGAAGAGGCCTTTGTTGATCTTGCGCAAGGTGCCCACTTCTTCCTCCAGCTGAGTCACTTGGATTTTCAGCTGCTCCTGGTCGCCCATCAAGTTCTGCAAGGGAAAAAGGGGGTTGAAAACTAAATGGGGAGTGGAACCAGGGCGGGAGGAGAAGCGGAGGAAGGATCAGAGTATTGGCTCAGGGCGCTGCCTTTGCCCGTCCTGGGACCCTGAACTCAGTGGCAAAGAAAGCGGATGGTGTGAGGGCCACAGTGACCTCCATCCCTGGTAAAAGGTGGAGAAAACCTGTCTCCCACCAGGCAGAATTTGAGGAATGGTTCTATTCAGAAGAGGCACTCCATCCTGGGATGGCGAAACCCACATTCATCCAGAGGGCATTGCAATTCCACGAGCTTCTGCCAACACAGCTTTTGCCCATGCAAACCCTTAAGATAGCTGCATCCAATATGGAAGTGGTGACTCTCTTCCCCTGCCAGAGGCTTGCCTGACCCTTTTCCCCCCTCCCGGTTTTTAAGATGAGAGAGATGAAGTCGCTTTGGAGAGTTGCTTTGGGGTCGACACAACCAGTTTGACAGTGGAACCGTCTCCCTCCCTCTCCTTCCTTGGAGGTTTAAAGCAGAGGTTGGGCGGCCATCTATCAGGAACACTTTAGCTGAGGTTCCTGCATTGCAGGGGGTTGGACTAGATGAACCTCAGGGGTCCCTTCTAACTCTTAAGATTCGATGGTTCCCCTCACTGCTTCCACCAGAGGCCCAATCTGATTTTTCACGGTTCTTTTTTCAAAAAGCACGTCTTGCCGCCTGGCATTAGGCTTTTATTTCTCAAGGTTTTTATTTTTCAATTTCAGCTTTTCAAGGGGAGCAAAGTGAAGGATTACCTGCCGCAGTGCACAGTGTAGGAATCGCTGGCCTACTGTTAAAAAAAATTGCCAAAACTTTACTGCAAAGCAAAATGCTAATGGTATTTTAGTGCACCTTATACACCTTCCTTGTTTTTATTGTCTGTGTATGCGAATGGCACGATGGCTGACTTAACTAGCAATAAATCTGATTTGGTCAAGAAAAAATAAAGTCTGCAATGTGTCAAGATCAAGCCTCTCAAAACTCAAAATTTGCCTGTTGCAGGGATAGAGAGCCTCACCTTTTCTCTTGTCGCACACATCTGCGAGTACAGCCGCTCTTTTTTCTCCAGGTTGCTTTCTCCGGATCCCTGTGGGAGACAGAAGAACAGAGGGCTCAATATACGAGCCAAGGATATTTTTGAAAATGCCATTGTGTAGACATATTGTCAAAAGAACCAGTCTTATAGATGGTCTGAGCAGCTCAAACAGTAATTGCAACCCAATTGGAAACAGCTGACAAATCCTACATAGGGGGTTGGGCACCCACCGCTCTGGAAAATGGGAGGAAATTGTGCGTAATTTGAGATTTTGACCAGAACTCCCATGCACTTTTTGCATGATTTGGCATTCCTTTATTACATACACAGAGAGAAGGACCATCATTTTCGAGACCCTTGCTACAAGCCTGGCAAATCTGGCATGGAATTGCAGAGTTGGAAGGGACCCTGAGGATCATCTAGTCCCACCCCCAGCAATGCAGGAACTTGCAGCTGTCCCTTGCAGGGACTGAACCTGCAACCCTGGCCTTGTCAGCACCATGCTCCAACCAACAGAGCGACCCAGGCTGTCCCCACTAGACTTGATAACCAGGTAATGCCTATATCCTATACAGTGGACGCTCGGGTTGCGAACGTGATCCGTGCGGGAGGCACGTTTGCAACCAGCAGCGTTTGCAACCCGCAGTGCCGTGTCTGCGCATGCGCAGGCTGCGATTCACACTTCTGTGCATGTGGCAAAACCCAGAAGTAACCCGTTCCGGTACTTCTGAGTTCGGCGTGGTGCGCAACCCAAAAACACACAACCTGAAGCGTCTGTAACCCGAGGTATGACTGTACTCATAGACTTCTGTTATTTCAACCAATGTGCAACTGTACCCGTTCTATAGCTTTGTTTTCCATGTTTAATTTTTTATCTGTTGTTATGTTCTTTTTGCTATATCAAACACACACACACACACACACACACACACACACACTACAGCATGAAATAAAAAAATCCTTAACCCCCACCCAGAGGATACAAGAAACTGCTTTACACAAAACTAAGCATATAGCCCTCATGGTTCCTACACAGCTATTTTAAATACATACGAGTCAGACTGTTGGGGCCACCTAGCTCAATATTCCCAGCACGGGCTGGCAGTAGCTCTCCAGGGAGATGCTGGGGATTGAGCCTAGAACTGAGGTATGTCCCAGGTTTCTGCTTCGGTTGAGCCAAAGGCAAACTGTCGGCTTAAGAGCCACACCCTAGGAGCAAAAGCTGTATTCCAGCATAATGGTGGGGAGGGAAGCCAAAGAATTTCAAGTGCTCCCCGATAAAGAGTTTCCGCAGCGCTTAAGGAAGAAGCTAAAGGGATAATCTCTCACAAAGAGATCTGGAGAAGCTCTGCCAGCCTTGGAATTCTTTTAAAGGAATCACACCGCACCAACAGTGATAACAGGGGACAAAACGATTGCTTGAGAGGCCTTTTTTTTTTTTTGAGAAGGCATCCATCAGAGAGAGAGAGGACTGATATGATCAGCTGGCCGGCCATGAGAGAGGAGTGACAAGGCAGGCCGCTGGAGGGAGCAAGGTTTGAACATGCCTTTCGACAGGAGAGAACAGCAGTAAATCACACCGAGTGACTTGCAGTCAAGTCTTTATTAGCAAAACCAGGATCTGCACAGGAGCGCCAGGCCCAATGAGCGCAGCAAATAATCTCTGGTAAGTCTTGCCCCCATGAAGCAGTTGCTGAGATTGAAAGTCCCTGCCTCCCCACAGCTGCCTAAGTCCCCTCCTCTCCAGGGTTTTCCCCAAGCAATCGGAGACTGGGCCTGCATGCAGCCAATCTCTCCTCTGCCCTTTTCATGCCTCTCCTGGTTCTGGGAGACCAGCAGGGAGATGAGCTTTTTGCAGCAGGAGGGGGAGACATCTGTGACTCTTTACCAGCCAGACTTCCCCTCTGCCTCCTGGCCTCCCTCGTCTCCTGCTTCAGTTTCTGCCTGGACTTCCCTCTGCCACAGACTCTCCCTGCTCACTAAGCCCTGTTACCTCTCCCTGTTACCTCCTCCCCCCAGGCTTCTCCCTCTGACCACTCACTCTTGTCCCACCACCACTCCCTGGGCTCTGAGCCTTCCTTCCTTGGGGTTCCCCCAGTTGGGACCCCCTCATTCCTCTGCCTCCAACCAGTCCCAGACACCTTTGCGGTTCGAGGCAGCTTTGCCATTTGGCATGCCAAAGCTCAGCACTCTGTGCCCAGAGAGCCATTTTGGGTCTCTGCGCTGCCGCATGCTGAAAGAGAAGCATCAGAGTTGGGGGCAGGGACCCCTGGGTGCAGGGACGAAGGAGCGTCGCCCTCTGGCTCACAGGAGTCTCCCCAAGCAACAAAGCCAGAAGAAATTACTAGCTACGCGAGGCCTTTCACTACCTAGCCTGACCACACAGGGCTCCTTTCCTGACCACACCGCAACAGCCTCAGTATTGTCCACACAGACTGGCAGTGGCTTGCCAAGGTTTCAGGCCCCACCTGGCCATGACATTAGTGGGGAGCTGGACCAGGGACCTTCTGAAGGCCAAGCAGGTGGTCTGTCAGCGAGCTGTGGTCCTTTCCTTCCAAATAATACAAGATTCTGGTCCTCATGATTCCAAGCAAAGAGCTGATCTAACTAGGAAGGTGCCTTATACGGAGCTAAACCATCAAGCTGTCTAGCTCAGCCCTCTCTGGAGATGCGAACTTGGGACCTTCAGTGTGCAAGGCAGCTGCTCTGCCGCTCTGTCACCTTGCAGAAGTGCCTGAAAACCTGCCTTCTGTCAAAAGTGGGAAAGGGAAAACCTCCCCCCACCACCTCGAGCCTCAGCAGCAGCTCATCGTGAACTCCAGACACGCAGCCCGAGACTCTCTGTTCTAATTTCGGAGCAGACACGCAGCCGATAATGGGAGATAGAGGAGATCTTTATCCTGCGCGCAGGACGGAGGGGATTCACAGAGCCCGGCTCTGGCACTCTCTTCCAGCCTCCCCCCTATCATCTCTAGATTATTACTGTCTGCAAAAGGAAGACATTATGTTATTGGGGTTTCTCTCCCTCTCTCAACGCACACAAAACACACAGCGCGAGGACCTTCACAGCAATCTCTCTATTTTATTTTATAGCAAGGGAGCAGCGTCCTTTTTCAAAGGTTACAGAAACTCTTGCTTCTCTCTCTCTGCCCCTCTAGGTCCTTCTTCACCTTCAAGGACATAATAAAGGTCAGGCCAGTGGCCCATCTAGTCACAGAATCATAGAGTTGTAGAGGACCGTGAGGGTCATCCAGCCCAACCCCCTGCAATGCAGGAATCTCTGCTCAAGCGTCCATGACAGATGACCATCCAACCTCTGCTTAAAAACCTCCAAGGAAGGAGAGTCCACCGTCTCCCGAGGGAGACCCTTCCACTGCTGAACAGCTCTTCCATGTGCCAGTCCTTTAGATATGTGAAGCTGGCTCTCATATCTCCTCTGTCTCCTCTTTTCCAGACTAAACATACCTACCTCCTTCAACCATTCCTCACAAAGTTTGCTTCAGCAGCCTGTTCTCACAGCGGCCGACCAGATGACCCAATGGGAAGCCTAGTGAAAGATCCTCCTGTGGCCTGGGGGTAGGGAATTTCAGCCCCTGGAAATCTGAAGTCCCCCAGACCTCAAGATGATGTGGCTATCAGTCACTCCCCCCCTCACTTGCCCCAGACACCTGCCCATGTTGTCTTGAGATTTTCATTAAAGCTTTCCATACTGCAACAAGATAGGTGCCTCAAAAAATACAAATGGAATCCATAGAATGTGGAGTCCTTTCTTAAGTCCACCTGCCCAGGCTGCCTTGGACGAGGTGGGTGGCAAACATGGGAGGGTCTTTTCAGCTGTTCCCCCTACTTGTGGGGGACATGATCTCTCTCTCTCTCTCTCTCTCTCTCGCCTGGTCTGACACCAAATAGTAATAGTGATTTCATTAATTATACCCCACCCATCTGGCTGAGTTGCCCCAACCACTCTGAGCGGCTCTCAACAAAATATTAAAAACACAACAAAACATCATCCGTTTAAAACTTCCCTGCCTTCGTGTCTTTCTGATGCCAAGCAGATACGTTTCTCATTTTCCCAGGTTTTCAACCTCTGATTTATTTATTTTCTGTCAACGCTGGGTTCTGCTTTTTATTGAACTGTGCTGCTTTTCTTATTGCTGTTTTACGGTCTGTGGTAAAACCGCCCTGGAAAATGTTTCCGTCAGAGGGTGGTATTAAAAAAAAAGCAGCTATGTTTTAAAACAAACCGGGGACAAAAACACAGCCTCAAAAACGAGTGAAAGAACCCTCAATTCAGGAGCGACAAGCGAGATGGTTCTGCACAACTGATGCCAATGGCTTTTCAGAATGCAACCAACGGCTCAAAAAATTCTGCCTCAGAGGCAGTTAGCCCCACGAGCAGAAGCAGGGATGCTTCTGGACTCCAGCAGCTTGTGTCCTGCTTTCTGGTTTCCCATAAGCACCTGGTCGGCCACTGTGAGAAAAGGATGCTGGAATTAAGGGCTCTCCTTTGCCCCCTTCATGGGTTCTTACAGATGGCTCTGAAAAGAGAACTGACCAAAATTAATCCTACTAGCTACAATGGCTATGTTCTCCCTCCACTATCACACTCAGGTCCTCTTCCCAGAAGAAGGATATGGTCTGCAGTGTTAGAAACTCAAGACACACAAGCCAGGCACTAAATGGGTCCATGAACCAAGGTTGCAGTTGCCAAAACAGAATGTCTAGATGCCATTTGGGGGCAAGGCGGTTCTTTTTCTTTTTTTTTATTAAATATTTTATTAAGGATTTTCTTGTTTTACAGAAGTGTAGTGCCTCGTATTTTTTTTTCCATGTAACATTTTTACAAATCCATTTCATTTGTTGAGACATTAGGGGGAGGGGAAAAAAAGAAGGGGTGGAGGGAGGGAAGATGGGTGGGGTCGGGTGGCAATGTTTCTGTTATGCTTAATGTATGTAGAGTTTGGTGTCAGCGTGCTTGTGTTGTTCACTTGTGTTCCTTTGGTGGTGAGAGAGGTTGGGGTTGGCCCAGGGTGTGATTGTTTGTTTGTGATTGGCTGTGGTGGTCTTTGTTTTCGTGTGTGAGTGGGGTGGGTGGGTGTTTTGGATCAGGTTAGCCATATTGATTTGTATGCTGTTGGCGGATTATTGTCATTGTCCTGTTGGGCTGTGTATGTGATAAAGGGGAGCCATACCGGGGTGAAGGCGTCTTCTTCTGTTTGTCCCCGTGTCAGTTTCAGTTTATTAGTTAATTTTTCTAGTAGGGCTGTTTCCCATACTATTTGGTACCATTGGTCCATGCTTACTCCTGACAGGTCTCTCCAGTGTCTGGTTATGGTGTTTCTGGCTGCTGAGAGCAGGTGGGTTATGAGTTCTTTGTGGTGTAAATGGGCATTGTTGTCTTGGAAGATGTTTAGTAGGGCCAATTCTGGGGTGATGTCTATTACTTCCTTAGTTATTTTACATATTTCTTGTATGGCTGTTGTCCAGAATAGTTGGATTTTGGGACATGGCAAGGCGGTTCTTAAGTTTTATTTTTCAAATGAGGGACTGACTCTGATTGATTCTCAGTAAAACATCTGGCTAGTTCAGGGGACAACCTTGGGTTCAGTGGCAGAGCCAGCCATTCCGGCACCTGGAGTGGCGCACATGTCGTGCACCCGGGGGAGGCGTGATCCTTCTGGCAGGGGGCCAATTGCGGCGCAGCGGCGCGATCTGCCCCGGGGGGATCTTGTCACCTCCTCTGGGATCATACCCGGGGTGGACCGCCCCCACCACACACCCCTTCCTACGCCCCTGGCTGGGTTAAGAGCTTTGAGAACGTAAAGAAGAAAAGTCACTTGATCCAGGGACAGTCTACATATATATCGGCCGTTCCGACTTTTTCTTCCTAGTGACACAGACCATTCATAACGTAGGCATTCACAACTCTCAGCAGGGCAGTGGGGGAAGCCAAGACAAGTGACAACAATTCACTATAACGTTGCTCACTGCTCTTGTTCAGGCTGCACTGAAAAAGCATTTTGGCTGCTGAAATTCATCCTGATTGTGCAGATAAAATACAACAGACAGAATTCTACAGGATGGCGTATTAGTGTGTGAAAACAGGCCAGGTCCAAGGATGCCCAGGCCTGCACCTCCAGATGGTGATGTCAGGCGACATCCTGGCACCCAGGAATTTTCACTTGGTTGCAAGTGGCCGATAGCCAGGTGCAAAATGCACCTGGAGCCGGACTAATTTCAAACACTGCTGGTTGGCCACTGTGAGAAACAGGAAGCTGGACTAGATGAGCCCTGACTGGCCTGACCCTGCAGGACTCTTCTTATGTGTTCTCACAAGTTTTCAGTCTCCCACCCTCCCCCAAGCAGTCATGAGGGCTAGAATCTTGTTCTGCTGTCAGGATTCTGCCAGACTCCCCAAGATGAGGGGGAGCTGAAGTTTCCCAAACCAATCCAACCTGAACAACCCCCTTTCCTGGTTCGGAAACATCTTTCCTCTTGCTGTGTGAACAAGAGACATCGCACCTTGGAGGTTTGGGGCCGCTGTCAACGTTGCAGAGGAAAGGAGCAGGGCTGACAGTGGACGCTCCTGGGAATCTGTTACAAGAACGCTAGATGAGATACCTGGCGAGAGCCTTGGGGTGGGCTGCCGGACACTTTGCCCGCCGCAGCTCAAGGAAACTCAGAAGAAGAAAAGGACAAGCAGTGTGGTGCCAGGGGAGAGGAGCGGGCACGAGGCCTCCCTTTGCAAGGAGCTAATCCATCAAAGAAGACGGCCCCATCAGTCTCGCGGGTGGAGAGGGAAAAATGACAGGCAGGAGAGATAACACATCAAAGCACCCTTTGTGTTTTGGGGGGAGAGGAGACAGGCAGGAGAGGAGAAAATGCCTCCGCGGTGAGCGATGGTTAACAGGCAAGGCGGATGAAACGCCGGCTTCCCTCGTTCTCCCTCTCCTTGGAGCGGCTGCGAGAGGGCATCGGACGCAACCCCTTGCTGGGAAAACAAAATGCATTCCTGGCAAAGGGGTGTTGGCGGGTTTGGGTGGGGAGGCTGAGATTTTATGACGTTGTGGGGGACATGAGAGCAGAGCCACCTCCCGTTTCCCTGCAGTCAGGCAGCCAGGTGTCCCCGGAAAGCTCGCCAGCGGGTAGAGGGACCGTCTCCCCGCCCCCTGTCCACCTCTAGTGTCCCTGAAGTCACCTGGTCTCCACTCAAAGCCACCTGCATGAACCCAAGAGAAGAGTCCCAGGCAGAAAGGAGAACCTCCTGGATCGGAGCAGAGGCCCAGCTCTTGTGAAACCCAAGTCTCAAAGAGGGAAGGAGAGATGCTCAGAGACCAGCTGTCTGACAGCAACAAGAGTGCCACACCAGAAGGTCTCTTTGATCAAGGCAGGGCAGAAGGAATCGGGCAGTCCTTGAGGCACTTCAGATCCAAGCTGTTGACACAAGGAAGGCCCGGTTGGAAGATTCAAGACAGATAAAATGAAACCCTTCGTTAAACTGCAGAAGTCCTTCCCACAGGAAGTGGTGATGGCCAGCAACCCAGATGGCTTAAAAGTGAATTGGACAAATGCATGGTGGAGGAATGGGCTATGAAGGGGTACGAGCCGGGATGGTTATGCTCAGCCTCCACGGTCAGGGGCAGCAATGCTTCTGAATCTCAGATGCTGGAAACGACAGGAAGGAAGAGGGCTCTTGTGCTCGGATCTTGCTGGTGGGCTTCCCTTTGGCGCAACTGTTTGGCCACTGTGGGGACAGGAGGCTGAGCTGGCCGGGATCTTGCTGGCCTCCCCAACGCTGGAAGTTAATTTATGCGTTACGGCCGACCTCGTCCCTCGAGATGCCAAGGTGCGGTGGAGACGTTCCAGCCTATTACTGCCTCAGTGCCCAACAACAGGATTATAATACACTCCCTCTCTCTCTCCTGCCAACCTGTTCCTTTCCCTGAGGGATAATTGTACCAGAACATTCAGCCCTGCCTCTCTCAGATCTGCATCGCCTCTTCCAGCAGGGAACAGCCACCTGCTCCTGCTTGCATCGGAAGGGGAAGGAGGCTTGGCACACAGGCATGCAGAGCTCAGAGGTGTGTTCCCTTCGCCCACTTCCGTCCCTTCTCTCTTCCCCTCTCCTGCTATAAAACATGTCTTTATTAGGTCTGCTGTGTAATCAGAGAAAGCAATTACAAACTGCAAGAGAAAGACAAACTCAGCCCTGTAGACCCCCATCGTTCAGCCCAGACACAGAGGTCCAGCTCTGAGGGTGGTTCCCTTACTACGAGAAGTGAGGTGAGAGGGAACCAGGCAGAGGGCCTTCTCAGTGGTGGCGCCCTCCCTGTGGAACGACCTCCCAGCAGCTGTCAAGGAGACAAATAACTATAGTGGTACCTCGGGTTAAGAACTTAATTCGTTCTGGAGATCCGTTCTTAACCTGAAACTGTTCTTAACTTGAGGTACCCACTTTAGCTAATGGGGCAAGCGTCTGTAACCTGAAGCGTCTGTAACCCAAGGTACCACTGTATACAACTTTTAGAAGACATCTGAAGGCAACCCTATATGTGGAAGTTTTTTATGTTTTTATATGTGTTGGAAGCCACTGAGAGTGGCTGGGGCAACCCAGCCAGATGGGCCGCATATTATTATTATTATTACTACTATTATTACTATTACTATTATTATTAAATGCAAGCAAGACAGAAGTCCTTTTAAGCCCCCTGCCTTGCTGGGGGTGGGGGACAAGGCCCTCTCCACGTGCCAGTTCTGGCATGGGCTTGCGAGATCTCCCAGGACTGTCTGAGTTCCTGCAAGATCTCCCGCGAGCATCTCTAGCCAAGAATCATGGGCAATCGCCATCTCTGAAGATTGAGCTGTGAGAGTGGAAGAGCAATGAATCTTCTTTTTGTTTCATTCCCCCCCCCCCCTTCGTACATTCTTCTAGTTCAGACACGTCCCACTCTCTATTCTCCACCTGGGCAGCCAAAAGGCCTTATTCTTAACTTTGACCCGTGCATCGCAGAGGATTGGACTAGACGACCCTTTGGGTCCCTTCCAACTCTACGATTCTGCAACTGTGCCTTTCCAACTGAGGATCGAACCCCCCAGAAATAGCCTCAAATCTCTTGGTCTTGGTGAGACCTTTATACCAGTGGCCCTGGGGCGTTTAGCATTCTGCCATCCTTTTGCCCACCATCCTCAAGAGCGAAGGGGGATTTCTAGCTTGGTGGTCACTTGGTCCATGTTTGCTGGGGAAGCAGCCGAAGACCCCCCTACCTTCTGATGCATTCCCAGGCACAGCATCATCCCCTCGCTGGCAGGGCTCCCCGCGTTCTCCATGGTGTAGAGGTGGCGGCTGAACTTGGGCAGGGGGACGCGGGGCTTGCTCTCCGGGTTTAGCATGTTGGCTGGAGCCAGGGTGATGAAGGCGTTGGTGACAGGACCTGCAGGAGCAAATGGGAGGGAGAGATTTAGCGGCAAGGTATGCTTATGGCAGGGCTGAGAAGCACGTGGGATGCCGTTTGAGGGGCTGACTGCGGAATTATAGAAATTGGAGAGTTTGGAAGAGGCCTCTCGCACACGGAGCGTGTGGACCCTCCCCTGAAAATGAAGCAAGAGGCTAGTCTTCATGGTTCTTGACAAGTCAAAAGAAGCCTTATGCTGAGTCAGGACACCAAGCCATCCATCTCAGGACTGTGACTGCCAGCAGCTCTTTGGGCTTTCGGATGGGGAGTCAGTCCCAGCCTTTCTGCACACAGAACATGCACCCTTCTACTTAGGCGACAAGTCCCACAGCTCAGTAAGGTTTCCAGTCCTCATAGTGATTTAAAGGGGTAATTCAACAGAGGCGCAGGAAGACTGCCTTAGACGAAGCCAGACTTTGGGTTCATTTTGCCCAAGATTGTCTGCAACAGTGGTTCCCAAACCTTTTCCAGCTTGGTTCATCAACTCGCCCCGTGTGCTCACTACTCTGCACCACAAAAAGCATTATTCAGAGCAGCGGCTTGCACGGCGCACTAAGGGAGATGATGACACGATAAAATTCAAAACAGCGGCAATTAATTGCCCGTTCACTCAAAGCCCAATTAAAAATTGTTCAATTAATTCAGCAAAGCCGACAAACTTGATCCAGGGAGATGCCAGCTTTCCAGAACCTGACTGTCATTTACAGGGGGCCCCTGCTGCCTCCTAGCAACCCCCACTTAGGTATTCGCCCCACCCAGGGGGCAGTACTATTCTCTTTGGGAACCACTGGTCTATTTTCTAAGCCCTGCCTGGGGGAATAATGGAAGGGACCCCTGGGGGTCCTCTAGTCCAACCCCTTGCAGTGCAAGCATCACAGCTGAAGCGTCCATGACGGATGGCCATCCAACCTCTGCTTAAAAACCTCCGAGGAATCACATCTCCTCTCCACCATCTTTTGGTGGTTCTGCTCTACAGAATCCAAGGCATGTGTGTGTCTGCGTTCCTCCTCGCTGTCGGCTCCCCCGCCACCTCTCCCAGCTTCTCCTCCAATTAGCTAGGAAGGCATCTGGAGGCGACCGGAGGGAACTGTTTGGAGACCTCCCCGGGGGCGACCAGGCGCAGCCCCAAGCATCGCAGCCTCTCCGTCCTCTGCTGAGCGAACCATCCATCTCCCAGGCCCCGGTGCGCTCACAAGTTGTCTCGCGGTAATGATCTATCGCACACATCCACTCAGCGGAGTTAATGAGCGCTTTAATTACCGCATTTACCCACACGGGCTGCCGTCAGGCTCCCGACGCCACAACCTCAGCTCACCCCTCTGCACTCACAAATTGTTGCATCCATCGCCCTGGCAAACTAAGTGGAGGAAGAAGACTTTGGAAGCAAGAGGACAGGGCCAGGAATGGCCTGCTGGGTGGGCCAGACAGGGTCCTCAGCTCATTGCTCACCAAGCCAGGCGTTACTCAGTATATATACACACAGTGCATCCAGCAAGTCCTTCCTCCTTCCCAACCCATTTGAGAGCAACACCCGTTGGAAACAGCAGCCGGAATAACAAAATTCGAATCCCTTGCTTGCAGCTGCCAAAGGCTCCAGGCTGGTCTTTTGACTCTTCAGATCTATTTCCAGCAGTGTCCCTGTGAGCTTTCTCTGCATCCACCCCCCCACCAAACCTGGTTCTGCCTTTAGAGTTTGCATGCAAAACCAGTCGGACCTCCGCAGGGCCCGCAACTGGAGCTCTCAGGAGCTTTTGGTTAAGTGTGCCCCCCGCCACCCCCCCACCTGCAAGGCGCTGGGGCAGAACAGGGTGCCACACCCATCCATTTCCCAGTGGCAGGGAGGCAGGTCAAAGAGGATTCGTCCATAAATAACTTTTTAAGAGCTCAGGTGAGCCTCTGGTTCTATTTATTGATTGCATTTCTGCCCTACCGTTCTCCAAGGAGCTGTGCGTGGTTCTCCTCTGCCCCATTTTATCCTCGCAACAGCCCTGCGAGGTAGGTTGGCCTGAGAGAGGCTAGCTTCCAAGGCCACCCAAGCAAGCTTCATGGCTCAGTGGGGGGATTCGAACCCTGGCCTTTCTCCCAGGTCTTAGTCCTGATGCTCTAACCACACTGGCTCCCCCAACTGAGTGTCAGAAAGATAGTAAGTTCTGCCTCGGACTGGCCTGCGGCCCACTGGTACTGATGGAGGAGAAGGCATCGAATCACGCATTTCTTGGAGACAGCAGAGAGCAGCTTTCCTCCTGCCGTCATAACATTATAGCTTGTGGAAATCAAATGAAGCCGGAAGATCCAGTACAGGTTAAAGGAAATCCTTCTTCATCAAGGGAAGTAATGGTACCACTCTTTTCTGCCTTGGTCAGACCACACCTGGAGTACTGTGTCCGATTCTGGGCACCACAATTTAAGAAGGATGTTGGCAAGCTGGAATGTGGGCAGAGGAGGGAGACCAAGATGATGAAGGGTCTGGAAACCAAGCCTTATGAAGAACAGTTGAAGGAGTTAGGTATGGTTCGTCTGGAGAAGAGGAGACTGAGAGAAGACAGGAGAACCATCTTCAAATATCTCAAGGGCTGTCCCATGGAAGAGGGAGCCAGATTGTTTTCTCCTGCTCTGGAGGGCAGGACTCGAACCCATGGCTTCAAGTTACAAGAAAGGAGATTCCAACTAAACACCAGGAAGAACTTTCTGATAGTAAGAGCTGTTCGACAGTGGAACGGAATCCCTCGGGAGGTTGTGGTCTGGATGGCCGAAGGGTCTGAGCTGAAACAAGGCATGTGCTGATGGGAAATCTCTCTCTGCGGGTTGTTGTGAAAATCATATTTCACCCAGTCCGCTTCTGGCACTCCTGTTGAATCTCTGCATGAGTCACTGCCTTGGGCTTGCGCCCTAGGGAGTGGAATGGCACCTCGCACAGGAAACGGAGTGTGGGTTCATTCTCTGCCCATGTTCCCTGCGCAAATCACTACTGCAAACCCAGGGCAGCAAACCCAGGGCAACAACTCATGCAGAGGGGCAACAGGAGCCCCCTGCTTCACTACTACTACTACTACTACTACTACTACGTTCGCGTGACCAAAGAATCCTGCAGCAACCCGTGCCATTATGTGGTGGGATTAACTGGGTCCTGCCAAGGTGAGGCGGGAGCAGAGACTCATGCAGAGAAGCGGCAGGCACGCTCACAGGAGACTTTCGCTATTTCACTTGCTCATTTCTCGTGGCACAGCTCCCAGCTCAGCCATTATTGACCCAAGTGCTGCTCCTAAAGCTGGCGAGTGCTTAAAACCAGCTGCATCTCGTTACAAAACGAAGGATGGCCTCTCTCTCTCTCCTCCCGCCGCCCCGGAGCTCAGTGGAAGTGCCGGACACGGAATGTTATTAAATTACCCGAGTTTGAGCGGCGCTCCAAAGCCTCGTTATTAGGGCTGTCTCGCCGCTTGCACCGCACAAAGGATTTACTGGCTTCTGCGCCCTGAAAAGAGATCAGTTTTGAAGGGATGGAGCAAATGCGAAGAGAGGCAGGCGGTGCTGGGAAGCAGAGCAGGCACCCTGGCTCAGGGTTTAGCGGGTGGGGAGGAGGGAAGCTCCGAGGCCGATGTTGAAAGGGGAGGGTTTAGAAGAAAAGAGAGACGTGTCGGGAACTGAGCTGCCAGCGGCAGCGCCTTATCAAGTGTTCTGCGCAGCCGAGATAAAGGATGTTAATGCCTCCCCCGGGGCACCGATAACAGCAGAGAGAGTTGCCAGCGTCTGGACAGAATTCTTTTCGGAGAAGGGAGAAAAGTAATTAGACATCTGGAGGGGAGGAGGGAGGGACGAACAACGCCGTTATATAAAGGACAGGAAGAAAAGGGCTCTTTGCCCTGTTGCGAAGCGGAGAGCAGTTCAAAACTAGTTCTGGGACATTCCCTGTCCTACCTGGAGACTGGACCTGGGACCTCGTGCATGCAGAGCAGGGCTAGGGCCCTTCCGCTAAAAGTAAGATTCTAGTCCTCATGTTTCTGAATAATGGGCTGTTTGAAAAGCAACGGAGGAAGCTGCCTTATGCAGAGCCAGGCCGTTGGGCCTATTCAACCTCAGTATTCATAGAACTGTAGAGTTGGAAGGGACCCCGAGGGTCATCTAGTCCAACCCCCTGCAATGCAGGAATTTCAGGCCAAGGATCCATGACAGATGGCTATCCAAACTCTGCTTAAAAACCGCCCAGGAAGGAGACTCCACCACCTTCTGAGGGAGACTGTCAAACGGCTTTTACTGTCAGAAAGTTTTCCCTGATGTTTAGACAGAATCTCCTTTCTTGTAACTTGAAGCCTTTGGTTCGAGTCCTACCCTCCAGAGCAGGAGAAAACAAGCTTGTTCCCTCTTCCATGGGACAGCCCTTGAGATATCTGAAGATGGTTCTCCTGTCTTCTCTCAGTCTCCTCTTCTCCAGACGAACCATACCTAACTCCTTCAACTGTTCTTCATAAGGCTTGGTTTCCAGACCCTTAATCAGTCTACACACAGACTGGATAGCAGTGGCTCTCCAGGGGTTCAGGCAGGGGATGCTACCAGTCCTGTCTCTGAGCTCTAGTCCACTGCACTGCTGCTGTGCCCAGGGAGAGACCTGGGTGGCAGAGTAAGGAGATTTCAGGGGCATCAGGCATGTTCAGCCTGGAGAAGAGAAGGCCAAGGGATGGCATTAAGTGAGTGTTCCGGTTTTCGAGCTGTTCAACAGCAGAACGGTCTCCACGGAAGGTGTTTGGCTCTCCTTCCTCAGAGGTTTTTAAATAGGTTGGACGGTCCCCTGCCAGGGATTCTTTAGTTGTGAATCCTGTGGCGATGGGATGCTGGACTCCGTGTGCCACTGGGCTCATCCTATGAGGTTCTTATGTTTCTTCCAGCTCTACAATTCTATGATTCCATAACTGGGACCCTGAGGGCACCCACTGGCACACAACACTTGCTTAGAGGGTCAAGGGGACAGGCAGCCACAGCATGGAGCAGCAGCCCTGGAGTCAGGACACACAGAGTGGCTGGGGAAACCCAGCCAGATGGGCAGGGTATAAATAACAAGTTGTTGTTGTTGTTGTTGTTGTTGTTGTTGTTACAAGTTGTTGTTGTTGTTGTTACTATTACCACCACCTGCCCACACTGGCTGACGCATGGGCATCAGCCGGTGCCTGGAATCCTAACCACCCACGCCAGTTTTCCCAAATGTTGCTGCACCACAAAAGGTCTTGCAAAACCCGGCAGTTTTATCTCCCAATCCCCTTTCCTAATAAAACTTGTGCGAAAATAATTTGCCTCTCCTCTCCAGGAAGGAGTGGGTGGACAAGGGCTGCCTCCCCATTGGCCGACGCAGAACCAACACTCCCCATGCCAGCTGCATTGTTATATCCTGGCACTTTTTTCTACCCAGGATTAGGGGGAAGAGGGCGCAGGCACCAAGCGCGGCTCAGCACATTGAGAAATTTACGATCCTCAAGTCAGATCGTGAGGTTTTTAAGATTCAGCCATGCAGGCTTTATGGCTCCTTTTCTCTTTGCCAGCGCAAGGCTTTGAGCACCGCTTCAAAACAAAGCAGGGCACATGCCAAACACACGCACACAGCCAGCCAGGGCTAAGAGGATTTTGCAAATTGTGTTGTGTTCTTGGAGGTGGGGAGAGAACAGTTTTGCCCCTAGACAAACAGAGATAGCTAAAATGAAGATTACGTAAAGATGACTCGATATGAGGAAATGGTGGCTCGGATAATAACACGGACACCCCTTCTCCTGTTCAGGGAGAAGAATTCCAGAGGAAAGGAACCCAAAATGGTTTGCTGAGAATGCCTAAAAACTCTGCTCTGGAGTAGAAAGTTCAGCAGCCTGGTATAAACAAAATATTTTGGGTATCTGAGCTGGGAAGGGCACCTCCCAGGAAAGGGACTCTGATCCTGAAACTCCAGGAAGGATTCTGCTAGATGCACCACGGGTCTGATTTGGCATAAGGCAAAGTCCTCCATTCCTATTTCAGTTATTTGCTTGGAAGCATGTGGACTAGCAGGGCGGCTCACTTTTATTCCCAGCATCTCCAGGCAGGGCTGGGGAAAGAAACTTGAGTTTTTAGTGCGGCTGCTGCAGCCCCCTGGGATCCCGGTTACCAGCTGAAATCAGAGCATCTTAACATTCAGCTAAATAGCAGAAGGGGACGTGGGCGGCACTGTGGTCTAAACCACTGAGCCTCTTGTGCTTGCCGATCAGAAGGTTGGCAGTTCGAATCCCCGGGACAGGGTGAGCTCCTGTTGCTTGGTCCCAGCTCCTGCCAATCTAACAGCTCGAAAGCATGTCAAAGTGCAAGTAGATAAATAGGTACCGCTCCGGCGAAGGTAAATGGCATTTCTGTGCGCTGCTCTGGTTTCGCCAGAAGCGGCTTAGTCATGCTGCCCACATGACCTGAAAAAAACTGTCTGCGGACAAACGTTGGCTCCCTCGGCCAGTACAGCGAGATGAGCGCCACAACCCCAGAGTCGTTCACAACTGGACTTAACTGTCAGGGGTCCTTTACCTTTACCTTTATTACTCTGGGTAAAACTTGAGCTGGATGCAAGCTATTGTGCTTTGCTTAACTGAGCTTGCAATTCCCTGCCTTTTCTGCATTTCATCTGATCTTACGTACTGCACTGGTAGCTTTTCGCCAAAGAAAGATTGATAAACCTGCAAAACAAATATGCAGAACTGGCAAAACTAACAGGAAAATTAAGAGACTCTAACGGTGTGTGTTTCATGGAAGAATGGATGCCTTTTTTGGATATTTAAAGAAATATTATAGCATGAACTTGTGAGCAGGATTTGAGCTATGAGCAACAGAAGGATTTGGACTATAATACTGTGGTTGTGATTCGATAGGCAGAAGAGAAGGAGCAGCAGAGGGGGAGATGCAACAATTCTGTGGAAAATGGGGTGGGAAGTCGAGAAAAACAAGAGAAAAGACAAAACTGTGTTTTGATTGTATATGTTGGAGATTGATTGTATATGTTGTAACTTAAAAAAATTTAATTTTAAAAAACAAATGAAGGAACGGACTGTAGGGAACCTGCCTCACACAGAGACTCATCTTGGTCCACTTCGCTCAGGGCTGCCTGTGCTACTTGGGAGCAAGGTCTATCCAGGGCCCCAGGTGGGAGTTCTGCTCAAGAGATGCAGAAGAGTGTTCAAACCTGGGACCTTCTGCATGCAAGGCTGGGGCTGCGCTGCAACCCTTTGCGGAGGTGCACACAGGCACACAGCACTTGCGTACCTTTGTAATTCACCGTGCGCAGACACTGCTTGCTCTGGATGTCCCACAGCCGGACGGTTTCGTCATGCGAGCCGGACAGGAGCAGGCTTCCGTCGGTGGAGACGGAGAGACACGTCACCTGGTTCCTGGAGGGAAGACAAAGGGCCTCCAGGTTGTGTCTTGAGCGTATCTGAAGCCATCCCCGTTGATAGAGAAAGGGGCTGAGCATGATGCAGGGTGCGCCCGTAACCCAAATGTCTGGCCCCTCCCCGCCAAAGCCCCTTAGAATCTAAGGTTTATGTTGGGGCGGGCAGCCCTCAGAACTGTGTGTCTCGTGCACCTTCTCCTGAGTGCTGTGGCCTGGCTGGAATTCCGCCCATCCGATCAAATGAAAGAATTGTGGATTTGGAAGGGACCCAGAGGGCAATCCAATCAAACCAAAAATCACCGCATGTAGGTAAATTTTTTTCCCCCTTTGTTGCTGTACCCCACCTTTGCTGCAGCACTCACCGATGCCCTTTGAAGATCTTGGCAGACTCCCTTTCTGTCTGGAAGCCCCTCTCCCTTTGCACGGGCTGAAAGAAAGAGGAGGGGGAAGTTACAAACTATATTTTGAAGCATTGTCAGGAAGAGTGCGTAGGTGGGAACCAGGAAGCTGCCTTAGGTACTTGGGTGGGGCTGCTGGTTCACACAGCCAGGAGCTCAGTTCTGGGCCCCTCAGGTGGACGCCATGGCCATTCAAAGAGAACAAGTGAGGCGATGGTGGTCAGATCCAGCTCCTCTTTTTGTCGAAAAATAGCACTGCATACAGCCCAGATTTGTCTGCTCCAGAGGTGGCAAATCTCTCCCCCCCCCCCACATTAGTCAAGTGTTTTTTAGTGATGTTCAGTGACTGACAGGTGGGTAGACCCACCCACCTGTCAATCACTGAACATCACTAAAAACACTATTGAGTGGACTCTCCGCACTTACTACGGCAAAAAGACTGGTACTGATGAGCTGGAAAAATAACAATGCAGCTGGCGTTAATGACTGAAGATATGTACAACTTTGCTACACATAAACAAGTTGTGTACAAACGTAGACTTGCCATGGACAAATTCAATGATATTTGGAATTCATTTTTATAAATACCTGTTAGATTAAGGTCTAATTAACTACAGTATCAAAATTTCCCTGCCTTTTTTTGGGGGGGGGGTTAATGTACACAATATTTCCCCCCGTTTTGTTTTCTACATTGGTACTATTTGTTTCTTCTCTTTTTTGTGTGTCTTATCTTACTCAGTGCGCTTGTAATTTTGTACTTTTTTAAAATAAATAATATAATACAAACAAAATCTCTTAGGTGTCTTAACCTGCCCGACCCCTGACTTCCCATGCAGCTCATTGGCACTTCAAGGTAGGGCTGGGAGAAACACCTGCCTGCCCCAGAGAGCTGCTGCCAGTCAGTGTTGACAGTATGAAGCAACACAGAACATACATGCTTTGGTTCAGTATGTAAGGCAGGCGGGTTCCTTTGTTAAGTGCTACATTTAAATTTTAATTTGTATACCACCTTTCCATATTACAGTGCACAAGGCGGTCTATAGCAACAACAAAAAAACCACACACACACAAAAAAACACACCTTATATTAATCTGATCCAATACAGAAAGTTGTAATAAAACATAACTTTAAAACGGGACGACTTATTTTGAATAAAGTAACATTCAGTAATGTATTAGAATATAATAAATAGTGCACAATAACATTAACACGCAAAACATCAGCAAATAATTATTAAACAGAAATTTGCTCTTAACAGTTACAATAAATAATTACTAAACTACAATCAATAAAAATAACTGCAAAGTCACAATGCATAAAATGCCATGTGTGGAATCGGACCTACCCAGGCGCAGAGGTCGACTTGGAAGATGGAGCCGTCCATGCCACCACAGAACATGTGGTATTCTGTGAGGTCGAGGGTCACCGACAGGATGCCCACGTCGAAGACGACGGAGAGGAGGAGGTCGCCAGAGGAGATCTCCCAAAGCTGGAAGAGAGGAGAAGAGTAAGCATACAGATAGCTCAACTGGTACAGCACAAGACCCCTTAATCTCAGTGTCGTGGGTTCGAGCCCCACGTTGGGCAGGAGGTTGGGCTAGATGACACTTGTGGCCCCTTCCAACTCTACAATTCTATGGATTTATTTAGGACCAATCAGCCAAGGGTGTACAAAGGTGGGCCAGGAATCCCTGCAGCTCAAGACGGAACGGCAGTGGAACACGGCAGAGGGGCTTGGGAATGGATGGGCAAACTCTTGCAACTGAACATGAGATAAAACCAGGGGACGGGATAACATTTGTTGTCCCATCCTTCCTGACCCTATGACAGATTGTGAGAAGCCTCTATCTAGAAGAGGCATTCCCTCCTGAGAGAGGGGAATGCCTCTCCTCAGATCAGGGATGGAGAAGATCTGTGGCCCCCACAAACGTTGCTGGGCTCCAACTCCCATCTTTCTGAGAAGGAGGGGCAGGTGGCAGGCAGGAGGGGAAGCTGCAGGGGTCCCCCGCAGGATCAAACCCCTCCTGCCCTCTCCTTCCCGTGCTCCCCAGTATGCTTAATTTTAAAGGAATCTGTTATTTATTTGCTGCAATTCTATCCCTCCTCTCTCTCCAAGGATCCCAAGGTGGTGTGCCTGGTTCTCCCGTTCCTCATATAATCCCCAAAACAAACCAGCAAGGCTGAGAGGCTATGGCTGTCACAGGGCCACTGACGGCCGTCGCCGTGAACTTTTGGGCTGACTTGGCTGAATAATGTTCAGGCCACAAGAGATGTGTAGCAAAGAATGATGTCGCCGGTAAATGAATTATTATAGCTGATGCAGGCAAAATGCACAAGAGGGAGGTGTCAGCAGTCTTGGAGGAAGCCCTAATCTTCGAAGACATATACACACACACGTGCACACACAAATCTTTATAGAAAAAACTCCCTGAAAATGGAAGAATATCAAGTGCTCCATACTACATTTTCTTGCTGCTCCCGTTTGCATCTGTACAAAATGTAGCCGTGTGCATGTTTGTGTGTATGTATGAGGCTGTGTACAGCACCCCACAACCTGAGAACCACCTGCCCCACAGCCTGCCCTGAATCAATTTGGAGGTGGGAGTTTAACGCCCAATTAGAGAGTCAGTAGTGGTTAAGGGTGTTGGATTAGGACTTGGGAGATCAGGGTTCAAATCCCCAGTCATGGAGCTCCCTGGATGACCTTGTGAGTCAGTCACAGCCTCTTAACCTACCTCACAGGGTTGTTGCATGGGTTAACTGAGAAGGGGTGGTGGTGAACAATGGACTCCTTGGATGAAAAAGCGGGAGATAAATGCATTAAATAAGCTCTTCTGCTGACCTGCTGGAGAGGCCAGCCAGATGGAGATGTCAGTTGCCAAACTGGCATCCAGAGATCTCCATGGGGTTGCAATTGGACCCATGCAAGTCACAAAACGCACCTGGCTGATTTCTAACATTGGGGCTTCCCATTGGGCCATCTGGCTGGCCACTGTGGGGGAAAGACGCTGGACTAGAGGGGCTTGATGCAGCTGCCGCAGGGCTTCCTTGCAACGCTTCTGCCCTGCTGTCAGGGCTGGAGTCAGATGCAGGTCAGCATGAAAGGCGCAGGGCTCCATGGTCAGTGAAGTTAACGTATTATTCAAGGAAATGGCATACAACTTAGCAACCCTTCCCAGGTGGTCTTGCCCCTATGGAGCCATTGCCAGGACGGAAGGTCCCTGCCTTCCACCTTAAGGCTCCTCCTTTCCCAGTTGTTTCCCAAGCAGTCTCAAGCTGTGTCTGCACACCTCTTGCCTCTGTTTTGCCCTCCTCATTATTCTGTGTGTTCGTGGAGAGAGCTTGTTGCAGTCAGAGAGGGAGACTCCTGGTTCTTCTGCAGCCTCTTGACTCCCCTCCTCTGCTGCAGCCGGGAGTCTGAACTGCTCCCTGTCACAGACTCCTCCTGCTCACTAAACCCTGTTACCTTTTCAGTATCCAACACCACCTCCTAATCTTCCCCCTCCTCAGTGTCCCACCACCAATCCCTGAGCTTTCCTCCTCCAGGATTTCCCTTGGGGGTTTCCTGGCTGGCACCTCCCACCACTCCTCCCCATGCAGCCAGTCCCTGTTACCTGAGGAGCGGCACTCCACTCCCCTGGCCTGCTGGCCGCCCTTACCTTGGCCGTCTGATCTAGGGAGGCTGTGGCGGCACGGGCCATGGGGCCGCCCATGCCGCAGCAGAGGTCCGTGATAGGAAGGCTGTGTCTCGACCACACATGGCGGGGCTCTGGGCTCTGGGCGTTCTCGGCCTGCAGCACGCTGGGGAAAGGGGGGAAGGAAGAGGCCTCAGCACACAGCAAGCGGGGAAAGGAAAGCGGGGGTCCCAGGAAATGCGCATGGCGGGTGTGAGGGAACGTGGCTCGGTTCCAGATGCATTTGCCCAAATAAAAGCAATGGCGTGTCTGGAGTTGGCTCTCCTCAAGCTTTTCACGGGAGACAGTATTGATTTTCTTACAGTCTGGACTCCCTGACGTTTGTATATCTAACGTATCTCTTTGTTGGAGATGTAATACGGACAATGCTTCTTTGAAACACATGCTTCTGCTATGTCGCACACTTACTAAGTTTTGGGAGAAAGTGCTGGACTATATAAACAACGCCATACGGAAAAACTCAAGATTTTCAGAGGTGAATATGCTCTTGAACCCATTGTATGGAAACTGACAACAGGACAGCGAAAACGGATTCTACGCACCCTAATGTTGGCCAAGGGATTGATATTGATGAAATGGAAGGATGGAGGTACGATTCCCCTTAATCAATGGCTTGACAACATAGGAACAGCTTATAGACGCAGACTTTCTTTGCATAAATACAATGATATTTGGAAGGAGCTTGCACAGAATCTATTAGGTTTTTGACAATTAAGCGTGCATTAGGATAATAAGAATATACGCAGCTGTATATTAAGGGATGGTAATGTATATTTTCCCTTTTTCATTCACACCCACTTTTTCTTTCTTTTCTCTGCTGCCCCACCCACTTTTGCCTCCGGCCCCCAGAGTGCTGCCTGGAAGACAACTCGGCCCTTTCCCAACATGATGACGTTTTGTAGCTCCTGAAACCGAAGAGGTTAAGGGCTGTGAGATCGGGGGGGGCGGGGCGGGCACTCTGTCCTCAGAGCACCCTCTGCCATTGGATGACAGTCGACAAACAGTGGAGAGCGAAGGAGGCTGGGAACAGAGGCTGCAGGATCCAACCATGGGAGCCTCCCCTCCGGCTGGCTGTCCTTGCGGCCTCGATGGCCAAAGCAATTAAGGAAGAGATGCCGCCTGTCAAAAGCTCTGCTGGCCCAGGGGGTCAGGGACGTGCTGGCATCTCCATGCCAACTGCTGCTTCGGTGGGGAGGGAGCCAGTAAACAACACTGGCACAGCGTGCAAAGTTTGGGGAGGGGGGGAGGCGAGGCAGAGGCTTCCATCGTGCCATTATTTCTGTCAAAGGGGGCCCAAAGCAGCCTGGTTAACGGGAATTGGGTGCCTGCCTGCAATGGGAGGCAAACAGAAGAAGGCTTGGCATCCTGGCAGCTCCTGTGCTACGAAACCTAAATTGTTTCAGGAGGAGGCGGCTGCCCACAGGGTCCCTGCATGAGTTGCTGTTCCACCCTCGCCTCCTTCTGATCAACCACTGGTCTGTGCGACGGGCTCGACCGCCATCATCCCACAGCCCTGCCCCAGAAACTGCCTGCTGTGCCTCTGCAAGGCCTGCGGCTCTGGGGCTGCATCAAAGCCAGCCATGGTGGGAAGCTTCGGAAAACGAGCCTCCGTTTTAAGAAGAGACTCAGCCAGAGACAGACACGAGTGAGCCAAAAGGTTGCAGAATAGGAAACCTCTGCAAACGGAATAAGCAAGGTCATTGAAGACTTTTGCCTCTTAGAATCGTCTGATCGCAGAGCTGGGAGGGAGCCCAAGGGTCAACTAGTCCAACCTCTAGGTTAGAAGGGATATAAAAGGAGAAGGAAAGCTGCTGCCAGTTTGTGTATGCAACACTGAACTTAATAATAATAATAATAATAATAATAATAATAATAATATATTATTTATTATTTATATCCCACCCATCGGGCTGGGTTTCCCCATCCACTCTGGGCGGCTTCCAACAAAACACTGAAATACAATAACAATAATAAGATGGCTCATAGAATCGTAGAGTTGGAAGATGGCTATTGTATCAGATCCCCACAGCCTTAGGAGGAACGGCTGAAGGAGCTGGGAGTGCGGAGCCTGGAAAAGAGGGGACTGAGAGCAGACGGGAGAGCCATCTTCCAATATCTCAAGCAAAGGCTGCCCCGTGGAAGAGGGAACAAGCTTGTTTTCTCCTGCTCTGGAAGGTAGGACTCGAACCCATGGCTTCAGGTTACAAGAAAGGAGATTCTGACTCAACATCAGGAAGAACTTTATGACACTAAGAGCTGTTCGACAGTGGAACGGTCTCCCTCGGGAGGTTGTGGACTCTCCTTCCTTGGAGGTTTTAAAGCAAAGGTTGGAGGGCCATCTGTAATGGATGTTTCAGCTGAGATTCCTGCATTGCAGGGGGTTGGACTAGATGACCCTCAGGATTCCTTCCAACTCCACCATTCTATGGTCTCTCACTTGCCTCCTTCCCAGGCTAAACATACCAAGCTCCTTCAACAGTTCCTCATCAGGCTTTGCTTCCAGACTCAGGATCATCTCAGTCGCCCTCCTCGGCACACCTTCCAACTTCTCCATCTCTTACCTGTACAGGTTCCACACTATCACAAGGCTGTCCTTCGCTCCGGAGAGGAAGTGGCTGCTGTCGTCTGTGAAGGCCACGCAGGAAAGATCCTGGTAGTGCCGGTTCAGAATGGCAAGCAGGTTCCCGCTAGACACCTGGGGCAGGGAAGCGACCCCAACGTATTTGGGAGGTGGGGAAGAGAAGAGAAAATCAGGAGAGATTAGGAATCAAATGACACCCTGGACCTGATTTACCAAGGGAGACTGTAAATGAAATATCAGAGTTCAACACCTAATACCCACTTCTGACACCAGATAGATATTGTACCCCAATATTTCCCTAACAAAACCACCTGCAAGCTCAGGACTAGCAGAGTTTCCCAAAGCTGGGTTTCCAGCTGTTTTTTTGACTATAATTTCCATCATCCCTTACCACTGGTCCTGCTAGCTCGGGTTACGGGAGTTGTAGTCCAAAAACAGCTGGAGACCAGAGTTTGGAAAATCCTGATCTACAGTGATTCAAAATGCCTCTCAAGGGTTGCAGGTGGGGGATATTCCAGCATCGAGGATTAAGCCTGGGACCTTCTGAATGGGAAGAGCAGGTACTCTGGCGCTGAGCTATGCCCCTTCCTCTAGAAAGAAAGCAAGACTCTGGTCCGTGCGAAGGCTCATTTCATAGGAACGCAGGAAACGGGCTTTTTAGAGAATCAGATGCTGGTCCACCTAGCTGGTACTATCAGTACTGGCTGGCAGCGGTTCAGACTCAGGGGTCTTTCACAGCCGAGCAGAGAAAGACCCTGGGACCTTCTGCATGCAAAGCAGTCACACCTCTGCTGACTTAAAGTCCTTCCCCTAAACCCTAGAAATTAATAAATGGTAGGATTTTTATTATTTGGGATGTGGAGGGAGAAATACAAGCTGCAGAGGAATTCCTGGACTAGCCTACGCAAAAGGACCTGGCCAAGCTAGGGCCACGTAGGAACAATAGAGGGCCACTGAGGATAACTGTCCTCCCTTCTTGCCCTGAGATGTGGACAAAGACTTGGGGTTTGGAAGGCTGCAGGGTAACTGGGTGTGAAGTGACAAGAAAAGAGAGGGGTTTCAAGCAAGGTGTGCTGGGAAGAAGAAAGGGAGAGAAGAAAGGCTGGGATCCATCTTGGGCAGGCTGGCTGCAGGCTGGCTGGGAGAGATGCCTTGGAGTCCAGGGCTGCACAAGCCCCTCTTGAAATGACCATGCGGTCAGATCGGGGCTCCCTCCAGGCAGACTGAAGGTGTAAATAGGGGAATAAACCATATTTCTTAAAGCTATGTCAGTCTCTGCCATGTCTCAATTCTCCAAAGGACCACAGACCCTGGGTGGGTGCCTGGAACTCCCAGAGTCTTACAGTGGGTGGGGGTGGCACCTGACTTTTGAAACAATAGGATTCTGGTCCTCATTGTTCTGATTTAGATAGGAACCCACAAAGCTATACCAAATTACATCGTCAGACTTCATGCTCAGGACGATCTAGTGAATCTCTGGGGTTTCAGGCTGGGGCTTGTGTGTATGATATTCCAAGCCCTACCTGGAGATGCTCAACAGCTAAGCTAGGCACAAAGGCAGGAAGCAGCAAAATGTTAAATGATTCTAGTCCTCATGACTATACTGACATTCAAAGGACTGATGAAAAGACTGCAAGGGAAGAGAGACTTTGTGTCGGCCACCAGGCAATGGCTTTTTCACCTGCCTTGACCCACCCTCCAGCCCTGGGAGCCTTTCCCAGAACATGACTTTGAGAACAGTAGAAGCATCCATGAAGAGAGGAGTTCCTAGATTTAAACCAATTTTATACGTTGTGTGTCCTTGTTTTTCAATTTGATCCTTTTACATTGCTTTATATGTTTTGTTTTGTTTTATTTTGTTTTGTTTTATGCATTGTGACTTGCCATTATTTACCGGTATATTGATTATAGTTGAGTAATTCTTTATTGCAAACTCCTTAAAGCCTAGATAGTTCAACTGGTTATGATAACGCCAAGGTTGCAGTTTCGATCCCTGTATGGGACAGCTGCATATTTCTGCATTGCAGGGGGTTGGACTAATGACGAGTCCCTACGATGCTATGATTATTTGATATTTAATTTTACTGCTTACTATTATATACTAATGGAATACTGAATATTGCTTTATTTGACAGAAGTTGTTTATTACGACTTCTTTTTGTCTTGGATCAGATTCTTATTAGAATCTGTGCAATCTTTGCTGTCTATTTTGTTGTCCCTTCAGCTCATAAACTGCCCTGTGTACAGAAAAGTGGTATACAAGAAGTGAAATGAAACCGTCCATCTAGCTTAATATTGTGTACACTGACTGGCAGAGGCTCTGCAGGGCTTCAGGCAGGGAGTCTTCCGCAGCCCTACCTGGAGATGCCCCATGGGAACGAACCTGGGTCTTTCTGCATGCAAAGCAGGTGCCCAGCATGTTATTCCCAGGCACGCGTATTCAAGGCTGCAGCCCAGTTGTCTACCTCTATATCCTCCTGTCTGATGACACAGTGACAAGGCAGGAGGCGTCAAGACCAAGACAGAGACAGGAGCCTCGTAGCCTCGGGGCTGCTGCTTGGGTGAACCTGTAAGGAAGTCACAAGCCACAGCCGCCTGGCGTATTATTAGCCGCATCGCGGAATGATTTGCATTACAATAAGCGGACAGTTATCAGCCCTCTGGGAGTATCGCTTGAGCTGCTGATCTGGTTGGAGCGGTGCCAAGGCCGCTCTCCTCTTCCAGAACCAGCACCCAAGGGATACCTGTCTGACCCCCCCCCCCTCCACTGGCAGCTTCTCAAAAGCGGGGCTGGAGAAAGTTATTTATCTCCAGCTGCCTTTAAACTAAGAGGCCGAACTTTTAAGCTCTGTATTGTTACTGGGTTCAAATCCTCAGTTTTTGATTCCTTGCAATGCGGTTAAGTTAAACACAGATGTGATGCTGGCCTTTTGACTGCTGTTTCGACTTGCTTTGATTTTTAAAAATTTGAATCCTGTTCTGTGTCTTAAGGGAAGCTACCCTGAGGAGGGTTTGAGTTTAAAGGCACACCAGAAATATTTAAATATATTTTGATAACCGCCCCACCCCAAATTGGTTGCTGGACATGGCGTAGGGTTTCTGGTGTGCCATGGGGAAGGCGACTTGTCTGCCCTGAACTTTTCTGCACCCCTGTTTGAATTCAAAGCCGGATAGACAGCACAGTAACTATAAGGCTGGAAAATAAGGTTACAGAAAAACAGAAACACAAGATTTGATTCCTGGGAGTTCAAGGAAGGAGTTCTGTGTAGAGCTTGTGAGCACTTCATCTCAGGAACGAAGAGGAGGGCCTGAGATCTTTTTTTTTATGTTTCTATATGTGTTGGAAGCTGCCTAGAGTGGATGGGGTGTAAGTAAAGCCTCATGCCATTGCCTTTCCTCTCAATGGTCACCTGGGGGGAAGCAGTTCCACTAGACTACTTCAGAGGGAGAGACAGGAAGCACCAGGCACTTCCTGCCCCTGAATTGTGCTGGCTGATCGTTACAGGAACCAGTGCCTAAGTTTGGATTTTCCTCTTCCCTCCCTGCTCCTTTCCCCTTGTGTGCTGTGCCTTTGTAGACTGTAAGCCTGCAAGCACCGGGGGCTGTACTGTATGAAAGCCACTCTGGGAGCATTTTGGGGTACAAACGCTCAAAACTAACTAACTAACTAACTAAATAAATAAATATTATATATATATATATGTATAAAATAAACAGCGGTCAGTCCTAGCCAGGCTGATTATCAGCATCTCCCAATATTGACGCACCAAGCAGACGAGTCAGTTGATGCGAGGCTGTTCTGGGAGGGGCTCACTGGCAGATGGTCTTAGCCAGGCTGGAGAAGCCAGGGGGCATTTGATATCTTGCCAGCCAGGTGGAAAGGCTCTGCTGACGGAGGCAGAGGTGGGAAGGAGGAGCTGATCCAGACTTGTTACAACTCGTGGAAGAGGAGGGGTCTGCCATGCTTCCCTGCTCTGATGCAGCCGGGTGGAAGGGCTGCTGACGGAGGCGGTTCTGAGGAACGCGGCAGATTTTGGAGACGGTAGGCCGCAGATCATGGTTGCCGGGGTGTCGGCAGCAGGTGAAGGGTCACTGGCTGCCCCTGGGCCCTGCTTGCACAGAAGCATCCGGCTGGCCACGGAGGAAAAACGGAGTGCAGCAGCAGGTTGGGGGTGTGGGAGGAGAAAGGCAGGCGGGCTCCTTGCGTCCACACCCCCACCAGCAAAGTTTGTCTAAAGATAAAAGAAATGGCTTCTTCACACAGCACAGAGTACGGAATCCCCTCCCACAGAAAGCAGTGCTGACCACCAACTTGGGATGAGGGCAGGGCGATATATCAACATATTGCCCAAAACCATTTTGAAGTCCGTATCATGATACCAATTTCATAGTTTTTGACCAGGCAATAAATCACGAATCATGATGTGTTAGGGCTGGGCAATATGTCGTCCAAAGCCATTTTGAAGTCCATAACATGATATTGGTTTCATAATTTTTGACCGGGCAATTTATGGTGAATCTGTGTGTGTGTGTAATAGAGAGATACAAAAATCTCAATGCAGGGAAAAGTGTGAAGCCAGCCAGTGCCTCTGCATAGCTACATCCTTATTTCAGACATCGTGATATTAAAGAGGTAAAGGGACCCCTGACCATTAGGTCCAGCCGCGGACGACTCTGGGGTTGCAGCACTCATCTTGCTTTATCGGCCGAGGGAGCTGGCGTACAGCTTCCGGGTCATGTGGCCAGCATGACTAAGCCGCTTCTGGCAAACCAGAGCAGTGCACGGAAACGCCGTTTACCTTCCCTCCGGAGTGGTACCTATTTATCTACTTGCACTTTGATGTGCTTTCGAACTGCTAGGTTGGCAGGAGCAGGGACCGAGCAACGGGAGCTCACCCCGTCGCGGGGATTCGAACCGCCGACCTTCTGATCGGCAAGTCTGGGGAGTCTGTGGTTTAACCCACAGCGCCACCTTATCATGATATTATCCGGTTATAAATAGCGATGTTCAAAACCAGGTATCGTCCAGCCTATAACTTGAACTCGGCAAATTTAAGGAGGAGGGGAAGGCTATCAGCAGCTACTAACCATGATGGCTCTGCCTTCGCAGTTGGAGTCAGCAATGCATCTGAATCCCAGTTGCTGGAAACTGCAAGAGGGCAAAGGGCTCTTGCACTTGCATCCAGCTTGCAGGTTTCCCCACTGAGGCTTCTGTTTGGCCACTGTGAGAACAGGATGTTGGTCTAGACGTGACGCTGGCCTGATCCAGCAAGCAAGCTCTACTTATGTATTTGAAGTCATCAAAAAAGGAAACTCAAATTTGATTCCATTACGGCTTTAAACTGCCCAGGACGGATCTAATTATTTTACAGCGCTGCCAATATTGCTGTCAAGCCACCCACCACTTTCCCTCCCCGCCGCCACCAAAAGACATAAATGTGACACCTTCTGGGCTTGATGGCTGGGTGTCCTTTCGCTTCCTTCACCCAGGGGTGAAGGGTTGCTGCAGGCAAGCATCTTGGGCTGCTGCGGACAACTTCAAAAGGAGAAAGTTTTAAGGGGGAAAAGAGACGCCGTCAGCAGTTCCACAAGGCTCATCTTTTGCAATATTCATCCTGCTCCTCACCACCTTGCTCAAACGTGCAGAAGAAATTGGGGCAGGGACAGGATACTGGGTTGTGAGGCAAGGAAGGAGAAGAATCTGCAGCTAAGTGGAGCATAAGGACCCGAAGGTTGTATTTTTGGGAGCAGCGCTGGAGGGCAGCCAGAACCGGGTATGCTGCCAGATACCTGCTCAGGCTATATGTGCTCTACCTAGTGCGGCTACTTGCCGCTTCTTCTCCCTCTCTCGTAATGCTAGAACTCGGGGCCATAGGATGCAGCTGAATGTTGGAAGCACAGCTCCCTCCGTTGGCTCTGTTGCGACAGGCCAGCTCCATCAGGCACCCTCTCCATATCCTCTCAGCCTCTTTATTAATAATAATAATAATAATAATAATAATTATTATTATTATTATTATGAATTCACACACATTTTTTATTCCGTTGATATTAAATGGCTCAGAAACAGTAGTCTGCAAAACAGGCTTGAAAGTAGTTTTTGAGATAAAACAAACAGGTATTTTGAACGAGTGAATAGGCTTTTAAAAATAAGTCAGTTAAAAAACCATGCATGTTTCTTTCTTTAGAACATGCATAAGAGACCGGAGAAGCCAGTATAAGTTGCAATTTCAGCTGAATTTGGGGAAACCACTCGAAGCATCCATTGTGTTGAGCTATTTAAATTGCTTTTGTTTGATGTGTTCAATGGAAACAGCTAAAAGTCTGTAAATTTTGATAACACATGGTTGCTCTGGATGCAAACGGGATCCATTCCGGAGCCTCGTTCGCATCCAGAAGCAAACGCAACCCACGTCCGCGCGTGCCGCGATTCGCCGCTTCTGCACATGATGTCATTTTGACGGTCTGCGCATGTGCGAGAGGTGAAACCCGGAAGTAACGTGCTCCGTTACTTCCGGGTCGCCGCAGCGCGCAACCCAAAAATACTTATCCCAAAGCTACTTCAACACGAGGTATGACTGTAAACCTGATTTGCAATGGGGGTTGAATAATTTCAATGGCAACTGTAGGACGCAGAGCTCCCTCCATCAGATCTGCTGCGACAGGCCAGCTCCATTGGGTCTCCTCTCCCCTCAACCTTCATCTGGGGGCAGCCTCAGTGGGAAAGATAGGAAGCAGGGGTCCCTCCATCAGGCACCTCCTGCCCCTGAACTGTGCCAGCTGATCGTTACAGGAAGAACTCTTTAGAAACTGGTGCCTGAGTTTCTGTTTTCCTCTTCCCTCCCAGTCCCTTTTCCCTTGTGTGTCGTGTTTTCTTTAAGACTGTAAATCTGTAGGGAAGGACTGTTTCATTCTGACTGTATGCAAGCTGCTCTGGGAGAATTTTGGTTGAAGAGCAGCGTAAAGCTGCTCTAATAAAACAATTAATTACACAGGGAGCTTCAGGCAAAAGGAAGGACTTCTTGGCATGGTGCATTTTTAAACTGTGGAGTTTGCTCCCGTAAGAGGGTGTGACGGCCATCGATTCAACGACTGCTTTAGAAGAGGATTAGACAAACTCACAGAGGTGGCTGTCATTGGCCACTTGCCACAACGGCTATATTTTACATTGTGATTTTATAATGTGAACCACCCTGACCTGCAGGTATAGGGCGGTATACTAATTTATTTATTCTTCATCATAATCATAATCTAGGTCTGCTGTTAGAGACAGTAAATGCCTCTGAACGCCAGTTTCTTGGAATTGCAGGAGGGAACAGATCCTGAGAGCCAGTGTGGCGTAGTGGTTAAGAGCGGTAGTCTCGTAATCTGGGGAACCGGGTTCGCGTCTCTGCTCCTCCACCTGCAGCTGCTGGGTGACCTTGGGCTAGTCAAACTGCTTTGAAGTCTCTCAGCCCCACTCATCTCACAGAGTGTTTGTTGTGGGGGAGGAAGGGAAAGGAGAATGTTAGCTGCTTTGAGACTCCTTAAAGGGAGTGAAAGGCGGGATATCAAATCCAAACTCTTCTTCTTCTGCTGCATTCAAGACCTGCTTGTGGGCTTCCCTTTGGGGCATCTTTTTGGCACTGGACTGGGGGGGGGCTCTCCCTTGGACTGACCCAGCCCAAGGGCTCTCCTGATGGTCTCTTCTTGCATAACACCTGGCTGGAGATCTTTAAAATGGCAGCAGGAAAAGGAACAAAGCTAACTAATTTGGGCCAGATTGAAGAACTCACTTTCCCAGCCTTGCTCCTTGCCTAGGAAACAGAATTAGCATCATGGACAGGTGAGGAGACAAAGTCAGCTCCTGCCCCCTTGTGGCAAGGTCTCATTCTGCACATTAATAATGCTTCCAAATATCTTTTCTTTCAGGTATGGTGGCAAAACTTGAACAGCTTATAATATTAATTTTATTATTTGCACCCCACCCATTGGATTGGGATGCCCCATCCACTCTAGGTGGCATCCAACGTATATAAAAACATAATAAAATACTACACGTTAAAAAGTTTCCCGATACAGGGCTGCCTTCAGATGTCTTCTAAAGGTTATCTAGTTACTCCTCTCCTTGACATCTGATGGGAGGTCATTCCACAGGGTGGGTGCCACTACCAAGAAGGCCCTCTGCCTGCACCTAGTTTGCTGTGTGGATTGGGGGCGGGGAATACAGAAGCCCATCTCCCACTGCTGCGTTCTGCCTCTTTGCTAGTGGCTCTGTATCTATAAAGTGACCTCCCTACTGGAGGTTTTTAAGCAGAGGTAGGATGGCCATCTGTCATGGATGCATGCACTGAGGTTCCTGCACTGTAGGGGGCTGGACTAGATGACCCCTGGGATCCCTTCCAACTCTACCATTCTATGATTCTATACTGAAGTGGCTTCTACAAGGGCTGAAGCATTAAGGACCAAGCATGCAGAAGGTCCCGGGATCAATCCCTGACATCCCCAGGTAGGGTTGGGGAAAACTCATTACTTAAAACCCAAAATAAGCCAGGCATCAGGCACATTTTGCAGCTGGATATCGACCACTTGCGACCAAGTGAAGATGCATGGGTGTCAGGATGGCATCTGACATCTCCACCATCTGGAGATGTTTGCCTGGAGATCCTTTTCACACACCAACACCCTATCCTGTAGAATTCTATCCGCTAAATTTTGTATGCACAATCGGAATGAATTTCAGGAACCAACATGCTTTTTCTGTGCAGCCTGAGCAAGAACAGCGTTATAGTGAATTGTTGCTGCTTGCCTTTGCTCCCCACCCCGCCCCCCATCCTGCTCCTACGTTATGAATGGTCTGAGTCACCATTAAGAAAGTGAGTTCGGAATAGGCCAGTATATATGCGGACTGTCCCTGGATCAAGTGACTTTCCTTCTTTTAAGTTCTCAAAGCTCTTAACCTGGATCAAGGCTGTCAACTGAACTAATGTTCAACTAAGGGGAGAGTGCTTTTGTGACCTGGTTCTGCTTGTGGGTTTTCCTGACACAGGACCAGATGGGCCATTGGCCTGATTCCACAGGCTCTCCTTGGGTTCTTATGAGGTTCTCCAATCCTGCTGAAGGCCATCAGTTCCTCCCACCCCACCCCCAAGTGGCCAAGGGAGATCACCCACCCACTTTTGCCACCTTCCTTACCTCCCAGAGGTAGATGCTTTCGGCGATGCCTGCCAAGATGTAGAGACCGTTGGGCGCTGCGGCCAAGCAAGACACCAAGCCTGGGCAGATTATCTTCTGCTGGAGCTGATCCTAGGGACAAACAGGGGCAGTGGAGGGAAAGAGTATTATTTATTTGTTACTTATTAAAATATTTCTGTACTGCCCCACACATCAATCTCTGGGCAGTGTACCACAATAAAAACACACACGCCCTAATACCACAATAAAAACATGGGGAGATTCAGGACACATAAAAGAAAGTACTTCTTCAACGCAGCACATAGTTAAACTGTGGAACTTGCTCCCACAAGAGGGTGGGACAGCCACCAACTTGGTTGGTTTTAAGGGCCAAATAAACAAATTCATGGTTGGAGAGGTCTATCAATGGCTATTTACTGTGATGATATGCTCTGCCTCCACAGTCCGGGGCAGCAATGGTTCTGAATACCAGTTACTGGAAACCACAGGAGGGGAGAGGGCTCTTGTGCTCAAGTCCTACTTCATAAGATCACAGGACTGTAGAATTGGAAGGGACCCCAAGGCTCCTCTAGCCCAACCCCAGGCAATGCAGGAATATGCAGCCGCCCCATTGAACCTGCAACCTTGGCGTTATCAGTACCATGCTCTAACCAACTGAGCTATCCAGTTGGATTTTCTTGTTTTCCACAGGCATCTATCTGCTTGTATACAGTGAGAATGCTGGACAAGATGGGTCATTGGCCTGATTCTCCAGGAGTCTTATGTCAGTGAGTAAATTAATCATTAAAAAATTTAAAAACCCATATTGGAATGGAAAGCTGATCAGATGCTGAAAATGGATGCTCCAAAAGTGTACAGTGGTACCTCGGGTTACAGATGCTTCAGGTTACAGACTCTGCTAACCCAGAAATAGTACCTCAGGTTAAGAACTTTGCTTCAGGATGAGAACAGAAATCCTGTGGCGGCTGCGCAGCAGCAGCGGGAGGCGCTATTAGCTAAAGTGGTGCCTCAGGGTAAGAACAATTTCAGGTTAAGAACGGACCTCTGGAACGAATTAAGTTCTTAACCCGAGGTACCGCTGTATCCACTTGTGGATAGCTCAGTCAGTAGAGCACGAGGCTCTGAATCTCAGGGTCATGGGTTTGAGCTTCATGCTGGGCAAGAGATTCCTGCATTGCAGTGGGTTCGACTAGGTGACCCTGGTGGTCCCTTCCAACTTCACAAATCTAGGATTCTATCCTACATAGTAGAGCAGGGGCCTGCAAAATGTGGTCCGCAAGCTTCATTTGGATGGTCTGCGGCATTTCTGTGAAGACTTGATCTGGTGGAAATCTCTTGTGTGACTGGGAGAGATACTTCTCCCTACCTGATCCCCAGTGTGGGGCTGCATACACGTTACAGTTTACTACAGAGCAGGTGCCACTCTTAAAACAACCTAGATCTGAGTTTGATTGCTGAAATGAAATAAGATGCCTTTGTGTGCACCCCCAGTCAGGAGTTTAAGCTACTGGGAGATGTGACTGAACACTTCTTTTTTTAAAAGTGAGTTGGGATTTCAGTTCTAATCCATTACAGTATTTGGGAAAATGCTTAAAAACTCTGGGAGAGCACAGTTGAGAGAGGCGGAGGAGGAGGCTTAAGACGATAAGAGAGCTGGGAAGAAAGCAAATGAACTGTGTTGTAGCAGAGAGGGATATCAAGCTATCCAGGACAGAAGGGCTAGAGAGGAACTGCAACCCAGACAGGCATAATAGGCTTGGCTTTTATCTTTCAGCTGGAGTAACATAATGCAAGTGGAAAGACGGTTGGAAATTCTGAAGCAGCTAGAGTGAAAGATTACCCGGTTCGGAGCGTCTAACAGTTTAAAGCCCTGGCACACAGCAGAAACCACAACCAAGCTATGCTCTGTGTTACTTCTTCATGCAGATTGCAGTTAACTTGGGTGGCTTTTAAAGAAGACTGGGCAAACTGGCACCAGCCAGAATGGCCAATCTCTGCTTCCCTGGTCGGAGGCAGTAATGTTTCTGAATACCAGCTGCTGTAAACCACAGGAGGGGAGAGCTGCTGGTCTTGCAGGCTCTTCTCACATTCTCTCTTAGCTCCCCTCCATCTGCAATGCTGGGTTAACAGTACAGCGCTACCTTGCAGGGCTGTTGTAAGCCTTATAAGGCAATGCACGCAAAGCCCAAGATAAACAAACTGTATCATTATCAAAAGTTTTCTCTCCTGGTCTATTTATTATGAGGAGGGGGTGATGTTTTTGAAGGGTGCTGGTCTCCCACAGCTTTTCAGGCTGTTGTGGAGGAGAGCCTTGTCTCCCCACCCAGAATGTATTGGAGTACAACTCCCAGCATCCCTGAACATGGGCCATGCTGGATACTGGAGCAGGTGAGAGCTGGAGGTCCGAAAAGCAGCTGGCTATCGGCCACTTGTGATCAAGTGAAGATGATGGTGCTGGACATCTCCTCCATCTGGGGATCGTTGTATCTGGACTGTTTTCACACACTTATACCCCATCCTGTCAAATTCTATCTGTTATATTTTATCTGCACAATAAGGGTGAATTTCAGGAACCAAAATGTGTTGTCAGTGCCGCCTAAGCAGTAGCAGTGAACATTGTTGTAGTGAATGGTTGTCACTTGTCAGTTACCCCACTGCCCTGCTCAGAGTTGGGAAGAATATTCCTATGTTATGAATGGTCACTATTGTCACTATGGAATGGTCTATGTCACTATTAAGAAAAAGGGGTCGGAATAGGTCAATATACAGTGGTACCTCGGGTTACATACGCTTCAGGTTACAGACTCCGCTAACCCAGAAATAGTGCTTCAGGTTAAGAACTTTGCTTCAGGATGAGAACAGAAACCGTGCTCCAGTGGCATGGCAGAAGCAGGAGGCCCCATTAGCTAAAGTGGTGCTTCAGGTTAAGAACAGTTTCAGGTTAAGTACGGACCTCTGGAACAAATTAAGTACTTAACCCGAGGTACCACTGTGTATGTAGACTGTCCCTGGGTCAAGTGACTTTTCTTCTTCACGTTCTCAAAGCTCTTAACCTGGCTCAAGGTTGTCCTCTGAACTAGCCAGATGTTTAACTGAGAATCAATCACAGTCAGTCCATCCTTTGGAAAACAAGACTCAGCCTAGAGCAGGGTGCCCATACTTTTTTCAGAGAGGGCCAGATTTGATGTCACATAGAGGAGGGAGAAAGGTTGTTTTCTGCTGCTCCAGAGAAGCGGACACGGAGCAATGGATCCAAACTACAAGAAAGAAGATTCCACCTAAACATTAGGAAGAACTTCCTGACAGTAAGAGCTGTTTGACAGTGGAATTTGCTGCCAAGGAGTGTGGTGGAGTCTCCTTCTTTGGAGGTCTTTAAGCAGAGGCTTGACAACCATATGTCAGGAATGCTCTGATGGTGTTTCCTGCTTGGCAGGGGGTTGGACTCGATGGCCCTTGTGGTCTCTTCCAACTCTAGGATTCTATGATGAAGTGAACATGCGTGAAGGCCGACCAAAGTTGCTGAGCTTTTTTTTACAATTTTACCCCAAAATTGTTGAGGTTTCTTTAGGATTTTTACCCCCCCCCCCGAAACAGACTTTGGACAGGGAATCTGGGGGGGGGGGTGTCATGTCTAGAGTTGGGGTTTCCATGGGAACCCCATGGGGGGGTCACTCCCGGGGGCGGGGCTTCCTGAGGATGCGCGTGCGCGCGCAGCCCCCTCCCTCCCCCCCCCGTGGTCCTACCTTCCTCTGGAGCTCCCAGGCGCCCACACAGGCCTTGCCCAGCTGCGCCCCAAGCAGGTGCTCCCCGCCCAGCAGCGCCATCCCGCGAGCCGCGCAGCTGAACCCGCGGTATCCGGCCACCGACGCCCCGGAGCCCACTTCCCACACCGAGCAGCCGCCTCCGGACGACGAGGCCGCCTCAGCCGCCGACACCAGCGCCACCTCCACGGGGCCGCCGGCAGCCGCCATCTTGGGCCGTCACGCCTCCTCCCCGCGCGCATGCGCGTCCGCAGGAGGGAGCGCGAGGGAATCTTCGCCTCCTCCGGCGCCAGGCCCCGCCCCTTGATCGCCGGAAGTGACGAACGAAACAATAGAGGCGGAGAACCATAGAGTTTGCCCTTAGGACTACAGCTCCCAGAAGCCCTCAGGGATAGGAGCCGTACAGCGTTTCCCAACCTTGGGCCCCAAGCTCTTTTTTTGGACTACAACTCCCCTCATTCCTAGCTACCAAGGGGTGATGGGAATTGTGGTCTGGAAGCAGCTGGAGACCCCCTGGCCTAATGGATCTGGGTGGGTCTCTGGAACTCCCTGCCTTTTGATTTCAAGCAGGCGCCTTCACAAAATCCTAAAATTTGAACGGACCTCCCACGTTATTTTGGCTGAGTTGTTATTAATAAAAATGCTATCATCGTAATGATTATGGCAGTATAGTTGTATTTTGTATTAAGCATGTGAATATGCGTACAATTGTTTTTTAAGCATCGAGTGGCGCTTCACACAAGCTTGTTCTAGTTCTCAGAAGCATGCCATTAATTTCTAAAAGGGGGGTCTGGAAGATGTTGGCTGAACTCCCAGCTCAGCTCCAGCAGCCAGCATGGTCAGCGGTCAGATATGATGATTTCTGGAAGCCCAGTATCATCTGAAAGACCACAGTTCTCCCATCCTTGCTCTAAGAAGTAGGATTCCCTGTGAGAGATTGAGGGATGCCTCTATTTAGAGATGAGGGATGGTGAAAGGCGGTATCCCTCCAGATATCATAGAAGGAATGCCTGTTTTCTCAGGAAGGAATGCCTCTCTCTTCTCAGACCAGGGATGGGGATCCAAATATTGTTGGAAATCAAATTCCCACAAGCAACAGCCAGCACAGCCAGGGGGTCACAAATTCTTCATTCCTCTGCTAAAACCATATTATTGTGGTGATCTTGTAGTTGTCTGTCTCAAGAGGCAATGGAGTGTGCCTCTGGGGGCAAAGTCAAATCGCTGCGTGAGCAGCACCAAAATGACCTCCCTGGCTGAAAAAGCTTCTGTGCCCCATGAAAGTCAATCAATAAAAACAACAAATACAGCTCACAAACACCAGATCTATCAATTAATGCAACTCTTTTATTGGTTATTACCTCATTAATCTCTGTAAACTTGTAGCAGTACAAAAATATTATTCTTTGAATTACAATGCATTTCAGGAGTTTTTTTTATTATTTACGGTGGAGAAAGGAAGCAGCTTGCCCCAACCTTTACTCAACAAATCTAGCCATTACCCGAGTTCCGGCGAAGGGAACCATAATACAGACCGTTGTGTGGGATGGGCGCTTAAAAACTTCACACCAGAGACACAGACACTTGTCAGTAAAACGGTAACTGAAGGTATCATGGAAGGTGGGGGGACAGGGATCAGGGTTAAACCCAACAAAATTCTACTCAAGAGTAGACCCACTGAAATCAATGGATGTGACTACTGATTTCAGTGGGCCAGTGCTAAGTAGGTCGAATGTTGAGCACAACCCGGTACTGGGATGCAACTGAACACTTAGGGTAGCTCAACAGCTTTTAACTTTTCTGCCCTCTTCTAAATTTGTTTTTGGGATTCCCCTCAACTCACTCAATTTGGGGGGCAGGCAGGCAATTAGAGGAGGTGGGGAAGTTTCGCTGGACAGGTAAAAGCTGTTGTGCTGGCGTTAACCATTTACACTGGATACCTCTAGGAAAAAGTACCTAACAGGATGATTATAACAGATGTTAAGAAGAGGGTGGAAGCAGTGGGCAACCTCTGCTTAAGATGGGCAGCACATAGTGGGCTAGGAGAGCTGAAACTAATGCCAATATATTTTGTACCTGGCAACCAACGCACCCCTTGGGCTCCGGATGGAACATGGGTAGATAAGTCTGAAAACCCCTGGACGCAAATTTCCATACCCTCTAGCAGCTCTGGTGACTCATTTACCAGAAGAAATGTAATCAGAGTCAACTCTGGAAGTGTACACTCAATTCTGACCAAACTAAGAGTCCTGATGTATATTTTGCTCCAGGAGTCTACAGGAGTCAGAATCGAGTCTACACTTCTAGAGTTAATGCTAAAGACATTACTTCTGGCCAATGAGCTACCATAGCAGTTATAAATCTGAAACCCAAGGGGTGCGTTGGTTGCCAGGCGCAAAAAAATTTCCAGCTCTTCTTTGCCACTAACAAGGCAAGCACATACACTCTCTTATGTCAGATATAAGGTGCATCATTGGGTAATGGAAAAAGTAGCGCAGGACATACTTTTAAAGGGGAGTTAAGAGGAAGCCGCGATGGGAGGCTGCTGTGTGCTCCAACCCTCACTGAGTCAGCAAGAGAACCAGGAGAGGGGAGCAGATCTGCACTTCTTTGGAACAGGGCACAATGCAGCTAACACCACAGGCCCATGCATGAACAGAGTGCGTGCAGGAAAACACGGCTCAAGGAACGAGGAGCGCCCCGAGTGGTGGACGAACTGAGCTCCGCTATCGACACTCGTGCCCAGCAAAATGGAATCGGGGATGAACCCCAAATCGTTTCTTCTCACTAGGAACACGACCACCACCACTGTAAAAAATGTCCTTGTGTGGATTCAGGGTATATAGCCAGTGCACAGGGCTGCATTGAAGAAAGCTCCTCTTGGGGCAGACCCCTTGAAATTCATGGCCCCACGTTCATGTTGATTCATTTCAAGCAGTTCTCCGAACAAGTTTGGATAGAGCCGAGTGCTTCTTGCATGTTATTCTGTTTACAGGGTAGCAAATGAACCAGCTGGCAGCCGTTGCAGGGACACATAGCTGGCCACTTCCCCAAAAGCTGCACATGTGGGGCTGATAGCATCCCTGTTAGAGAATAATCCCTTGAGCGCATGCGAGTTCATGTGTGTCTTAAGCATGGTTATACTGTTGGCTGGGAGGCTGGAGGTAGCCCTCAGTGAACACACCCAATTGTGCAATTGGGCAGACACCCCCCCCCCCGCTGCAGTGTGTTCCCCCCCTCCCAAAAAAATGTGAACTAGCTGCTCACCGTTTTGCATATTTGGCATAAAAATCACAGATCAGCACCGCGGGGGAAGACGGCGGTTCATGCAAGAAAAGCCACTTTTGCCCAGGCTCGCCCCTCTCTCCCCGACGCAAAGAAACAGCTGGCCAAGACAACACAGAAAATACAGGTTGGTTGGTGTTTTGTTTTTTAAAAAATAAGGGGGTCGCCAGTTTGCAAGTCCAGAAGCAAGCAGGGGTCAAGACGGCACACCAGTTTGCCCCACGCGAGAGCTTCACTGTAGAGACTAGTCCGTCTCGTTGTCGTCGTCTGTGATGCTCTGCCCATTCACCGCCGGCGAGTCGTACGGCCCCTGGGAAAGGTCCTCAAAGTCGTGGCTGGTGGCAGGGGAGATGATGTCCGGGCTAGTGTCACAGGACTCCGTGCTCTGCTCCGAGGTAGCAATGGTGGTGGCGGTGCTTTTGGGGATCGGGTCGAAGTCGTCGTCTTCCAGGATGGGAGATTCGTGGATATCTGGGGATCAGAACGGTAATGAGGCAGACCGACAGATGGGACAGGTAAGAGAGGGGGGCTAGAAAGCGCACGCCGCCTTTGCCAACGGAACGAAGCATTAGGCGTGTTATGTGGAAGGCAGAAAGGTGGTCTAGCCTATGGGACCATTGCGAAGACTATTACAGTTAATGCAGGTGAAAAGGGTTTTGAGTGCACAGGAAAATAATCGTTGCTGGACTTGGGGTTTTGAAACATGTGCAAAGTGAACTTTTAGGAGAGGCTTACAAGAGTTTTAAAGACAATAAAAGTCCAGTTCTGGGCACCACAATTTAACAAGGATATTGACAAGCTGGAAGATGTGCAGAGGAGGGCGACCAAGATGATCAAGGGTCTGGAAAGCAAGCCTTAGGAGGAACGGTTGAAGGAGGTAGGTACGTTTAGCCTGGAAGAGTGGAGACTGAGAAGAGATATGATAGCCATCTTCAAATATCTTAAGGGCGGTTGTCAGGGAACTGCCATCAACTCAGAGGTGAGAGGTGGAAGGGCAGTTGTGTTATAGCAGGGGTGTCAAACTCAAATTCATCGGGGGCCGCATCAGCAGTTTGGTCACCCTCAAAGGGTCGGTTGCATCTGTAGGACTTACAGTACAGGAGAGAAGGGTTCAGGCAGCCGTTGGATCTGTCACATCACAGGATGGCATGCGCTCAATATAAAAACAAGTGGAGGTTTCCTGAATGCATGTAAAGTGGAGGTTTCCTGTGTAGAACGGCCAGCGCCGCTAGAGGGCAGACGTTCTCTGGCTTGTAGGCTGCCGCGCATGCGCTGAAGAGGCGGCTTTCTTGTGTAAAAAAAAAAAGCGAGAATAAAAGGTGAAGGCTGGCGGCCGCCGCCGGCTACACGGGCCACATGACGAGGTCTGGCGGGCCGGATTTGGCCCACAGACCTTGTGTTTGACACCCGTGTGTTATAGGGAACCTCCGAAAATCTTGCGAAGCAGTTCCTCCTCCGGCGAGGAGGAAACCCCCACCTCCAGTGGAGAGGTGGTGCAGGGACCAGGGGATGCTAGGGAGAGCCTGAGCAAACTGGAGAGAAGGGAAGTACCCCTTTGCCAGCACCCATGCTGCGCAGTAGGTTTCGGTGCAGGGAGGGGAGAAGGTTGGGGGTCACGCGACTGTTATGCTGGGGGGGGGGGTACAAAGACCAACCACTCCCAGATTCTGCTAGCGATTGAGCCAGATCTGAACTTACGACGCTCTTCACTGTAAATAGTTTGCACTAAGAACAAAGCCTGGAAAAGACAGGTCAGAGTCTTGCCTGTTTGCTCTCGAGCAACCACACCAGCATCTGACAGTGGTCACATGGAAGATGGAGGAAGCTTGTTTTCTCCTGCTCTGGAGGGTAGGACTCGAACCCATGGCTTCAAGTTACAACAAAGGAGATTCTGACTAAACATCAGGAAGAACTTTCTGATAGTAAGAGCTGTTTGACAGTGGAAGGGTCTCCCTCGGCAGGTCGTGGACTCTCCTTCCTTGGAGGTTTGAGGCTGGGTGGCCATTTGTTGGGATGCTTTAGCTGAGATTCCTGCATTGGACTACACAACCCTAGGGGTCCCTTCCAACCCTATAATTCTATGATTCTATACGCCTACCTTACACTTGTTTACACAGCATTGCATTTGATGTTTTACTGCTCATTCACACAGCCTGGAGAGCGAAATGCACAGTATTTCCTAGTAAATATTACTGGTTGGGGTTTTTTGTTTTTTTTAAAGGAAATGGCTTTTTAAAAGTGCTGTGCTACTTTTACAATATGTATTTTAAAAGGTCTGTTTCTATAGTGTTTATAGTTTATTTTCTATGCTTTTTTAACCTCCTGCATTTGTGTCACTGGTGTAAGCTGCCTTGTCTAACTCTGGAAAAAAGGTAGGATATAAATATAATGATAATAATAATAATACTCACTACTAAATGCCTCTGGATACTGTTTCGCGAGCTTCCCTTTCAGCGTCCTGAATGAGACACAAACATGGTAATCTGTCAGGTATTATTTAGCTAGGATTCCTCTATTGTTTGGGGTTGGACTGGATGATTGGGTACCTTCCAACTCCACAATTCTATGGTTCTTTGAACTAAAGCATACCATTAATGCCACAAAAGTAGAATAAAAAATGTGCAGCCGAAAATACAAGGGTGTGTGTCAGAATAATTTCCAGACCTTCCCCCTCTCTGTTTTATCCCCCCAAAAGCCTGTGAGGGGGGCTCGGCTGATAAACAGGCTGCCCAGTGAGCCTTGTGGCCGAGGCAGGATCTGAACCTTGATCTCCCACATCTTACAGACTGACACCAAGGGTGGCTAACCTGTAAACCTGAAGGTGTCACTGAGCCACACCTCCAATCACCCCTTGGTGCTGTAGCCAATAGCAAGGAATGATGGGAGTTGTAGTTTGGTAAGATCTGGAAGGCCGCAGATTCTATACAACAGCACTACTTGCCCCGTGGACAAGATGGGAAGAATGCCCTAGTGGCCAGCCAGCCTCACCTGATTCTCCGGAAGATGCTGTCCAGATCTTTCTTCATCTCCACTAAGGTCCGGGTGTGGTGCAGGAACTGCTCACTCATCTGTTGCATGCGGACGCCAGACAGGTTATTGAAGTTGAGCAGCATCTCGTTGGTTTTCTCAAATCGGTCCAGCCTGGGCAACAAAGACAAGCTGTTGGCTTGGGTTGGCTCAAGAGGCAGGTTTAAGATTACCAGGATTAAGGAATGCTTTGGGAGCTGCAAGCAAGCATGAAGAATGTGCAGTGTTCTAGACTTACCAAGTTTTGGAAGAAAGTGCTGGATCGTATAACTGACTGCAGAAAAAGTTAAATCTTACAGCAGAGAATATTCTTTTGAATTATGTACCTATTGTATGGAAATGGGATTCTACACACCCTAATGGTGCTCAAGAGACTGATGCTGATGAACTGGAAGAATAAAGATATGATAACCTTTAATCAATGGATTGACAATATGACAACACTTGGAATGAGTTTGTACAGAACGTAGCAGGCTATTAACATCTATACAGTGGTACCTCAGGTTAAGTACTTAATTTGTTCCGGAGGTCCGTTCTTAACCTGAAACTGTTCTTAACCTGAAGCACCACTTTAGCTAATGGGGCCTCCTGCTGCTGCCGCGCCGCTGGAGAACAATTTCTGTTCTCATCCTGAAGCAAAGTTCTTAACCCGAGGTACTATTTCTGGGTTAGTGGAGTCTGTAACCTGAAGCGTGTGTAACCTGAAGCGTATGTAACCCAAGGTACCACTGTATAGGTATTAGGATGACAACACTATATCAATTTATGTATGGGAGTACATTACTCTGCATTTTTTTTCTTTATTAAATAAATCTTTGTTTCCCCCCTCGCTTCCCCCTTTTTTCCTTTGTATCTTTATAATTGTAATTTATTTCTATTTTATTTTATTATATTTGCTAATTCTTTCAATAATAATATTAATGGAAAAACATAATAATAAAAAGCATGAAGAATGTGAGGGGAGCCAGGCCAAAAGGGGGCCCCTGAGCCCAGCCCAGTGGCCAACAGATGTCCCAAACGGGAAGCCTGCAACCAGGACCCGAGGGCAACAGCAACTCTCCCCACTGACAATTGCCAGTAAATGCAGTCCAGGGGCATTTGCTGTCTCTGACGTTGGAGGGAGAGCACAGCCAGCGTGACTGGTAGTCACTGGTGGCCTTATTCTCCTTCAGTTTGTACCAGTCCTCTTAATAATAATAATAATAATAATAGTAAATTTTATTTATACCCCGCCCTCCCCAGCCAAGACTGGGCTCAGGGCAGCTAACACCAGGTATAAAAGCAATTGATTAAAATACAACTTAAAAACAAGAGTAAAATACAACATTAAAATGCAGCGTCATTTCAGTAGAAACTCAAATCAAAAACTTTTTTGGGGATGAAAATGTCAAATCTTCACTAAAGCCAACTATCCAGACGTCCTAAGCGGGCCAGAAAAAAGCCAGGGAAGTCCCCAAGCAGGAGTTCCATCACAGAAGAAGAAAGAAAAAAAGAAAGAAGGGAAGGGGATCAAGTTGATTCCAATCCAAAGGCCAGGTGGAACAACTCTGTCTTACAGGCCCTGCGGAAAGAAATCAGATCCTGCAGGGCCCTGGTCTCATGAGACAGAGCATTCCACCAGACCAGAGCCAGTGCTGAAAAGGCCCTGGCTCCGGTTGAGGCTAATCTGACTTCCTTAGGGCCCGGGACCTCTAGGGTGTTGCTATTTATGGAGCTTAAGGTCCTCCGTGGTGCCTTCCAGTGGCCACCACTGCCTCCTGCGGGAGTGACTTCCAAAGTTCAGTGCTCCTCTCCAGTGAATGCTGAGAACCATGGAAGAGTAGGGAAAGAAGATGGAGACATGGAGCAGGAATTTTGAAGGAGAGCATCCTGCCCACCATGTTTTTAGCTTGGAAAGGGAGAAAGAAGGTGAATGAAGTGAAAGAAATTGGGAATGTTTAGCCTGGAAAAGAGGAAACTGAGAGGAGATACAGAAGCCACCTTCCAATATCTGAAGGGTTGTCACATGGAAGATGGAGCAAGATTTTATTCTACTGCTCAAGAGGGTGAGGAATAAACTCCCTTGTTGGTGGTGAACACTCCTTCCTTGGAGGTTTTCAAACAGAGGTTCCTGTCCAGGTTTCTTTAGCTGTGATCCCTGCATTGCAAGGGGTTAGATTAGAAGACCCTTGGGGGCCCCTTCCAACTCTACAATCCCATGATTCTATGAAGAGAAAGAAACAGTACCAAGGTGGGAAAGTCCAGTACTGCAAAATAAAAACGGAGGCCACTCACATGTTCTTTTGAGCCAGGATGATGGCGTTCACATCCTCCGAGTTGACCATGCCAAGGACCCGGCTGCAGAAGACGGCTGAGGCCGTGGGCTCCATCTTAATGTGGGGCTTGTACCTGAGGAGAAGAAGGAAGAGGCCAGGGTGGAAAGAAGGAAGAGGGAGAACAATGAGGAAGTGATTCAGGGAAGCCACGAGGATCTAGCAGGCAAGGTGCAGACCAGAAGAGCATCTGCACGAGAGGTAAGGTAAAGGGTGCTCATCTCGCTTTACTGGCCGAGGGAGCCGGCGTACAGCTTCCGGGTCATGTGGCCAGCATGACTAAGCCTCTTCTGGCAAACCAGAGCAGCGCACAGAAACGCCGTTTACCTTCCCGCCGGAGTGGTACCTATTTATCTACTTGCACTTTGTTGTGCTTTCAAACTGCTAGGTTGGCAGGAGCAGGGACTGAGCAACGGGAGCTCACCCCGTCGCAGGGATTCGAACCGCCCACCTTCTGATCGGCAAGCCCTAGGCTCTGTGGTTTAACCTACAGTGCCACCCGCGCGAGAGGAGACAGGCACTAATCTACAAGGAATGGGGATGTTATCTCAAGTAAGTGAGCCAAGCTGCGAGCAGCAGCAAAAGAGACCAAGCAGCCCTGGCCTTCCTGGGTGGCAAGATCAAAAAGGAAGTGTAAACTGTCTTTTTTCTTGTTGAAAAGTAAGCAAGCCCCTTCCCCACAAATCAAAGTCCCTTGTTATCTGAGAAGCACTTTTGCCACGCCAGGCAAAGCCCCTTCCCCATAACAGGAGCCAAGTAAGCTTCCCCACTGACCACCTCCTCCTCCTCCTTCAAAGCCCCTGCAACGTGACCCTCTCCAATAACAGACAAGCCCCGCCCACTCCAACCAGAATGCCCCACCCACAACAAGCCCCTCCCAGCTAGCCGACAAAACCACGCCCACCCATGCAAGAAGGCTCCGCCCACAAGCTTCCAACAGCAAAGCCCCGCTGACCAAAGACCCCCCACAAATTCCTCCCCAATAAGCCCCACCCATTGAAACCAGAAGCCCCGCCCAAAACAAACCTCCAATAGCAGAGAAGGCCCCGCCCACCAAAGGCGAAGGCTCCACCCACCTAATGCAGAAGGCCCCGCCCACAAGGCCCTCCCCAGCTTATTCCCCCCCCCCCCCCCCCCACAAAATAACAGCTCCTGCCCCCGGGCAGCGAAGGCGCCCCCCTCCCAAGAGGCCCCGCCCCCGGCCCACCTGAGGGGCCTCGCCAGTTCCGGGCTCACCTGGGGCGGGGGAGCCTTGAGGGCCCGTCGAGGCGCCGGAGGTGAGGGCGGCGGCCCCCTCGCTCCGCGCCGCCGCTGCCCCCGCCGAGGGCCGCCTCCTGCCCCGGACAGGCGCGCGCACGGAGCCCAGCTTGCTCGCCCGCTCGCTCACTTCCGGGTTGGGGCGTGGCCCCACGCACGGCGCGACCTCGGCGTCCCCTTGCGCGGCGGGCGTGCGTGCGTGCGTGCGTGCGTATGGAACCCGGCCCGTTTCCTTGGCAACGCGGGGCCTACTTCCGCGCTTAGCCCAGCGCGGCTCGTCCTCTGTCTCGATTGGGGAACTCCGCTGGCCACGCCCCCTTGCCCGCCCCAGGCCACGCCCCCAAGCGCCTGGCTAGGAGCGCGGAGGAGACGCCGAGCGGGTGCCCCTGAGCATGTGCAGAGTGCATCGCCACAAACAGCAAAGTAGGCTCTAGATTTACGATATACAATGAAGTAAATGTAGTAAATTATAGTTTAAGGGAGGGGCAGAACCCCGGGGTTCTGGGCATGTGCAGAGTTTATCTCTTATTAAAAAAACATAAATAAAACAATAACATTTACATCCTGCCCATCTGGCTCGGTTGCGCCAGGCACTCTGGGCAACTTCCAACACATACCGTATACTAACAACATGGAAAACGAATTAGGTAAAGCTTGACACCCTTCTCCGGGTTTCTGAGCATGTGCAGAGTGCATTTCTCCCTACACAGCAAGATGGGAATATGCTGGCCCCCATGGTTTCTGGGCATGTGCAGAGTGCATCCCTGGACAACCGGTCAGTTACAATCTGCTCCCAGTTGGGTTTCTGGGCATGTGCAGAGGTTTCATTTCTCCTTAAACAAGATGGTCGGTCGCACCTTCCCCCCTGGGTTTTCTGGCCACATATAGAGGGTGTTACTCCAGAGGCAGCAAGGTAGGCATATGTTGGCTCACCAGGGTTTCTGGGCATGTGCAGAGCGTAGATCTTGATAGACTACAAGGTAGGCACAGGTTGGCTTAGCCTACCTGGCAGTGGCACATGGCCTGAGGCTGAAATGTGCTTTTGGGGTGCAGTTTTCATTCTGCTGCCTGTTTCACGCTGCCTTGTGGCTGCATCATAGATTTGTAGAACAGCAGCTTTATTCTCAATTTATTTCCTAATAATCCCTAGCATGGAATGTGCCTCTTTCATGTCTGCCACATACTGGGTTTAACATCTTCATTTGAGCGAACTACTATGAACCCAGTGTTACATTCCTGGTCAGTTATTGCCAGTTAAGACCCAAGGAGCATATATGTAAAATTAAATTTTTTTTGGCTCCAACATGCATCCCTTTACATTTGCATTGCAACCCCTAACAATTTAGTTTCATCTGCAAACTTGGCCACATCAGAGCTCATTCTGTGACTGCGAAACTTGGCAAAAGCTGATTTATTGCACACTTAATGCAATTAAATGCCAGCTATTGCAATTCCCCCTCTCCTTGGCTCTTTTATTTTTGAGAAATCAAAGGTGGAGGGGTGTGTGGGACAAATACTTGGCTGAGAGACAAATACTTGGCTGAATGGTTAATGCATAACCTGACTCTTGTGTTAGGCAATCCAGGAGAGTCTGAACTCTGCTTTTAAGGACACTGGAAGTTAATCCTCTTGCCCAGCCAGTATTTTCCCACAAGGTGTGGGAAGTTGAGAAAGTTGCCTCCTGAGGTTTACTCTGCAGGCAGGTAGACTGCAGCTGGATGTGGAGCTTCTGTTGAGCGTGGAGGGGATCTAAAACAAGAATTTCCTCGGTTATAAGCTGGTTTGAGCCAGTTAAATGTTTTCAGGAAGCTCCTGTACCTGGGACAAGTACCTGCCTGCTGTTTATCCCACAGTCAGAGATAGACTTCCTCTGTATAGGGAGGTTCCCTCTCTCTCTCATGGCTAATAGGTGCCAATGAAATGGATGTGGAACCTGTGGCCATCCTCATTGTAGCTGGATTCTGGACCCCCACCATTGGTGATGGCAAAGACATGGCATTGCGGGGACTGGACTAGATGACGCTTAGGGTGCCCTCTGATGACAATTCCATGAATCTGGAGGACATCAGTTTCCTCACCCCCTGATAAACACCTCAATACTCCTATTAGATTATTAAACATTCCTATGAGTTGCTAGGGACGTGGGTAGCGCTGTGGTCTAAACCACAGAGCCTAGGGCTTGCTGATCGGAAGGTCGCCAGTTCGAATCCCCATGACGCGCGAAGTATTGGAAGACACAAGATTTACCCACCCGGGAAGAATGGCAGATGAAGTTGATGGACTATATGGAATTGGCGGAAATGACTGGCAGAATCCGAGACCAGGGAGAAGAGTCGGTGGAAGAAGACTGGAAAAAGTTTAAAGACTATTTACAGAAATATTGTAAAATTAATGAATGTTAGAAAAATGTTGGAATGAAGTTATATGGCTTCAGCAGAAATGTTATAAGGAATTAAGTATAAATAGATTAATAGAGAATTAAAGGGAAAAATAAGGTCAAAATGTGTTAAGATAATTATAGGATAGAAAGCAGAGGAAGATGGAAAGGAATTGCTGAAACAACAAATAGAAGTGGAATACAAAAAGGGAGGTGTGAGGAGGTCATGGAAATAAGTAAATGAAAGATTGAAACTATTTGATGTGTTTTAAATTGTTTTTGTTTCATTTTCTTAGTTTAAACTGTTTTTGTTAGTTCAGTGTTAGGTATTGTTTTTGTATTGTATTGTATTGTTTATTTTCTTTTTCTATGTAATGTCTAAATTGTTGGAAAGTAATAAATATTATTATTAAAAAAAAAACACGAATCCCCGTGACGGAGTGAGCTCCCCTCGCTCAGTCCCTTCTCCTGCCAACCTAGCAGTTCAAAAGCACGTCAAAGTCAAGTACAGTCATACGCTTTGGGTTGTGCACCACGTCAAACCCAGAAGTACCGGAACTGGTTACTTCCGGGTTTCGGCGCTTGCGCATGCGCAGAAGCACTAAATCGCACTTTGCGCATGTGCAGAAGCGCCAAATCGCGACCTGCGTGTGTGCACACGCAGCTCTGCGGGTTGTGAACGCTATGGGTTGCGAACGTGCTTCCGGCACGGATCACGTTCGCAACCCGAGTGTCTACTGTAGATAAATAGGTACTGCTGTGGTGGGAAGGTAAACGGCGTTTCCGTGCGCTGCTCTGGTTTGCCAGAAGCGGCTTAGTCCTGCTGGCCACATGACCCGGAAGCTGTACGCCGGCTCCCTTGGCCAATAAAGCGAGATGAGCGCTGCAACCCCAGAGTCATCTGCGACTGGACCTAATGGTCAGTGGTCCCTTTACCTTTCCCTTTTTATGAGTTGCTGGACTGTGTATCTATAACACATTTAACAGGGAGAGAAGAATAATGAATAGTGTCCTATTTTAATAGCTAAATGTTGGGACAGATCTTATTCTTAATATGCCCTGTGGCACCCCAGGTCTTGGACCCTGTGCCTACTGGCCAGCTGCTGGTTACACAGGAGCAAGCTTAATTATGACTGTGAGCCTTACCTGGGAGTAAGTTCTATTGGATGCAATAGGAGTTATTTATTATCTTCACAATGTCCCTATGAGGTATGTTGGGCTGAGAGGCAATGACTGGCCCCGGGTCACACAATGAGCTTCATGCATGGCCAAGTGGGGGGTTCAACCCTGGCCTCCTAGTGCTCTAACCACTAAACCACATTACCCGTCAGAAGAGCCCATATAGCCTATTAGTCCAGGATCCTGTTCTCACAGCGGCCAGCCAATGGGAAGCCCACAAGCAGGATTCACAGATTCACAGAACTGTAGAGTTGAAAGGGACCACGTGGGTCATCCAGTCCAACCCCCTGCAATGCAGGAATCTTTTTGCCCAACGTGGGGCTCGAACCCACAACCCTGAGATTAAGAGCCTCATGCTCTACCAACTGAGCTATCCCAGGTTCCAAGAGGAATCCAAGCACAAAAGCTTCCAGCAAGCAGCATTCAGAAGCGTTGCTGTCATGAGGACTAGTAACCTGAGTAAACATACACAGAATTACTCACACAGTCGATTGTGCTTGCTGGACTGCTATAGGTGGCTATAGCAGTGTAATTTGAAATGAAGGCCAATGCCTTTATTTTGCTATTAATCTGTACCCAGAGTCCTTAAATTTATTTATTTATTTTTGCCCTTTGCATCCTATTCCTCATTTTATTATCACACTTCAATAGTCTGCCCTCTTTTCAGAAGCAGCCCAAGGGGACATGCAGACTTCTCTCCCTCCCTGTTTCCCCCTAACAACGACCTTGCAAGGTTGGGTTCTGGACACTCTTTTGGTAGGGAACAAGCCCTGTACAAAAACGTGGAAAAGGACCAAACCGAGAAACAACTTCTAAAATTATTTTAAAAAATAATTTCATTTTTTAAAAAAATGAAATAATGCAATAATACAATAAAATTTTAAAATAATTTTACAGTCAGGCTGTTTACGAATTTTAGGACGCAAAATAAATCAGATCTGCGTGGGAAATATTTTTCCTCCCTTTCCCTTTAAGAGGGAGGTGGCAGGCTTTGACTGGCAGCCCCATTAGCCAGTAGCGTTGACTTCCTGTTGTCAGCTGAGCCAGTGGTGGGGGAATTGAGGTGGGGGTTGGTGGGAGAGGAATCATTCCTGGACCAGGTGAGTGCCTTGCAAGCAATACATTTTGCGGGGGGGGGGGGGGGGGGAGGGGAGGGCAGGAATGTGGGGGGGGGAGTTCTTAACAGTGGGGAAGGCAGAGATTGCACCCATGCAATGGGGAGAGGGGATGGTGGTGGTCCGGAGAAGGCAGTTGCCTGGACTTTGCAACCTGGGGGGGGGGGGTTGTTTGTATGTTTGCAATCCTTTCTGCATTAGCTGCCTCCCTGTCTCTCTCTCTCTCCTCCCCCCCCATAAAATTTTATCTTGTTTTGCAGGTCGTGCATGTGGCGCCTTTCGAATCCGGGACTCGAGGGCTCGAACTCCACGCAGCTCTTGGGAAGCCCATAGCAGTAAGCCCAGGATCCCGGATTTGCCATTTGCTCCTCTGCCTGGCTGCCAAGTTTTAGGCAGGGTGGGGGAGGGATTGGAGGAAGCGCCTGGGGATTAAGGCCTAAACCTTGGAGCTTGGCCAAGGGGAGTCTGGGCCCATGTGGGGTGGGTGGCGTTTCAGAGGCTAGGCCACATCACGTAACCCTGCTTTGAAATCCAACACAAATCTTCTCTCCATTTCCCCATGTTGCTGTGATAAGCTTCCTAGTCCTCAAGATCTCATGCATTGGGTGTGGGTGTGCGCCCTCGACTCACTTTTGTGGCCTAGAAATACGCTTTATTATTATTGTTTTCATTATTACTAATTTCATTTACCCCGGCCTCGCCAGCCCTTGCCTCCTCTGCGTGTGGGTTGAGGTTGCAGCAGTCTTTGCCTGCCTGCCTGCCTGCCTGCTTGGGTGTGTTGGGGTAGAACCTGGTTTTTTGATCGGGCTGCTGGGTCTGAGCTTTGCTGTCCTTTCTTGCCTGCCTGTATCAGAATGCTTTAATTTTAATTATAATCCTGAAATGGCATGCTAAAATGGAACTGTGGTTATTATTATTATTATTATTAGATAGATAGATAATTTATTACGGTCAAAGACCAGCTCGCATAACACAATAAAAACAGCGTTCATAAAGAGAAAATATACAATCGGAGCAGATTGCAGCAATAGCTCATGAGTTAAAATTGAGATATATACATATACCCGTACAGCTGAGATTTGAGCTACCATAAAAATTGGCCCAAAGGGCGACTTCAGCATTTCCCCAGTAAGCTATTTTAATCTAGAAGATGATCTGTGCCTACAAATCTGGGTGCAGAATCTGGCTACCAGGCAGGTTTTCCTCTTCTTCTTCTTCTTCTTCTTCTTCTTCTTCTTCTTCTTCTTCTTATATTTGCCCGAATGGTCAGATCAGAGCACAAATAATTACAACAACCCTGCGAAGTGTTGCAGCAGGTGGGGCCCAGGGAAGGATGCCAGGGGTTTGGCTCAGAAAGAAACAGAGGGCGTCTTGGATAAGGATATCTACTTAGGGAGTTCAGCAGAAGCGAGATCCGAACCCGCCCTGGCTTCCTGCTTTTCCCCTTGCATGCTCACAGAATCATAGAGTTGGAAGGGATCGCTAGGGCCATCTAGTCCAACTCCCTGCAATGCAGAGATCTTTTGCTCAAGATGGGTCTCGAACCCACGACCCTAAGATTAAGGGCCTTGTGCATAATATTACTCTGATGTTCTTCCGTACCATCTCTTGAGCCGTGAGCATCCCTTCTGCAAAAGGCAAAATTGCAGGCAGACTTGCTCGAAGGTGGGAGGCTTTATCTTCTTAAAAACCTTTTAGCTGCCTTAACACTGTGTCCCTGGAGCTCAGTACTGCCTGCACTGACTGGCAGTGGCCCTCCAGGGCTTCTGGCAGGGCACATTCCCAGATCTTCCTGGGCATCCCATTAGGGATTGAACCAGCAGCCTTTTGCATGTGACGCAGGCGTTTCGCAACCGAGCCCTTCCCTCGGGGAGTTCCACAGGTTAATGACATGTTGCGCAGGCGCTGGCTTCCTGTTGTTTGTGCTGCGAATCTGCTGACTGTGAGTTGTTTGTTCCCTTCCCTGTCCTGGTGGCGCCTGAGAAAGGGGTCAGCCTGGGGTGCCCCGGGGTCTGTCTGCTGGGGAGAGGATGGGTGCTTGTGAGTGTAGAAGGCATGTAAATTTCTGAAGGTTCAGGGAGACTTGGCCTCCAAAATAGGCTCCCCTAGGAACAGAACCGACAAACAAATTTATTACTGTATCATCATTACTTAGATTTAGAAGACATCTAGATTTGTTTTATTATGTTTTTGCGTATGTTGGAAGCCACCCAGAATGCCCGGGGCAACCTAGTCAAATCGGCGGGGTACAAATAATGAAATTATTCCTGTTATTATCATTATTAGGAAGGCATGTGAATTTCTGAAGGTTTGGGGAGTTTTGTCCATGAAAAGCTTCTTCCAGCAACAAAGTCTATGAATAAGCAAATTTACCTATTATTATATATTGTTACTGTTATGGGAAAGTGGGATTGATTGATTTGTTTGTTATTGATTTATTTGTTTATTTCTCTGAGGAGCTCAAGGTATTGTATGTGGCCCTCCTGCTCCTCATTTCATCAACACAACATCCCTACAAAGCAGGTTGGCTTGAGAGACAGTGACTGCACCCCCCCAAGGTCACCCAAGGTTCATGGCTGAGTTGGGGGACTTGAACCCAGGCCCCAGCCGGGCACTCTATCCGCTATGTTTCTCGGTGTTAGTATTAATAGTATTACTTTTCTGCAGGAAACAATTAATTTCCAAATTCACACACACACACACACACACAGAGGAAATAATAGAAAAGTGAATATAGCGCTATATTATATAATATATGTCTCCAGCTAAGGGAGCTATTCAAGCCTATTGGTCTAGGTTAGTCATACCCAGCAACTTCAATGGGTTTTCGCCGATTGCTATGATTAACACTGAATACAGCTCATCATCATGGTTGTAAAAAAGGACATTTCCAATGTAGGTCATATTCTGAGCAGATCCATTATTGAGATCCATGGGCATTTCTAGCGCAGGTCCGTTAATTTCCAAGGGGTCTACTCCTGAAAAACTCAGCTGGGAACGACCCATTATGTTTATTCTTAAGGTAATGTTTTCTGACCCTGCAGAGAGGCAAGTGCCATATTGGCTGTGATTGATCCCTGCATTGCTGGGGGTTGGGATACATGACCCTTGGGGTCCCTTCCAGCCCTGCAGTTCTGTGATGAAACCGCAGTAAAAATTTGGCAGCTGTCTGCCTGCAAACCCTCAGCTTGGTTCCCAAACTGGCTTAGGGGACCTTCACCCCGGTGGGTTTCTCTCTTGTGGCCTAGCCTACCTCGCAGGGATCGGCGCAAGAATGAAAATTCTGATGATTCTGATGATGTGTTATGGGCATGAGGAGGGGGAGTGCAGGGATTATTGGTTTTTCTTGTTTTTGTAACATAAACGGCCTCGGTCCAGTATACCTGAAGGAGCGTCTCCACCCCCATCGTTCTACCTGGACACTGAGGTCCAGCTCTGAGGGCCTTCTGGCGGTTCCCTCCCTGCGAGAAGCCAAGCTACAGAGAACCAGGCAGAGGGCCTTCTCGGTGGTGGCACCCGCCCTGTGGAACGCCCTCCCACCAGATGTCAAAGAGAAAAACAACTACCAGACTTTTAGAAGACATCTGAAGGCAGCCCTGTTTAGGGAAGCTTTTACTGTTTAATAGGTTATTGTATTTTAATATTCTGTTGGAAGCTGCCCAGCGTGGCTGGAGAAACCCAGCCAGATGGGTGGGGTATAAATAATAAATTATTATTATTATTATTATTATTATTATTATTTATTATTTATTTCGTGTTTTTATGTTGTGATTTTATGTTGTGAGCCACCCTAAGACCCACGGGTATAAGATGGCATGCAGATTTAGTAAGGAAGGAAGTAAATAAATACAAAGAAAGTAAATAAATAAAAACAAATAAAACATTTGCATACTGTCCTTCAATCTGTAGATCTCAGGGCGGTTCACTACATAGAAAAAACTAGGGGGACTCTGGATAGCTCAGTCGGCAGAGCACAAGACTGTTAATCTCAGGGTTGTGGTTTTAAGCCCCACATTGGGGAAAATCTACCTGCATCGCCCGGGGTTGGACTAGATGACCCTTGGGTTCCCTTCCAAATCTACAGATTTTATGATTCTATGATTCTTCCTTCCTCCCTGCCCACCCATCTCTTGAACTTTTGGGCAGACAGGGGTAGGATTAAAATCTTGATGGTTTTTTTAAAAAATGTTATCAGCGTCTGCAATCTCTCTGGTTCACAGAGCGGCTAAGACCCTGGAGATGTCTTGACCTGTCCGTAGGGTCATTTCCCCACCCCCAAACCTCGGGGGCTGGCGATTTCTCCAATACGCATGCTTGGGGTTCTGTTAAGGACAAAGGGGAGATTCGCACCCGTCTTCTCCTAACAGCTGGGAGGTGGTCTGGGGTGACAGAATAAGGCTTTTGTCACACACCTTTTCTCCTTTAAAAATAAATAAATGTCAAAATAGGAGCTGAATTGTAAGCTAGGAAGTCCCCAGTTATCATGGCTGCCTTCTGATGTGGGCTAGAACCTGCTAGAGAGTGCAGGGTTCGAATCGTTGCTGAGACAAGAAGTGTGAGCTTGGGGGCCGGTCTCCTCTTTCCGCCAGACCTACCTTGCAAGGTTGCTGTTGTTGGGGCTTAAAATTAAGAATTGGGATAGCCAAGTATGCCACATTGAGCTCCTTGCACAGAGGAGGAGGGTGGCTGAGATGGAAACAGAACCTTATTAGGAATGGGGTGTTTGGCCTGGAAAAAAGCAGACGGAGAGGGGATAAGATAATAGAAAGGTCCCCCAAAGGTCATCTAATCCAACCCCCCTGCAACGCAGGGAATGGTCATCTTCCAATATCTCAAGGGCTGTCAAATGGAAGAGGGAACAAGCTTGTTTTCTCCTGTTTCGGGAGGGCAGGACTCGAACCCATGGCTTCAAGCCGCAAGAAAGGAGATTCCGACTAAATATCGGAAAGAACTTTTCCAGGGGTAAGAGCTGTTTGACACAAAGATGTGGTGGACTCTCCTTCCTTGGAGGTTTTCAAGCAGAGGTTGGGTGGCCATCTGTCCTGGATGCTTTAGCTGAGATTCCTGCATTGCAGGGGGTTGGACTGGATGACCCTTGGGGATCCCCTTCCAGCTCTTCAGTTTCTGTGATTCTATGATCCTTGGAGGGATACAGGGAGAAAGGTGGGCTGAGACCTGCGGGTATAGGGTGGTGTACAAACTAAGTAAGTTAGTTTAAGTAAGTAAGTAAGTTTATTTAGTAAGTAAGTAAATAAATAAATAAGTTAATGCCATACCTGAAAAAATAAGACCCAAGCGCCCCAGCCTTTCTTCATATTGGTGTAACTCCATTCCCTTCCCTTGATTCCCTCTCCCCTTTTTATTTTATTTTTTAGAAATAATTTTTATAAAATTTCTGTTTTGCATTTTAGAATATTCACTTAACCATCCTTAAAATATCAGTGACTTCCCTTCCTCTCTTTCCGTGGTTCATTTTGCACAACATAAATTTTATATAAATTTATATAAATTACAGCCTGCACCAAAAAAAATCACGCAGCCACTGTTGCGTGGGGCCACAATGGCGCAAAAACATGGTCACAAAGCACGGATCCACATGGATCCTCAGGATTTTTGCATTGGATCACCCCAAATTCACCATCAGATCACATGTCTGTGGCCACAGCATGAACCACAAAAATCATACATCCACTGTTTCATTCAGAATATTTTTTTTCTTGTTTTCCTCCTCTAAAAACTAGGTGCGTCTTATGGAGCGAAAAATACGGTAAACCATTCAGTATTCCGTTATTACATCCGTCAGAATTTACTTACACTGTTGAGTTTACCTTAATGCCGCCCACGTTTTCAAATAAACACAATTTTCCTCCATATATTCAATAAACATTCCCCAATCTTCTTTAAACGTATGTTCTTCTTCCCTCCCCTTTTTCGTTTTCCAGCTGCCCTGATCCGCCGCCGCCGCCATGGCTTCCGGGGGAGAAGGTCTGGACGACATTTCTCCGGACTGGACAGGGGCCAGCCTGGTGGACTTGACCTCTCCTGAGCTGGCGAAATCCAACACCTCCACGCTGGACAGCGGGGAGGATTTCGAAGTCCTGGATAACGACGAGGAGGAAGAGGAAGGGCGAGACGAGGACCTGAGCGGCCTCCCTCCGCTGGAGGACGTGCCCAGAAACGACGGCCGAGAGACGGCCGCCTCGCAGCCCCCTGCTCCGGAAGACGCGGAGGAGACCCCCGAGTGGGTGGATGTGTTAGGTGAGGGCACCTTGCCTTTGGACGGCGCCTTCAGCAAAAGCTGTGGCAGGCAGAAGTTCCGCCGGTGCAGCTGGGATTGGCTTCCCCTCAGGCCCACCTCTATTTCTCCCTTCTGGAGAGATTCTGTGATTCTCCCACTTCTCCTTTCACTTCTGCTTTTTCCTCGTTGTCCCCTTCCCCCCATGTCAAAATTCATTGCAAAGGATGCAGGTGTCAGGATGGTTCACAAGATAAATACATAGGAAAAATAAAAATAGGAACAATTCAAAAATCTCCCTCTCTGCCTTTATATATGTATATAGATATGACACAATATATGACAGATGTGTGATAAAGGGTCTTCTTACTTACTTTTTCTCTGCTCTTTTTCCTCTCTTTTGTAAGGATCGTGAGTATTTTATTTTTCTTTATTACGCTTCTCTCTTAATATATTGATTTTTATTATAAATGAGTTTGGATTTTAGGGCTTCATATGTTAAAAATCTTCCATAAAGTTGTTGGAAAAAATCAAGAAGAGCAAAACTTGCTTCTCTGATTAAAAAATTACAGATTTCTGGTATCTATCTGTTTCACATTCAGTTTTACATCTGCAAAAAATATACACAGAAGGTCCCATCTGTTGCCATCTCCCCTCATTCATAAACCCAACGCCTTGTTGCTGACCCAGTGAGGAACACCAAATATCATCCCAATTAATTAAAGTGGATACAAACGTCTTTCTGCTCTCCTTCATGTGTCTCTCGGTTCCTCCCCGCAGGGAGCGGTTTGCTGAAAAAGAAAGTCATCGTCGCAGGTCAGGGACCGGAGACCCGGCCGGTTAAGAGCCAGGATGTCACCGTCCGCCTTAAGACCATGCTGCAGGACGGCACGGTGGTCGAGGAGAACCCCAGCCTCACCTTCACGCTGGGGGACTGTGATGTCATCCAGGTGAGTAAAACTCTCTTTTGGGTTGTGAATGAGGAGATTTCACCCCTCCCATATCCAAGAATCTGCTGATGTTCTCTGCTGATTCTCCAGAGAGGAGGGGCGGTTTTCTGCTCTCTACTTATTCCGCTCCAGCCTCACATCAAAGAGAGAGAGAGAGACTGAGTGTTAGAGAGAGATCGTGTGTATAGATAAGGTTGCTGCTAAGAGCAGCTGCAGACACTCAGTGCAGTTCAGCATTTTCGTTTAGACCTCATTTAGCTCTGTACGTAGTTGTGTATTATAGTTGTAGATAGAATAAAGAAGATATTCTACAGAGCTGCTCTCCGGGTCGTTTATGCTCTGCTAGACTCTGCTATACTCTGCTGTGCGACGACTATCTTCTTGTGGAAGTGAATCCGGTGCTCACAACTCTAAGCTGTGAGTCCACAGCACTTTGACCTGTTCCTGTGCAGAAGGTGGTCTCTGGAAGTGCTACCCAGCTCGCCTAGCCCAGTCGGGGCTGAGTGGATGAGTCCAGTTGGTGACACTGGCTCAAGGGCGATGCTGACAGTGAATACCAGTTGTGAGGGAACTGTACCTGGTTGGTCTCAGCTTGATCCAGTTTGGTTCCAGAGCAGGAGAAAACAAGCTTGCTTCCTCTTCCATGGGACAGCCCTTGAGATGTTGGAAGATGGCTCTCGTATCTCCTCTTCTCCAGGCTAAACATACCCAGCTCCTTCAACTGTTCCTCATCAGGCTCGGTTTCCAGACCCTTGGTCATCTCACTCTCCCTCCTCTGCACATATTCAGGCATCTCAATGTCCTTAAATTGTGGCTCTCAGAACTGGACACGGTGTTCCAGGTGGGGTCTGACCAAGGCAGAACAGACCCGGATTGTGCCTTCCCTTGACGTTGATCCTGGACTTCTGTGGATGCAGCCTAGAATAACATTAGACTTTTTTTTGTGCTGCATCACATGGTTGACTCACGTTACGCTAGGGGTTTACTTAGGGCCCTCGTATTTATGGGACCGCCTCTCCTGGTCTGCCCCTCAGAGGACCTTAAGCTCCATGAATAATCATAGTTTAGAGGTCCCGGGCCCTAAGGAAGTCAGACTATCCTCCACCAGGGCCAGGGCCTTCTCAGTGATGGCTCCAACCTGGTGGAACGCTCTGTCCCAGGAGACCAGGGCCCTGCAGGATTTACTGTAACTTCTTCTGCAGGGCCTGTAAGACAGAGCTATTCCGCCTGGCTTTCAATTTGAACTTAGCCTGATCTTTCATTCTCCTTCCTTCCCTCCCCATCCCCTTTTTACAAAGATTCCCCGCTCTGGGATCCCACAGCTAATTCTCCCCTGGTCTCCTCGCTGGCCCAAGTAGGACTAATTTAGCCAGCTAGCCCTGGTTATCATCTAATGTTTATTGGATGGATTTCCCCCCTAAATTAATTTTTTAATTCTGAATTTATTGTTATTCACATTTTATACTGTATTTTATGCTGTTTTTTGTTGCAGCAATTAAGTGTTTAAAATTTGTTGTTAGCCGCCCTGAGCCCGGTTTTTTGAACTGGGAAGGGTGGGGTATAAATAAAATTTTACTATTATTATTTATTATTGATCTTTTTCACTTGTACAACTTACTGACAAGCCAGGTGTGCCCCATCCTGTGTTGGTGCAGCTATAAGATGTTCTCACAACTCTTATTATGACAGCTGAATGGAGCCCCTACCTCCGGGTGACAGATCCCGGGGAGCCGCAGGCAGAGAGGGCTATCGCCCTCCGATCCTGTCCTCAGGCTGCCTTATAACAATAATAATAATAATTTATTATTTGTACCCCGCCCATCTGGCTGGGTTTCCCCAGCCACTCTGGGCGGCTTCCACAAAGACCAAAAATACACTAATGTGTCATACATTAAAAACTTCCCTGAACAGGGCTGCCTTCAGATGTCTTCTGAATGTCAGGTAGTTGTTTATCTCTTTGACATCTGCTGGGAGGGTGTTCCACAGGGCGGGCGCCACCACCGAGAAGGCCCTCTGCCTGGTTCCCTGTAGCTTTGCTTCTCGCAATGAGGGAACCGCCAGAAGGCCCTCGGTGCTGGACCTCAGTGTCCGGGCAGAACGATGGGGGTGGAGACGCTCCTTCAGGTATACCGGGCCGAGGCCGTTTAGGGCTTTAAAGGTCAACACCAACACTTTGAATTGTTCTATCCTCTTGGCCACAGTGAGAACCAGATGTTGGACTAGATGAGCCCCGTTTTCCTGCTAGCTGAAATGGCTGCGTTCTCCCTCTGAGTACCAGCTGCCAAGAATCTTACTTCTGGCCTGGGAGGGCTCTCCTTCCGTCCCAACAGTTGCTGGAGTCATTTTCTCCCTCTGCAGGCCCTGGACCTCTGCATACAGCTAATGGAGATGGGAGAGACGGCCCTCATCATCTCAGACGCAAAGTACTGCTTCGGCCGGCAAGGGAGGTAGGTGAGGAGGAGGAGGAGGGGCGAGGGATCCCTTCCCCCAGGGGGCTGACGGGAGATTCAGTCCCCAAGAAAAGAGGACCCGCTGAAACCTAAATAAATCCTTTTGCTTGTCCAGAATCTCCCACTCCTCCCCTTCCTAGGATGACCCTGTAGGATAATAATAATAATAATTTATTATTTATACCCCGCCCATCTGGCTGGGTTTCCCCAATCACTCTGGGCAGTTTCCAACAAAACACTAAAATACAATAACCCATTAAACATTAAAAGCGTCCCTAAACAGGGCTGCCTTCAGATGTCTTCTAAAAGTTTGGTAGTTATTTTTCTCTTTGATATCTGGTACAAGGGCGTTCTACAGGGCGGGCGCCACTACCAAGAAGGCCCTCTGCCTGGTTCCCTGTAACTTGGCTTCTCGCAGTGAGAGAACCGCCAGAAGGCCCTCGGTGCTGGACCTCAGTGTCCGGGCAGAACGATGGGGGTGGAGACGCTCCTTCAGGTATATTGGACTGAGGCCATTTAGGGCTTTAAAGGTCAACACCAGCACTTTGAATTGTGTTTGGAAACGTACTGGGAGCCAATGTAGGTCTTTCAAGACTGGTGTTATGTGGTCCCGGTGGCCACTCCCAGTCACCAGTCTGGCTGCCGCATTCTGGATTAGTTGTAGTTTCTGGGTCACCTTCAAAGGTAGCCCCACGTAGAGCGCATTGCAGTAGTCCTAGCGAGAGATAACTAGAGCATGCACCACTCTGGCAAGACAGACTGTGGGCAGGGAGGGTCTCAGCCTGCGTACCAGATGGAGCTGATAAACAGCTGCCATCTGGTAAACAGAGTGTCCTGTGTAAACCAGAGAAGAAGAATAATTTTGTAGTCCTCCCATCTGACTGGGTTTCCCCAGCCACTCCGGGTAGCTTCTAGCATATACAGAAACATAATAAAACACCAAACATTTAAAACTTCCCAATACCGGGCTGCCTTCAGATGTCTTCTAAAAGTCAGATAGCTCCTTGACATCTGCAGGGAGGGCGTACCGCAGGGCGGGCACCACCACCAAGAAGGCCCTCTGCCCAATTCCCTGTAACCTCACTTCTCACAGTTAGGGAACCACCAGAAGGCCCTCGTAGCTGGGCCTCAGTGTCTGGGCTGGACGATGGGGGTGGAGACGCTCCTTCAGGATCTTTGGGGTGCCTCACCTGCAGTCTTGCTGTCCTCTGTCAGAGTCAGGGTCCTGGGCTGGTGGGACTTTGGCTCTGATCCTGTAGCCCATGCTTTTTATGAATGAGGTGCTTTTTTCCGGCCTTTCCAACCAGGAGTCCAGACATCCCTCCTGACTCATCTCTGGAACTTGAAGTGGAGCTTCTATCGGCCCAGGATGCCCCCGACCTGGAACTCCTAAGTGGGAAGGAGAAGATTGAGCTGGCGAACCGGAAGAGGGAGCGTGGCAACTTCCACTACCAGCGAGCAGACTACGTTCTGGCTATCAACTCCTACGACATTGCGCTGAAGATTATTGGCTCCAGTTCAAAAGGTGCCTGGTCCCCCATGGCGGGAGGGGGTGGGGTGGGGCTGACAGGCACTCTTGCTAAATATAGGAGGGCTAGCAGCTTTGAGCCCCAGTTTTCAAAAGAGTTTATTAACTTCTTGAGCTGCCTTGTACCCTGAAAGTTCAGTATCAAAAGCAACAACAACTTGATTAAAGATATCTCCCTATACACATAAAAACGCAAGGCTGTCGTCACGCAGCACTCATGGCAGGATTTGTAGTGATTCATCACAGTCCTGGACTTGCGTGGAGGCAGGGTGCACTCGGGGAGCATCATTCAGCCCAGACACAGAGATCCAGCTCCGAGGGCCTGTGGAGCGCCCTCCCGTCAGATGCCATGGCAGTCGCACATGCGCAGAAGCGCTAAATCACGCTTTGCGCATGCGCACAAGTGCTGAATCGCAACCCACGCGTGCGCAGAAGCGCCGCTGCGGGTTGCGGACGTGCATCCCACACAGATCACGTTTGCAACCCAAGCGTCTACTGTACACGACTTTTAGAAGACCTCTGAAGGCAGCCCTGTATCAGGAAGTTTTTAATGTTTGATGTTTGATTGTGTTTTAATTTGTTGGAAGACGCCTAAGTGACTGGACAAACCCAGTCAGATGGGCTGCATCATCATCATCATCATCATCATAATAATAATAATAATGAATGGAGACATATCGAGATGGTGCAAAGTGAGCAGGGGCAGCAGACCCTACACTGCATATTCCATCTTCTTCTCTCTACAGCTGGGGCGGCGGAGGGGGAGATTTAGGTTGCGGGGGGGGGGGTGTCTGCATTCCCTTGCAAGACAGAAGCAGGGGAGTGTTGCTTAATGGCAGAATGTACTCCCCTGAGAGGTGGCGGTCTCCCCTTCCTTGGAGGTTTTTCCGCAGAGGGTGGAGGGCCACCTGCCAGGGAGTTGAGCTGCGTGACCCTCAAGGTCCCTTCCAGCTCTACAGATTCTTTGGAGGTCCACAGGTCTCCCATTCCTAGGAAGAGCCCTCGTTTTGCCATTTCGAACCCGCACCCCTGCTCAAGCCGCAACCCCGCCACCTTTCTAGTAACCCCCCCTTTGCCCCCCTGCAGTGGACTTTACCCAGGAGGAGGAGGAGGCGTTAGTGGACGTCAAGATGAAGTGCCTGAACAATTTAGCCGCCTCTCAGCTCAAGTTGGACCACTACGATGCGGCCCTGCGATCCTGCAACCAAGTCCTGGAACAGCAGCCGGACAACATCAAAGCCCTTTTTCGGAAGGGGAAGGTAGGGGTTGTCTTTCAGGGGGTGGGGAAGGGGAAGGGTAGAGGGTCCAGGTGGCTGCAAGGGGCCCCCTCCTTGTTTCACCCTCGCAACAGCCCTAGGTGTGGCCGAGAGGCAGGGAGGAGTCCAGGGGCACCCGGTGGACATGCATAGATATGGTTGGATTTGAACCCAGGTCTCCGGAATGCTGGCAGTGTGGTGCAGTGGTTAGAGTGCTTGGCTGAGACCTGGAAAGCCTAGGTTTCAAATCCCTCACTTGGCAATGGAAGCATTGCAGCGTATGGGACCTTTTTGGACTACAACTCCCATCTTTCATAGCTAGCAGGACCAGTGGTCAGGAATGATGGGAATTGTAGTCCAAAAACATCTTGCTTTTCTTATGTCCTTGAAAATGGCGGATTAGGAAACAGAAGTTTGGAAACCTGCAAAACGATCCACTGTAAACACGGGTTTCGGCTGTGTTCTCCTAGGTCCTGGCACAGCAAGGCGAATACAGGGAAGCCATCCCCATCTTGAAAGCCGCCTTGAAGCTGGAGCCATCAAATAAGGTAAGGCCCAGAGCATCGTAGGTCTGGAAGGGGCCAGAGGGTCATCTAGCCCAACCCCTTGCAATGCGGAAATTGGTCAGAATCTGACCTGCTGCAGGATCTTGAACCAAGCGATTGTCAACGGCTGGTAGCCAGAGGCGTATGTCGCCGCTGCCCCCAGATGTGGCTTTCTTCTGGCTTAGATGGCTGATAGAATCCTGGTACCCTTTGAGGGCATCCAGTCCAACCCAGCGCCTGAAGCTGGTTGCCCAGATCCCTGCCCAGCAAGGGAGAGAGCCCACCAGCACGTTAGGCCATTGCGAACACTCTGTTGCCCTGCATTAAATTAAGCCGAGAGCCAGGTATGTTGGGGTTGAGGGCCACAGGTTCCCCCAGGAAGCATGGCAAAGCCCAACCGGGGTGTAGGCTCAGGTGAGGGAACTCTGAGGTTGCTCCAGCAAAGGGCAGGTGGCAGCTGAGTCCTTGTATATAATAGATGCAATGCAACAGGTGTAACCCAAGTTTTAGGACTCACCTCTCCTGCAAGAGTCTGAGTCCCGCAATCTCCAGCAGAATCCAGCATTTGCGATGCTCTATTACGTTCTATCATGTTCTTATAATTTCTTGCATGGTTTCCAGAGGTTTTTGGACTACAGTGCCCATCATCCCTGAGCACACTGGTCCTGGTAGCTATGTATGATGGGACTTGTAGTCCAAAAAAAATCAAAACAAAACTGGAGACCCAAATATATCCATGGCTAGTAAAACTTTCCTCTTCAACCAGGCCTTGGGCTGATTAACATCCTATACCCTTTTAAATGTTTGTGGGAGGGGAGTTAATGGGTGTCCCCCCCGTTCTTACTTTTATTATGCATTTTGTGTTTTTATCTGGCATTTTTATGCTGTGAATTGCCCTGACATTTATGAATGAAAGGTGGTATAGAAATTTAATAAATAAAAATCAATGCTTCTCTTCAACACAAAAAAAGGTGCTGGAATTGCATACCTTTGTGTACCCCCAGAAAAAAACCAACATTGTTAATACAGTAATAGTAAATATTTTCTGTTTTGGGCGGGTCACATTACTTTTTTAAATTAGTTTTCAATGTTTTATTGATATTCTTCAAATTATTATTATTTTTTTTGGTCTATGTATTTTAATCATTTTTTTTCCAAAAACACATAATTGAACCGCTCAACTTTTTTAAAAAAAAAAATCAAGTGTGGTATAGTTTTTCTATAAGCCAAACATTGGCCAAGGCATCTGAATGGAGCCTCCACATTCCGCAGCAGTCTACCCCTTGAAACGGCAAACAAACCCAGAGAGGTTCGTCTAGGTTTGGCCTTTTGGTCTGATTCAGGAAGGCTCCCTCTCCTGCTTCCTCAAAAATACGTGTTCCTTCTTTCCCTGCGCCCCCCACCAGACCATCCACACGGAGCTCTCAAAGCTGGCGAAGAAGCATGCTGACCAGAAGTGCGTGGAGACGGAGATGTACCGCAAGATGCTGGGCAACCCCAGCGGACCCACCGCCAAGTGCAAAGACAAGTCATCGCGGGTAGGTCACACGACCGCTGAGCTGGATGGGTTCCCGTGGGTCATCTAGTCCAACCCCCTGCAAGTGCAGGAATCTGTGTGCACGTGCAGGCCGGCATCCGTCTGTCTCGGGAGACAACGGAGCGGTGAACTTTTGGGGTGAGGTCAAGCCGCTGAACAGTTGAGGTCCAGCTCCAAGGGCCTTCTGGCGGTTCCCTCGCTGCAAGAAGCCAAGTTACAGGGAACCAGGCAGAGGGCCTTCTCAGTGGTGGCGCCCACTCTGTGGAACAACACCCTCCCACCAGATGTCAAAGAGAACAACAACTACCAGACTTTTAGATGACAGCTGAAGGCAGCCCTGTTTAGGGAAGCTTTTAATGTTTAATAGGTTATTGTATGTTAATATTCCGTGGGAAGCCGCCCAGAGTGGCTGGGGAAACCCAGTCAGATGGGCAGGGTATAAATAGTAAATTATTATTATTATTATTATTATTATTATTATTATTATGCTGCGGCCGCAGAGACCCAGGTGGGAGAGACGTGTTTTCTCGCAGGCAGGGCAGAGGAAGGCACCCAGCTTTGCAGCTGTAGATGCAGCAGGGAGCTCCTTCTCTCTTCGCTCCTCCCAGCGGTCATTCCTCCTCTGGTCAGGGAGAAAACTCTGTTGGCAAGACCTGTTCAACAGCGGAACAGTCTCCCTCTGGAACTTGCGAACTCTCCTTCCTTGGAGGTTTTTACACAGAGCTGGGGTGGCCGTCTGCCAGAGATGCTTTAGCTGAGTGACACTCCAGCAATGCAAGGGGTTGGATCTGGTCTTCATTTTAGAATTGCTAACACCTTACCTTAGTGTTGTTGTGGTTTTTTTTTACCATTTTAACATAATTCTTTGATATTTCTCATTTTTAACATTGCTTTTAACTTCATGTTTAATAGTATGCTTTTCTTCTTCTCTGCTAGTCGTTGACTGAAATATTTATATAAGAAATAGAATATAATAATAATAATAATAATGGCAGTAATAACGATTAGTATTAATACAATAATAGTACAGTGGACGTGCGGGTTGCGAACGTGATCTGTGCGGGAGGCACGTTCGCAACCTGCAGCGTTCGCAACCCGCAGCGCCACGTCTGCGCATGTGCAGGTTGCGATTCAGCGCTTCTGCGCATGTGCAAAGCACGATTTAGTGCTTCTGCGCATGCGCAAGCTCCGAAACCTGGAAGTAACCTGTTTGGCACGGTGCGCAACCCGAAAACGCGCAACCAAAGCGTCTGTAACCCAAGGTATGACTGTAATAATAATAGCAGTAATAACGATCAGTATTAATACGATAATTGTAATGCAATAACAATAATTGTAACGACAATACAATCTCTCTTTCCCAGTCCATTCCCTGGAAGTGGCTCTTTGGCGCAACAGCCGTGGCGCTGGGGGGCGTGGCCTTGTCGGTTGTCATCGCAGCCAGGAACTAGCGCCATCTGCTGGCAGGGACGGCGAGGAGCCCAAGCGGAAAACCAGCCCCTCTTTCCTCCATCCCTTCTCCCCACCACGGCACCCCCATCCCACCCCCACTCCGGCTCTCCTCAACAGACGCATACGCAGCTCTGGACTGTAGGGTGGCAGCTGGGGTGGGGGGCGGGGCTTAGCCCCTCCCCTCCCCAGAGGCTCCACCCACCCCCTTCTTAGTTGCGAGATGCAACAGACCCCTTTGCAGTGGGGCCGGCAGGGGAACCGGAGAGATCCGTGGGGCAGGGTGGTGGTGGTGGGGAGGTTCGGCGCCATCTCTCTGACTGCAGAGACTGGAATTCGCAGGATCTCAAAGGGACCCAGACTTGTGGGTATCTTTTTGCGGTGGGGGGACGGGACGGGACTTGGATTTCACTGGAAGTTCTGATCAATCCTTTTTTGAGTGCCCCTTTCGGCGGTTCCTGGTTTCTGTCGGGAGGCGCGTGGCGGGCAGAGCTTGCGCAGCCAAGTGTGTGTGTGGGTCTTTTAGGGTCCTGTGCAGAAGTGGGGGAGCCGGTGGGTTTCTGCGGAGGAGGGGGGGTACGGAAACGGACCTCCACAGCGAGACGGGGTCTCTTCGCTTTGGTCCAGCCACGAGGAACCGTGGGGACTGTTTAGGGCTGTGCAGGGAACCGTGGGAGATGTAGCTGTACTGATTCCGACCCATAAAGTGAGCACCATGGAAATTCAGCACACTTTGGGGGGGCATGCGGTGGGTTGAGGGGGGAGAAGAGAGTGGAGATGAGGACGGGTGGGTGTTTCCCCCCCAAATCCCCCCCTCCGGAGGCCAAACGGAGGGGCAGAGGCCCCCTTTTGAATCCCCCCTTCTGAATTCCCCCCACGACTCCTTCGCCCCCATCCCAGAGCCTTTCTGGCACCAGCCTTATGGCGCCATTCTTGGGTCCCCCCTCCCAGCACCCACTGGTCTGGCCTTCCCCAGGACACGTCCCGCCCTGGCCCAGGCTGGACACTCTCGTTTATTAATTATTATCATTATTTTGACCGCTGTCAGGTTTTAAACTGTGAATACCACCACTGCCCCACAAATTCTCTAATAAAGAAAATCTGTCAGCAGCGGACCACAAGATTCTGATGCAATTTTTTTAATTTTATTTTTTTGAGGGGAGGGCATTATGTAAAAGATTTGGGTTAGCGAAGAATAAATATGGAGCCTGATGGAGGAGGGCAGCTGTGTATTAAAACTGGGGGAGCACAAGCTGCTGGGAAAGTGGCCCCCGAGGACTGTCTGTGTGGCCCCCAGAAACCTTCCCCGATAATGTAGTTTCAACTACATTTTGTTTCTGGATGTGTCGCCTCTGTAACAAAGGCTGCTGAACCAACAGGCAAGCATTGACATATTTTCCATTGGTTCAGTTTAAGGGTGCTGCCGTGGCTTGAAATTCTGAGTTCTAGCTGTTCAGGTAGACTGCTCCTGGCTCCTGCTCTTTGCAGTAAATCAGCTCAGAAGCTCTAAAAAAAACAACACATTTTTAAAGCAACACGTGCACATCATTGTTCAGCTCTGTTGCCAACAATCCCTAAGTGCATGCAATGTATTAGTGCAACCATCTTAAAAAAAAGAAAGTCCTTTTTGGGAAAATTTGGGGGCTCCCAGAGGTCCGCTTGCTCCAGCTTTCACCCTCCCACTAGGGCTGCCCAGATGCCTCTGTAGCGGCCCCAGGCCTTCCTTCCTGTTTGCCTCCCAACAAAGATGGACGTTCTCCTTCATGATAGCTAATGGCTATCTCTAGGCCTGTTTTGCATCCTGGTTCCCACTGTGATGATGAATATACATGGTATATATATATTATTTGTCCCCAGCCACTCTGGGCAGCTTCCAACAAGATTAAAAATACATTAAAACACCAGTCATTAAAAACTTCCCTAAACAGGGCTGCCTTCAGATGTCTTCTGAACGTCAGATAGTTGTTTTTTATTAAATGATTATTTACAATTCTGTAATCAAACAATTGCAAATATTCTTTACACCAAATTTCAAATATTCTTTACACACACACAACTACCTATGATTCTAAGAAATTGATTCTCGGAAACATTTTAACGTTTAACATTAAGGTATCTGAAGCATCTAATGTTTGGGCTCCTACTGCAAGGCCAGGGTGAATTCACAGACAGGATCTATTCTGTAAAACTACAAGTAGAAGGTGCAGGGTTTGACTTTCTCTTTGGAAAGTAAAACTAGGGTGTTTAATGATGATCCAGTAAACCCACAAATAAGATTGTTCCCTTCTGTCCTAAAAAATTGGCTGGAGGCTCAACCACGCATGGTTATAAATCACCGACAAGGCCGTAAATCCGTCTCATCCAACCACAAAACGATGTTGGTTAGCCAAATGTGCTTGGCTGTGGTAGGCTGCAACTACAGGACCACTGAACCGCTGCAGGGGGCACTCCAAAATTTGCCTGGCCGTCTGCCCTTACTAAGCCTCCCAGCAACCAATAACTTGGGTTTCCGTCTTGAAATCCTGCCAAATTGAATCCTGCCTTCAGGAGGAGGAGAACCATGCCATTGGAAGAGTTGTGCCTCCTATGTTAGTCATGCTCAAAGCAGACCCACTGAATAGAGCACAAGAACTCTTCGTCTCAGGGTCTTGGGTTCATTGCAGGGGGTTGGACTAGATGACCCTCATGGTCCCTTCCAACTCTACAATTCTATGAAAGCAAGCAAAAACACAACCAATGTGCAAAAATAAAACACCATTTTTATTGTGGATGAGGAACAGAAGCGTAAATCAGTTTGGCGATTAACGTGGAAAAATAAGACACACAATTTTTAATTGCACACAAGGAAAAGAAGCGTACATCGCTTTCGAAGGTGATTAATAAATTGGAAATATTAGTCAAGGCAGTCAAAAGGTCAGCTGGAATCCTGGCAGACGCTCTTTTGAATGGAGAGCCGAACTAAGATGGCGCACTAATTCCCGCAGCAGCCGGTGCATGCCCAAAACGTCCAGACTTTTCAAGCCTCCTGCGGCTTCTCCGGGTTCTCCTCTGCGCTGGTTCCTGGAACCTGCTGGTCGGCCGCCTTCACGTCGATGGGGATGGCTTTTGCCTCAGCCAGACGAGGGGCCTCGATGCACAGCCGCCCGTCGGATGCCAGGGAGCACGTCACGGCCTGGAGGTCCACGTCGGCGGGGAGAAGAGTCTCGCGGTGCACCTCGTGGTGTTCCCTCACGCAGCCGCCCTCCTCGCTTGTCTTCTCACGCAGCCGCTTGGCGGTCACCGTCAGCTTCCTGCCGTCCAGCTGCACAGCCACATCCTCCGGCGCAAAGCCGTCCACGTCCACCGAGAGGCGAAACTTTCCGCCCGCCTCGCCGTCCCGAGCCACGCTCTCCTCCGGCGACGCTTCCCGCAGGAACTTCTGCAGTGGCGAGGCCTGGAAGAAGGCCCTGCTCATCGCCTCCATTTCCACGAACTGCCTCTCCACGTCGGCTGCGACCCGGTCGACGAAGCTTTGCCCGGCTGCCGGCCAGAGGGCCTCGCCAGCCGATTGCGGCCCACTGAGCCAGACGGGGCCAAAGCCATGCAGCGGCCAGCGCCGCACGGGCAGCATGCGGAGCAGGTAGCGGGAATAGCTCGCCATGGTGGTGCCGCAGTCAAACAGCCAGGGAAGAGATGATCTAGCAAGCGGAGCTCCTTCGGCTGATGATCTAGCAAGCAGAGCTCCTTCGGCTGAGGTTCCTTTCAGTCTGTCCGAAGAGCCGGGGAAGAGATGATCTAGCAAGCAGACCTGCTTCGTCTGTGGTTCCTTTCCGTCTGGCTGACTCCGAGTGCGCTGCGGCTTTTTATCTGCCGGCTAGCTCCTTGGCACGAGCCCAGAGACTGACGCAACGTGTTGTAAGAGGCCTTTCCAGGCGGACCTGGAACCGAGGAGGGCCTTCCAGAGACGTCGAGACGCAGCCGAGGGGAAGGCCTTGGCAGCAGTCCAGAAATGACGCCACAGTTTGCAAGAGGATTTGCTAGCCGGTGTTGTGCTGAGAAGCCCCAGGAAAGGCACAGAACTGGCAAAATTAGCAGCAAAATTCAGAGAATCTAACGAGTGTTTTTATGGAAGAATGGATGCCTTTTTTGGACCATTTAAAGAAATATTACCGTACGATGAACAATGAGCAACAGGAGGAATTGGATTGTAATATTGTGGTTGTGATTTGATAGAATAGGGCGTCTGCAGAAGGAGAGAAGCAAGAACTCAGTGGAAAACAGGGTGGGAAGTAGAGAATAAGGAGAGAAATTGTGTTTTGACTGTATATGTTTAAAAATGTTGAAAGTTAATAAAATATAATTGAAAGAGAGAGAGGGAAAGGTGCAGGGCTCAGCTAGGCTCCTCCACCCTGCAAAAAAAAAGTGCCCTGGGGTGTTGGAAGGGTGCCAGAAGCAACCCCCCCCCCAAAGCTGCTGCATGGAAAACAGGAAATCAACAGATCCTTCTGGAAGACTCTAGACTCTAGTAGACAAATCCCTCCCCCCTTTTTTCGGTCACAGTAATCTGAGAAGAAAAGGCTGCCTGTTCTTGTGAAGGGGGTGCCAGACTGCTGGCAAGACCTGCTTTCCAAACCTGAGCTCTGCCTTTGTCATAGAATCGTGGCGTGGGAAGGGACCCTGCGGGTCATCTAGTCCAGCCCCCTGCAATGCAGGAATATGCAGGGGTCACACACAGCCGCCTCCCAGATGCCAACCACGTTTTCTTCCTACCCCAGCCCTGCGAGGGAGGCCAGGCAGAGAAACAGCACCGAGTGAAGTTCTCTCACCTAGATTCCCACATCCATCCATCCCTCCTTTACTGTCTCCCGAAGAAACAGCACGGTCCTGCTTTGGCTAGGCAAAGGGAAGTTCTGGGAGAGCTAAGAAAGGGAATTTATATTTTTAAAAAAGCTCTTCCACTTCCTCACTTCCTGCCTCAACCCCCTTCTGCTTCAAGTCTCACAATTTGGGTGAAAGGTGTTGAGAGAGGGACGGCATCATCAGTTTCTTGCGACTCCTTGCATCAGCTACCAGTCCAGGCCAAAGATAGAAAGATGAAGAAGCAAGGATATTTTTTTCTACCACTCAAAATTCCCCCAGGTGTTGGCACTCCTAAAACATTTCAAGCCCGTGAAAACCGGGGAATCGAATTTAACACTCACACTTCAAATTGCTAAGGGGCAGGGTTGATGTGGGTATATCTTGAATTTCTACCTCTCACAAGTCAGACCCTGGGACACTGACCAGGCCTAAATCTACATCTGAACCACCTCAGAATAATAACAGTAATAATAATAATAATAATAACATCATCATCATTATTATTATTAGACTGGTTTGCCCCAGCCATTCTGGGTGGCTTCCAACACTTATAAAAACATAATCAAACATTAAAAACTTCCCTGAACAGGGCTGCCTTCAGATGTCTTCTGAAAGTCAAATAGTTGTTTATCTCCTTGCCATCTGATGGGAGGAAGGGCGCCACCACCAAGAAGGCCCTCTGAATAAAAGCATAATACCAAATTCTGCATTTGTAAGAAATGGATCTTTTCACTCCCTGCCTCTTGACGTTGGGCAGGTGCCGTCACAGTATTATTTTCGGCGACTGCTGAAAACATTTTTGTTTAGGGAAAGCCTGTCTAGACACAGAGAATGTGGACCCGGGCCTTATGACGGTCAGTTGTAATCATATTTCAGATTATTTTAAATAAGCACCCCATAATGCATAAATAATATTGCGTATAAATATTTATTATTATTATTATTGAATAGGACATCTCTATTTTCATCCGAGAAATGTTGGAGGGTATGAGATCCGAACATAAAACACAGCATCGAAACATGAGTTACAAACAAGGACAAAAAACCCCTCCACCCTGACCTGCAGGCCTCTCCTTTCGTTCATAGAGACGCCTGTTTTCCAGCGTTATATCTGCAAATTGACCAACCACCACAAAGGGAAATCTGAAAAGCATTCATAGGCAGAAAAGCGCTGCTCCAGAGTCCCAAGTCCACCCAGAGTCTCTGCTGCGTCTCGCTTTCCCCTCAGCCTTTGGTCCGGCGGCCTTCCGTGGCGGAGGTGGCTTCCTGGCCGCTGCCCGGCGCTCGGCCGACCTCGATGGGCACCGTCCTGGCGGGCGGCCCGGCGGCCTCGATGCGCAGCTGACCCTCTCGGGAGATGGAGCAGCTGAGCTGCTGGCGGTCCACGCTGCCCGGGACGTCCCACTCGCGGCGGAAGAGCTCGTAGCGGAAAGGTCCTCCGGGGGTCTGCGTGGCCTTCCTGCCGGTCAGCACCAGCTTCTGGCCCACCAGCTTGACCACCAGCTCCCGGGGGTCAAAGCCGGCCATGTCTTGGGTCACCGCAAACGGGGCCTCTTCCGGCCCCCGGGACGCTTCCTCGTGGCCCCGGAGTGGCCAGTTGCTGCGGTTGCCCAGCAGCTCCCACAGCGAATCCATCTCCCGTTCCAGGTCCTCAAAGAGCGAGCGGGTGGGGGGCCACAGAGCCCGGCTGAGCAGGGGGCTCTGGGGGGCCGCCAGGTGCAGTCGGCACATCATCTTCGCCTCAGGGATGCTTCGAAGGTCTTCTTGCTTTTCGGCTGTGGTCCTCTGTTCTGCTCTCTCTTCTGGAGCCGGAGACCTTTTATTGGGGTCCCAGGCGTCCGGCGCTCTCCTCGCCCCCAAAAAGGACTTGGTGCAAAGGGAGGGGGCTGTTAGTCAGACCCCCAAAAGGGCTCAGTGAGGCAAGGGACCCGCTGCTGTCATCCCTCTGCTCTCAGGGCTGAGGAGAGTTTATAATTAGCGACCAGCTTCCATGCGCAGCCAGGCCAAAATAGAAATCAGCAACCATCTGAGTCACTGGGAAGACAGCTGTGAGTTAAACCCTGAAGGACACGTCAGTCAAGATCCGAGGCTTGGAAACCCCCCAGCGTTCAGATGCTTTGTGGATGTGTGCACGCTTAATCCGTACCCTCCGACATCTCTCCAATAAAAATATGGGTGTCCTATTCCATAACAGTAATAATTTTATTATTTATACCCCACCCATCTGACTGGGTTGCTCTCAATTTTGATAATAAACCTGATTTGCAATGGGGTTTGAATAATTTCGATTGCAACTGTAGAAAACCTTAACAAAACATGAAACATTAAAAAATAAATTCTCTATTCAGGGCTGCCTTCAGATGTCTTCTAAAGGTTGTATATAGCCACTTATCTCCTTGGCTTGGGGGTTGCATAACTCCAGACCATAGCTGTCAACGTTTTCCTTTTTTTTAAGGGAAATTCCCTTATTCCGAATAGGATTCCTCACAAGAAAAGGGAAAAGTTGACAGCTATGCTCCAGACCCTCCAACATTTCTCCAGTGAAAATAAGGATGTCCTAAGGAAAAGCAGGACATTCCTGGATCAAATCAGAAACTGCCCTGCTCTATTCCTCTCCCCGCATTGCTGAATTACCACATAGAATCAGAATTGTTGAGTTGGAAGGGGCTCCGAGGGTCATCTAGCCCAACCCCAAATGAGGGGCTCGAACCCACAACCCTGACATTTAAGGCTCCCATGCTTTACCGACTGAGCCGTCTTAGACATCTTATGCCACGCTAGAGTGTCAGACCAGGACCAGGGTGACCCGAGTTCAAGTCCTGCGGTCAGTCGCTGCCTCCCAGTCTGGCCTGCCTCACAGGCTTGCTGTGAGGATCACCACAAATGGCGAGTGCTGCTGGAGTTAGCAAAACTAACGGATTTAATAAGGTATAAGTCAAAAAATTTAATTCAGAAACAATGGAAATGTTTAAATGATTATTTATACAAGCAGGGCTCAAATACGAAAGTTTGGTTGTGTCTAGACTAACCTTGTGAAGAGTTCAGAGAACATAAAGATTTGATGGATTATGAAAGAATCTAAGGAAGGGAAATGATTGAAGAACAGATGTAAATGCAAGTAAGACAACTAAGAGACGTGTGGCGAATGCGCTGGAAGTTTTTTATAATATTTTAACTATATTGCAGTATTTGAAGCAAGAATTTGGTAATATTCCAGTTTATGAAAAGTATTTTTTTTCTTTTGTCTTTTTACTTTATATCTTTTATTTTTCATTTTCTTTCTTTTTATTTTTATTAGTTTTCATTTTGGAAAACATGTATATAAGTGTGTTTACAGTGTTATGTATTGTTCTTTGTTTTTCTTTCTTTAATTTCTATTTTTTGAAAAATTTAATAATTTTTTTAAAAAAATTAAAAATGGCGGGTGCTGCCAAATTGCAACGATGAACCGAGACGTGACGATGGACCTGTGACCTGGAAGCAAAGCTATGGGAACACACTGCTCACATAGTTTATCCCGTTAGGAGGTTTCTATTTATATGCATCCGTAGTAAACATCGCAAGGATGCCAAGCCCCCAGGCCTCTAGAAATAGACACTGACCCCTCATGAGTCACCCAGATTCCTCCTTTCCACCCACCAACTAGCAAGAAATATTTCCTGCAGCAGCTGTCAAGTCCATTCCTTCCCCATCATATGAAAACATCACTTTAAAAATCCCAAACAGGCCAGAACATTGCAGAAGCTGAGAAAAGTCCGGGTGCAGGATGAAGACAAAGGGAGCCCATCTAGGAGACCCATTCCTTATTTATTTACATTATTATTCTCCTTCCACAGGTTCAGAACAGGGCAGCCCAAAATGACCAAGGGGGTGGAGAGGCTCCCATACAAGGAAAAGTTGCAGAACTAGCAGGTTTTTTTTAGTTTAGAGAGAAGGAGAGGAAGAGGCCACACAATCAGAGTTTATAAAAATTATGCCTAGGTTGGAGAACGTGGAGGGCGAGAAGTCTCTCTCATAACACTAGAATGTTGGGAGAGTAAGGGCAGAAAAAAGAAAGTACCTTTCTGGCTAAACTTTGGAACTCCCTGCCACAGAAGGCAGTGATCTAGGCATAGCTGTCAACTGTCCCTTATTTGGCAGGAAAGTCCCTTATCCCAGAGCTGTGTCCCACTGCTGTCCCTTATGGATGATGTCCCTTAAATCTCCCGGGTTTCAAAGGAAGCAGCTCCTCTCCCTCCCTCCCTGCCAGCCAGGGAGGAGGGAGGCTCCAACTGTGTTGCTTGGCTGCGTTGCTCACCCAATAAGGAGTCTAAGAACGACTGGGGGGTGGAGCTTGCATGCCTTGTGCCGATCAAATCGGCCGGGTTGCCTGGGGACTCGCCTTTGCTCAGCGCTTCCCAGCGGAGAGGTGACGGTGGTTTTCCTTGCTGCATCCCCTTTGCCGGGTTGCTGTGCTGTGGGAACCACCGCTTGAGGCTTCGTTTGGCTGCTGGCTGGACTTTCTGCCTTTGGCTCGGAGGGGCTCAGAAGATGAACATACCTGTGCTTGGAAAATCCCTTATTTTGGCTGCTGATCTCTTATTTCCGAGGCTGCTGGTCCCTTATTTTCAAATCTGTAAGTTGACTTTAAAAGGAGATGTCAAGTAACTATATAACCTATAGAAGACATCTGAAAGCAGCCCTGTATAGGGAAGTGGTTTTTTTAAAAACATGTAATGTTTTAATGTTTATATATGTGTTGGAAGTTCCTGCAGCCAATCAGAAGTCGCGCCTTGGTTTTTGAATGGTTTTGGGAGTTGAACAGACTCCCAGAACGGATTAAATTCGAGAACCAAGGTACTAGTGTACTTGGATTCAAAAGAAAGTAAGTTAAAACAGCTGCTAAAATCTGCTGGACGGAGCCAGACAGGGGAGGAGGACAGGTGAGACCAAAATAAAATCCTGGCTCTGCCCAGGCCTGGAAAGCTTGGAGGACAGGTAAGCGTGGACAAGCCCCTGAGAAGGTCCTGTGTTGGATGCCCAACGGCATGTCCAGGCAGGGATGGGAGAGCCCCTCCCTGAAAGGCTGGAGTGCTGCTGCCAGCCAGTGTAGACAGTATTGAACTCTGTAGAAGGCATCTTCCTCTGTTCCAGAAAGTGGTGGTGGGGGATGAGTGTTCAGACCCCTGGGCTCTCACTTGTGGGGTGCCTCAGGGTTCTGTCCTCGACCCCATGCTTTTCAACATCTACATGCAGCGCTGGGAGAGATCATCAGGGGGTTTGGGCCGGGTGTCCATCAATATGCAGATGACACCCAGCTCTACCTCTCTTTCAAATCAGAACCAGTGAAGGCAGTGAAGGTCCTGTGTGAGTGTCTGGAGGCGGTTGGAGGTTGGATGGCGGCTAACAGATTGAGGTTGAATCCTGACAAGACAGAAGTACTGTTTCGGGGGGACGGGGGTGGGCAGGGGTGGGGGATTCCCTGGTCCTGAATGGGGTCACTGTGCCCCTGAAGGACCAGATGCGCAGCCTGGGAGTCATTTTGGACTCACAGCTGTCCATGGAGGCGCAGGTCAATTCTGTGTCCAGGGCAGCTGTTTACCAGCTCCATCGGGTACGCAGGATGAGACCCTCCCTGCCCACAGACTGTCTCGCCAGAGTGGTGGATGCTCTGGTTATCTCCCGCTTGGACCACTGCAATGCGCTCTACGTGGGGCTACCTTTGAAGGTGACCCGGAAACTACAACTAATCCAGAATGCGGCAGCTAGACTGGTGACTGGGAGTGGCCACCGAGACCACATAACACCGGTCTTGAAAGACCTACATTGGCTCCCAGTACGTTTCTGAGCTCAATTCAAAGTGCTGGTGTTGACCTTTAAAGCCCTAAACGGCCTCGGCCCAGTATCCCCGAAGGAGCGTCTCCACCCCCATCGTTCTGCCCGGACACTGAGGTCCAGCACCGAGGGCCTTCTGGCGGTTCCCTCACTGCAAGAAGTGAGGTTATAGGGAACCAGGCAGAGGGCCTTCTCAGTGGTGGCACCCGCCCTGTGGAACGCCCTCCCAACAGATGTCAAAGAGATAAACAACTACCTGACATTTAGAAGACATCTGAAGGCAGCCCTGTTCGGGGAAGTTTTTAATGTGTGACATTTTAATGTATTTTTAATATATTGTTGGAAGCCGCCCAGAGTGGCTGGGGAAACCCAGCCAGATGAGCGGGGTACAAATAACAAATTAATTATTATTACTATTATTATTATTCCTACAGAAAGACAGAGTCGGTCAGACAGGAGCCGTCAAACACTTCAGTGTGAAAAAGTAAGGCTTTATTGCAAATTCCAAAAAGAGAGAAGACACTTCCGTATCAAAAAGAGGGCATCCGGTTGCTAGGAGGCCGCAGACCGTCGGAAAGTTTCACCTCGCTATGTTGCAGTGCCAGTCTCAGCCAGGAGAGGAGACAGTTGCTGTTATTCTAGGGAAGGGGAACATAAGTAAATTCTCAATTCCGGTGTGTGTGTGTGTGGAATTAGTTGTCAATCCAGGGGGGAAACTAATCAGCAGTGAGCACAGCACACACCCAAGGAAAACAACTTGCAGTATTCCAAATTTTTAAAAGGCGTTTCGGTTGCTCAGCGATAGGGCATGCAGAATTAAATTTATATGCCTTCTTTCTTCCAAAGATCACATGGGTGTTTTACAACATAAACCACCAAATAAATACATAATGTAGTAATAAATGAAACCGTACCAACACCCCCCTCCCCAGTTAAAAAGGTCATGGATTGTTAAACGAGCCAAAAGTTCAACCCCTGGCATCTGCAGAAGGGAAGGAAATATCCCCTGCCAGAACCCCCGCCCCCAAAAAGAGTCTGCCAGTCAGTGTTGACAACACTTACCGTATTTTTCTGTTTATAAGACGAGGGGTTTTTTTTATTATAAACTACTGTTAAAAATTGGGGGTCGTCTTATACACGGATAGTGCAGGGGGGACGTGTGATTGGCAGCAGTCGTGAGCAGGAGATTGTAACTGGTGATTGGGCGGGTGATTGGCGGCTGCTGCTGGCGAGTGGGCAGACGATGGGTGGCTTTGTTGAGGCGTGTGATTGTCAGCGGCGGTCAGGCGGGTGAGCGATTATCGGCAACCCTCCCCCCAAAAAGCTCAACAACTCTCCCCCCATTTCCTAAATTTGGAGTCCCAAAAAATAGGGGTCGTCTTATACACGGGGGCATGTTATACACGCAAAAATACGGTAGCTAGATAGATCAATGGACCAACTCTGTATAGAGGCAGCTTCCAAGGTTTCCTATTGAAATCAGCCAGAACCATGAGGACTGGGCACCTTCTACATTTTTTATATTTTTATGAGTGGTTTGTAGTTTCATTGTTAAGACGAGAGGGATGTAACAAACCTGATTCAATTTATTTTTATGCTTTTTGACTCTTCTTTCCTCTTTAAAAATCCTTTTTTAAATTCTCATTTTCTCTTCATTTTTTCTCACCCCCCCTATTTTTTCCTGGTAGCCAATCAGATGTCCCAAACGAGGAAGACCCCACAAGCAGGATGTGGAGAGCAGTAGCCCCTCCCACGCTTGTTCTCCATCCTAAGGTAGACTGGCTTTGTCCATGGAGGTTCCATGGAGGGGTCATAAGGAACCAAGAAGAGCCAGGCTGCAGGATCCGACTCAAAGGGAGCCCATCTCGTCCAGCATCCTGTCTTTACAGATTTTTTTAGGGGGGGGACAAGGAGGGGATTGTGATGAGTGATACCACACACAAACTTCTGATGCCAACTTTCTAGATCAGGGTTTCCCAAACGTGAGTCTCCAGCTGTTTTTGGACTACAGTTCCCATCATCCCTACCACTGGTCCTGCTAGAAAGGGATGATGGGAGTTGTAGTCCAAAACAGCTGCTTTTCCTTTCCTTTTTTTAAGGGCAAAGTTGAAAAGTCAACCTTTGGAATATTTCAAATACCTGTTTTTATAACTTTTAAAAACCCCTAATTATTTTGTTTCTGCAAACAGCTCAGAAGGTTCTCTTGCAATGTAGTGGGGTATAAATTTGGTCAAATGAACAGCACCCCTGCTGCGCACCCCCCACCCATGACATTCCTCCAGAATCCGACCTCTCTCCCTCTTCCCCCCACACCCAAGAAAATGTGCAAGATCCCCTCCAGGTCAGCAAGTTGTAGTATTGCTGTTCTGCCACTAGAGGGAGCACCTGGACCACGATTTCATTTTGCGGGTTCTTTGCTTCCCAGGGACTCAGCCTGTCGAGTTCACTCAGTCCCTAGCATAACCCATTTTTATTATTAAATATCCTTACTAATAAGAAGAGTAGCAGCTGCAAGACCTAGTAAGTATTATTACTATTAGTTGCTATATAAATGCAGGCCTTTAGCTCTAAGGTTACAGGACAGACCACAGCAATGAAAAAGTATTTTAAAAACAACTTGCAAATCATGGAAATTCCTAGGCAGAATGTTGGATCAGGACCTCTGCAGGAGCCCCTTAGAAAGGAAATTGCAACTAAACATCGGGGATAACTTTCTGACTACGTGAATGGATTCTCCATGGCCTTACTCGTATTTATGGGACCGCCTCTCCTGGTCTGCTCCACAGAGGACCTTCAGGTCCATGAACAACCATACAGTGGTGCCTCGCAAGACGAAATTAATTCGTTCCGCAAGTTTTTTCTTCTTGCGAGTTTTTCGTCTTGCGATGCACGGTTTCCCATAGGAATGCATTGAAAATCAATTAATGCGTTCCTAGGGAGACCGACTTCAGACCAGGTCCGGGGACAGTCTGTCCCCGACCTCTTCTGAAGGCTGGGGGGGACAAGGGCTTTTCTTCCCACCCCCAGCATTTTAAAAACCCGGGACAGCGGAGAGCTTCTCCGCTGTCCGGGGCGATCTTAAAATGCTGGCGGGCGGCATTTTAAAATTGCCCCGGGACAGCGGAGGACTTCTCCGCTGTCCCGGGCAATTTAAAAGCCCCTGGGAAGGCAGGCAGGGGGACAAAGACTTTGCCCCCGCCAGCCTTCAGAAGAGGTCCTGGACCTCTTCTGAAGGTTGGCGGGGCGAAAGTCTTGTCCCCCCACCTGCCTTCAAAAGCTGTCCAGCCAAGGCTTCGCGGACCTCTCCGCAAGCAGCGGCAGCACTGCCGCTGCTTGCGGAGAGTTGCCGGCATGCCGAAGCCTGCGCGCGCTGAGATCAGCGCGCCCAGGCTCGCGGACCTCTCCGCGAGCAGCGGCAGCGCTGCCGCTGCTCGCGGAGAGTTGCCGGCATGCCGAAGCCTGCGCGCGCTGAGATCAGCGCGCCCAGGCTCGCGGACCTCTCCGCGAGCAGCGGCAGCGCTGCCGCTGCTCGCGGAGAGTTGCCGGCATGCCGAAGCCTGCGCGCGCTGAGATCAGCGCGCCCAGGCTTCGCGGACCTCTCCGCGAGCAGCGGCAGCGCTGCCGCTGCTCGCGGAGAGTTGCCGGCATGCCGGAGCCTGCGCGCGCTGAGATCAGCGCGCCCAGGCTCCGCGGACCTCTCCGCGAGCAGCGGCAGCGCTGCCGCTGCTCGCGGAGAGTTGCCGGCATGCCGAAGCCTGCGCGCGCTGAGATCAGCGCGCCCAGGCTTCGCGGACCTCTCCGCGAGCAGCGGCAGCGCTGCCGCTGCTCGCGGAGAGTTGCCGGCATGCCGAAGCCTGCGCGCGCTGAGATCAGCGCGCCCAGGCTTCGCGGACCTCTCCGCGAGCAGCGGCAGCGCTGCCGCTGCTCGCGGAGAGTTGCCGGCATGCCGAAGCCTGCGCGCGCTGAGATCAGCGCGCCCAGGCTTCGCGGACCTCTCCGCGAGCAGCGGCAGCGCTGCCGCTGCTCGCGGAGAGTTGCCGGCATGCCGAAGCCTGCGCGCGCTGAGATCAGCGCGCCCAGGCTTCGCGGACCTCTCCGCGCGCAGCGGCAGCGCTGCCGCGGCTCGCGGAGAGTTGCCGGCATGCCGAAGCCTGCCCGCGCTGAGATCAGCGCGCCCAGGCTTCGCGGACCTCTCCGCGAGCAGCGGCAGCGCTGCCGCTGCTCGCGGAGAGTTGCCGGCATGCCGAAGCCTGCGCGCGCTGAGATCAGCGCGCCCAGGCTCGCGGACCTCTCCGCGAGCAGCGGCAGCGCTGCCGCTGCTCGCGGAGAGTTGCCGGCATGCCGAAGCCTGGGCGCGCTGAGATCAGCGCGCCCAGGCTCCGCGGACCTCTCCGCGAGCAGCGGCAGCGCTGCCGCTGCTCGCGGAGAGTTGCCGGCATGCCGGAGCCTGCGCGCGCTGAGATCAGCGCGCCCAGGCTCGCGGACCTCTCCGCGAGCAGCGGCAGCGCTGCCGCTGCTCGCGGAGAGCTGCCGGCATGCCGAGCCTGCGCGCGCTGAGATCAGCGCGCCCAGGCTCGCGGACCTCTCCGCGAGCAGCGGCAGCGCTGCCGCTGCTCGCGGAGAGTTGTCGGCATGCCGAAGCCTGCGCGCGCTGAGATCAGCGCGCCCAGGCTTCGCTGACCGGAGATTTCCCTATGGGCTTTCGTCTTGCGAAGCAAGCCCATAGGAAATTCGTTTATGAAGCGCCTCCAAAACGGAAAACCCTTTCGTCTAGCGGGTTTTTCGTCTTGCGAGGCGTTCGTCTTGCGGGGCACCACTGTAGTTTAGAGGCCCCGGGCCCCAAGGAAGTCAGACTAGCCTCCACCAGGGCCAGGGCCTTCTCAGTGATGGCTCCGACCTGGTGGAATGCTCTGTCCCAGGAGACCAGAGCCCTGCAGGATTTAACCTCCTTCTGCAGAGCCTGTAAGACAGAGCTATTCTGCCTGGCTTTCAATTTTAAATTAGCCTGATCTTCTATTCCCCTTCCTTCCCTCCCCCTCCCCTTTTTATGAAGATTCCCCGCTTTGGGATCCCATAGATAATTCTCCCCTGGTCTCCTCACAGGCCCAAATGGGACTAATTCAGCCAGCTAGCCCTGGTGATCATCCAGTGTTTATTGGATGGATTTCCTCACTAAATTGATTTTTGAATTCTGAATTTATTGTTATTCACGTTTTATACTGTATATGCTATTTTTGTTGTTGCATCAATTAAGTGTTTTAAGTTTGTTGTTAGCCACCCTGAGCCCGGTTTTCTGAACCAGGAAGGGCGGGGTATAAATAAAAAAATTAATACTGACCTTGCTGCATTGGAACGTCAAATGTATTTATTTCACTCCAATGGACTGAAATCCCGACTGAACTTGCCGCCTCTACGCGGATTGCTGATAGACGCAGAGAAGTCTAACGGAAGTTGGACCTCATTTATACAAAACGCAGCAGGTGAAAAAACAACAGTTATGCAACTGTGTTGGAAAATATCTAATATTATCCAAACAGATGTAGAGTTATGGAATTGGATTTGCCAGCTGTTCTAGTGATGCCCTATGCCCTCAAATAAGTAAGAGCTTTCTGATAGTAAGAGCTGTCCGCTCAAATACAGCCACAACATGTGGCTAATAAGTATGGCAAATGTATTATTAGTAGTTAGAATATAATCCAAGATTTAGAAATCATAAACATCTATAATGTATGTATAAGTCCATAAACAAGAAATAATTCTGCCTGCGTTGTGGTGTTCCCTGACAGCAATTTATTACGTTGACTATTTCTTGTTTATGGACTTATACATACATCATAGATGACGCTTATGATTTGTAAATTTTGGATTGTATTCTAACTACTACTAATAATACAGGTGAAACTCGGAAAATTAGAATATCGTGGAAAAGTTCATTTATTTCAGTAATTCAACTTAAAAGGTGAAACTAATATATGAGATAGACTCATGACATGCAAAGCGAGATATGTCAAGCCTTTATTTGTTATAATTGTGATGATCATGGCGTACAGCTGATGAAAACCCCAAATTAACCATCTCAGAAAATTAGAATATTGTGAAAAGGTGCAGTAGCTATTCAATCCGTAACACCTGCAATGGGTTCCTGAGCCTTTAAATGGTTTCTCAGCCTGGTCCAGTAGGAAGCACAATCATGGAGAAGTTGAATTACTAAAATAAACGAATTTTTCCACGATATTCTAATTTTTCGAGTTTCACCTGTACATTTGCCATACTTATTAGCCATGTGTTGCGGCTGCATTTGAGCAGATTATTCTGTATTGCAACACAGGGGTAAGAGCTGTCCGACAGTGGAACCTCTCCTTCCTTGGAGCTTTCTAAACAGAGGTTGGATGGCCCTTTCTTAGCCGCCATTCCTGCACTGCAGCGGGTTGGACTAGATGACCCTCGAGGGTCCCTTCCCTCTCTGCAATCCTGTGATTCTGTGACACTTACCGCCGCTCACATTCACCCACTGGTCCTGGGAGTTGTCACTGGAGGTCATCTCAGCACTGGGGTCGCGGGACGGCAGGAGCAGTGTGCTTTCCGGTGGAGCAGGGCTGGTGGGATTCGCACCCGGGTTGTCCCCGCCACCGTCAGGCACCTCCTCGTCTGGCTGCTCACTCCCGTCCCCGGAGCAGCGGGGGTCCAGGGCCTCCTCCCCAGCACCATTTTCCTTCTTTGGGTCCTCCTACAAACACATTGAAAGAGAGAGAGAAGGTGGACTGTGAAGGAAGCTGCGCTCTGCAAGCAGGATTCGAACTCCGAGCAACAGAAGGAATTAGAGATCATTGTATGATGGTTAAGATATGAGAGAGAGAAGACAGGGTGCAGCAAGGGGGAGAAATTAAAAAACACCGTGGGAAATGGAGTGGGAAGCCAGGAAAACAAACAAACAAAATCTGTTATGTATTGGAATTAAGCCTTAAGCAATCTCAGCAGGACATCTTGAGGCAGTGAGTTCCACATGTTAACGCTGTGCTGTGTGACAGCCTCCTTGTCTCATCCAGAAAAGCAGAATGTGGGCCCCCACCCATCTTTAAGTCTAAGCCAGTAAGAAGAAACATGTCCTCTTTCGGCATTGGCAAGACGTCAAGAGCACCTCTGAGGACGTGAAGAGGGCCCTTCGTTTCCCCCTCACTGCCTCCATCTTTCGTAACCTGCTGAGCTGGGTCTTCCTTCAGCATCAAGAATCCATCCTTCTCCTCCACCTCCAAATTGACATCGGTGTCGTTCTGAGATTTGTATTCTTCGCTGTCCGTCTCAGAGACGGTAAACTGGGAAGGAGACACAGAGAAGGGGCTGATCAATGGCTGTTCAGTCAATCAATCCATCACTCTTCGTGCCAAACTCTGGGAATTGTAGGCCCATTTTAAGTCCCATTTAAAAACCAATAATTTTATAGATTTGTTTCTCAGTTTGACACTTTTACATGGTTTTGTATGGATGGTGGGAGTTTAGGCATTGGGGCCTGCTTTTTTTATTGTTCCTCGTTTAGTTTTTAATTTTTTTAACAGTTTAGTCTTTTTTATTGTAATTGTTAAGAGTGAATTTCCATTTAATTATTGTTTGCTGATATTTAACTTCATTGTGTACCATTACAAGATGATGGAGTGTTGCTTTCTTTGAATTAAGTTGTTTATTTTAAAGTTATGTTTTTATTACGGCTTTTTTTGTTTTGTTTCAGATCAGATTATTATGGCGTGTGTGATCTTTGTTGTTTCTTCAGCTTGTAAACTACTTGTGTATACAGAAAGACAGTATGCAAATTAAAATTTGAATTGAATTGTAGCTCTGTGAGGGGAATGGGAGCTCCCTAACAACTCAACACCCTTAAACTACAACTCCCACAATTCTTTGCGAGGGGGAACCTCAGCTGTTTTAAATGGTATCACAGAACTCAAAGAACTCGTAAAATCATAGGGTTGGAAGGGACCCTGACAATCATCTAGTCCAACCCCCCAATCAGGATTCGTATGGTGTGAGCATGGCCTTAAGTAATGATTGGATGCTTTTTAACATCTACACGAAGCCGCTGGGAGAGATCACCAGGGGGTTTGGGCCGGGTGTCCATCAATATGCAGATGACACCCAGCTCTACCTCTCTTTCAAATCAGAACCAGTGAAGGCGGTGAAGGTCCTGTGTGAGTGTCTGGAGGCAGTTGGAGGATGGATGGCAGCTAATGGATTAAGGTTTAATCCTGACAAAATAGAAGTACTGTTTTTGGGGGACAGGGGGCAGGCAGGTGTGGGGGACTCCCTGGTCCTGAATGGGGTAACTGTGCCCCTGAAGGACCAGGTGCGCAGCCTGGGAGTCATTTTGGACTCACAGCTGTCCATGGAGGCGAAGGTCCATTCTGTGTCCAGGGCAGCTATTTACCAGCTCCATCGGGTACACAGGATGAGACCCTCCCTGCCTGCAGACTGTCTTGCCAGAGTAGTGCGTGCTCTTGTTATCTCCCGCTTGGACTACTGCAATGCGCTCTATGTGGGGCTACCTTTGAAGGTAACCCAGGAACTACAACTAATCCAGAATGCGGCAGCTAGACTGGTGACAGAGCGGCTGCCGAGACCACATAACATGGGTCTTGAAAGACCTATATTGGCTCCCAGTACGTTTCTGAGCACAATTCAAAGTGTTGGTGCTGACCTTGAAAGCCCTAAATGGCCAGCATACCTGAAGGAGCATCTCCACCCGCATCGTTCAGCCCGGACACTGAGGTCCAGCTCCAAGGGCCTTCTGGTGGTTCCCTCCCTGCGAGAAGCCAAGCTACAGTGAACCAGGCAGAGGGCCTTCTTGGTGGTGGCAGCCACCCTGTGGAACGCCCTCCCACCAGATGTCAAAGAGATAAATGACTACCTGACATTTAGAAGACATCTGAAGACAGCCCTGCTCAGGGAAGCTTTTAATGTTTAACAGACCACTGTATTTTAATACTTTGTTGGAAGCCGCCCAGAGTGGCTGGGGAAACCCAGCCAAATGGGAGAGGTACAAATAAAAAATTATTATTATTGGAAAGAAATGCATTGCAGGGGGTTGGACTAGATGAGCCCTGGGGCTCCCTTCCAAACTCTACAATTCTCTGATTATATGTCTTAAAGGAAAAATAAAAGAAGGAGCAACTTATGGGATTTATCTGAGGTAAGGGGAGATCCGGATGAAATCCAAAATAAGTCAAGGGCCGACGTTTCGATGGCTGTGTCAAGCGGTTGTGGGGAAAACAACTTGCTTGCGTTAACAATGTGCTCCCGAGTCTCAGAGGTACCTCGTAAGTCGGGTCCTCGGGATCATCTTCATCCGGTAATTCTTTCTGGAGAAGCTCAGCCCAGCAGAGTTCCTCCTCTAGAGTAACATCGTCCTTTTTCCTTTTGTTCCCTTTGCCCGATGGGTGGACGGGGGCGTCCAATGTCTCTGCAGGAGGAGCAGCAAGATTAAAAATAGACAAAAACAAAACAACCTGCAGAGGTCTTGCCAAGGTTGCAGGTTCGGTCCCCGTGTGGGGCAGCTGCCTCTTCCTGCATTGCAGGGGGTTGGACCACTAGGTAATCCACAGGGTGTCTTCCAACTCTATGATTTTGAACAGTAAGAGGAGGAGGAGGGTTCATTTGGTGAGGTAGATCCAGAAAGGCAAGTGTGAGCCAGGTGGTGCCCTGGTTTGAGTGCTGGCCCTGGGAGACCAGGGTTCAAATGTGTACAAAAATGCACGTGAAAATAATAATAATAATAATAATAATAATAATAATAATAATAATAATAGTAATAATTATAATAATAATAATAAATTATACTCCACCTTCCCGGTTCAAAAACAGGGCTCAGGGCAGCTAACAACAAATTCAAAAGCAGCATAAAATACAGTATAAAAACATGAATAACAATAAAAATAAAAAATCAATCCGATAATCCCCAGGGCTAGCTGGCTGAATTGGTCCTACTTGGGCCAGCGAGGAGGCCAGGGGAGAATTAGCTGTGGGGTCTCAGAGCGGGTGATCTTCATAACAGGGGAAGGGAAGGGAAATAAAAGATCAGGCTGAATTCAGATTAAAGGCCAGGAGGAATAGCTCTGTCTTACAGGCCCAGCAGAAGGAGGTTAAATCCTGCAGGGCTCTGGTCTCATGGGACAGAGCATTCCACCAGGTTGGAGCCATCACTGAGAAGGCCCTGGCTCTGGTGGAGGATAGTCTGACTTCCTTAGGGCCCGGGACCTCTAAACCATGGTTGTTCATGGATCTTAAGGTCCTCTGCCAGGCAGACCAGGAGAGGTGGTTCCGTAAATATGCACCCTACGTAGCGACGCCTGCCCCTTTCCTTTGCCCCTGCCCCCGGGTCTCACCTTTGGGGACCAAATCCCGTTCCATGACGGTCAGATATCCGAAAGCACGCTGGAACCTCAGAGGGGCAAAGGCAAGGATGACATGCGCTATGGTTCCCAGCCGCTTCTTGGCGTGGCGCACGGGTCGGTCCGGAGATTGTGCCAGGGATGCTTTGCCCGTGGGGGTCCGCACAGGGATGGTGAGGCGAGCCCAGGGGAAGAACTTGCGAAGGAACTGGAACTGAGCAGCCAAGAGCAAAGGAAAGCGATTTAGAGACGTACACCAGTCGCAGGCTTTCGTAGCCAACACAGACATGTAGAATGGGATATACAGGGAAAATAAAACATAAATCTGAACCTCAGCAGCGGATCCCAAGAGGAGAAAGGAATAAACACTGGGAGATTTGGCTGTTGAGGTTTCACCAGTGCTGCGTGTTATTATTATTTCCATTTCTATACCACTTTACATTTTAAAGAACAAATCTCAAAGCAGTTTACAACACATTAAAACATCAAATAAGACAACCCAGAATAAAAACAAATTCAAGCTTAAAGGGATATATTTCAGATCTATTGAGCCACCTTTGGGATGCCTCTGGGAAGCCCACAGAAAAATCCTTCGCGTCCCCCTTCACATTCAGCAGGTAGACTCCCCTGGCTAGGCAGGTTCTATTCTCTAAGAAAGCTTAGAGGACTATTTCAAGGCCTCCTCTCCAACTTATGTCAGGCAGTCTGCTAGCACCCCAGAAGCTAAAGTGGCCCCCGCCTCCTGGAAAAACTTGTCATCCAGGGCTGGCAAACCGAAGATGTCGAGACTCTGAAAAACAACTTGCCATGTCCCGGTGCGGCAAGAGAACGAGTGAAAAAGTTCCCTTTTCGCACCTCTCCAATTCATTTTGCCAATTCGCAATTCCTAAAAGATGCTCTCTTTTATTCTGCCCCAATTTGACGAATTCCTAACCGCCTCAAACCCTGCAGAGTAATATTAAGAGCATCTCAATAGTTTTTCATCTTCTAGCCTAGCATCCTGCCTCCTAGCCTAGCATCCTGCCTCCAACAGGGGACAGCCATGTAAACCAGGAAGCCCACAAGCAGCCCTTCCCTGCTGCTGGATTCCTCGCCACCCCCAGGGACCAGACTTGGGGAGACCGGCAAGCACCCCGACACCCTAAAAAGGTCCAATCCACAAACCGACCCCGACTGTGACTTACCAGATACGCCAGCAGACGACAAGGGCTTCTTACAAACCAGACTGTCCGTGGCACAGAAGTCTATAGGAAAAGAGCCCAATTTGCCAAGTGAGTAGGAGGGAGGGGAAGCACATACTGTCCCACGAGATTTTAAACAGGGTGCAAGAAACCCAACGCCCTTTCAAAATGTGTTGGAGAGGATTATTGGGTTGTTTTTGTTTTATGTATTTTGTGTTTTTATATTGTGAAGTGCCCTGAGACCTGCAGGTATTGGGTGGTATACAAATTTTAATCATCATCAGCTCCTGCACCTGCCCTTGTTGCATCAGTGAATACACAACTATTAAAAAAAGAAGAAGAAAAAGTTTCTTTTGCACCTCACAGGTGTGTTGTTGAAGGAACAGCCTCTAAGCCCAAGCCCTGAGCCCTTGCTTCCAGGAAACTTTGCTTCCAGGGAAACAGGACGGGGGAAAGAGGGTGTTGGAAATGCCCTGGGTGCCAACCCACCAGAATTTCCCCATAGAGACCTGCCAGTTAGCATGTGCAGATATTGGCCACAGGACTTCAGTCCCTCCAAAATAAAACCCTTTGAAGTAACCTGCTGTATAACTCCTGGTTGCTGTACCCAAGTAGTGCTCTGCCAACAAAAAACTATTTTTTTAAAAAAACTATTTTTTTTTTTTTTTAACCAACAACCAAAACACAATGAAACCTCCCAGGCAGCTGGTACATTGGGTATACATAATCAATAACAACATATTCAAATCAACCATATGTACAATTCTATATACATTAACACTCCTCCCCCCACAAGTTTTATTTAACTTTTAACATTTTAATTGCCCCAAATTGTTCAAACCTACCCAAAGAATTCAATATTTTCTCAAACCAATCCTCCTCCTTCTCACTGACCTTAAACCCTTTCATTTTGTGTATCTTCACAGTTAAATTGTAATATTTTTCAGTTTCTTCCTCCATTGGTTCACCCCTAGCTCTTCTGCATTTTTCCAATTACCCGCTATAACCCGTCTGGCTGCAATTACCATCAATTTTACCCATTTACATTCCCCTTTTGTTTCTAACTCGGTGCTACTCAGGCTAATAAGAATCATTAATTTAGAGCTACAAAAAACTAGATCAAAACACAAAGGTTCGCGGTTCGTGTGTCAGGCCAGGTCCTGAGTTCAAATCCACTCTGCCACAAAGCTCACTGGTTGACCTTGGATCAATCATGGCCTCTCGGTCTCTCTTTCTCTCTCTGCCTCGCCTACTTCTCAGGGTTGTTGGGGCAGGGATATACGTTTCCTCATTATATCCTCACATTGAGCTTTTCTCAGGTGCACAGGTGAGAACAGTAACAGATTACCTCCCAGGTTTGCTGCAAGGATGCAATAATGTAGGCTTCCTCCACCTCGGCCCTCCAGATGTTTTGAGACTACAATTCCCAGCATCCCTGACCACTGGTCCTGCTAGCTAGGGATCATGGGAGTTGTAGGCCAAAAGCACCTGGAGGGCTGAGGTTGAGGAAGCCAATGCAAAACGCACGATTCAAGCAATTTACAGGAACCACAGAAAAACAGAGGCATAAAGTTGGAAGGGACCCTGAGGGTCAGCGAGTGCCATCCTTTGGCCAACATGGGGCTCAAACCCACAGCCCTGAGTCTCGTGCTCCACTGACTGAGCCGTCTTGGTTCTCAGGAGAAAGAGGCGAAGGGCTTGCAGAATGATAAAACCATTCTCCCAAGAAGGTCTTTGAAAGGAAAGTCAAAAAAGCCTCCCCCCCAAAAAAACCAATGCAGTACAAAATAAACGCAAGTATAAATTAAAATAAATGCTAAATAAATGGAGAACCCCACCCCCCGCTGCTGCTCCAAGCCTTCCCCCTGGAAGCCAAAAACCGATGAATTCAGAAAGTCTTAAGAGGTGAACAATTTCCCTTCCTTGCTGGAACACTCAGTTTGATACAGGTACACCTACCTGTGCCGGACTCCTTGGTTCCTTCTGCTCCATTGCATGGAAAGCAATGGGGACAAACTCTGATTCAATTAAGCAGCACACCCCACCCCACCCTTTAAATAGACCCTGACTCAGCTGCCCCCCCCCAACAGATGCTGCCTTAGGTCCCGATCCTCAAATCACTTAGCCAGGTATTGACCTGAGACATGTATGAACGCATATCCAACCCAAATTGCACTGGAAGGGAGAGCTCAGCCGGTAGAGGAGGAGACTCTTAATCTCAGGGTTCTGGGTTCAAGCCCCACATGGGCAAAAGATTCCTGCATTGCAGGGGGTTGGGCTAGATGACCCTCGGGGTCCCTTCCAACTCTATAATTTGGCTTAATTCAGACCCTGTGATTTCCTCTAGATTAGAGGCTGCATCCAACTCCAGCTGCCTTTACATCGAGTCGGACCATACATCCATTTGGCTTAGGAATGCCTACACTGTCTGGCAACATCTCACTTTTAGAATTCCTGCTCCGTGATTGCAGTCATGGGATTGTTGTCTATTGCATGACAGTACAGTGGTACCTCGGGTTAAGAACTTAATTCGTTCTGGAGGTCCGTTCTTAACCTGAAACTGTTCTTAACCTGAAGCACCACTTTAGCTAATGGGGCCTCCTGCTGCCGCCTCGCCGCTGCCACGTGATTTCTGTTCTCATCCTGAAGCAAAGTTCTTAACCCGAGGTACTATTTCTGGGTTAGCGGAGTCTGTAACCTGAAGCGTATGTAACCTGAAGTATCTGTAACCCAAGGTACCACTGTATCTGTTATGACTCCACAGAGTGGGAAGTGACGGAGACAGGATGTGTGATGCTAGAGAGAGGGAGCCATGTTGCAGTGCTCTGTGTGTATGTAAATAAAGTAGATTAGCCAAAATGCTGAGTTGCTGAGGTCTGTCACGCAAGGTGTGCAAACTCTGTGGATCCCTAAGTGTGCCGGTGTCTGTTGGCATCGGTCGCCGTGATGTTCGGGCTGAAGAAAGCTTATGAAGCTCCCAAATGAACGATCAGGAGGGAGCATAGCTGTCAACTTTTCCCTTTTCTTGCGAGGAATCTTATTCGGAATAAGGTAATTTCCCTTTAAAAAAGGGAAACGTTGACAGCTATGGGAGGGAGAGAACATGCCAGTCGGGCATGTGTCTCTCCTAGGGTCCTACTTGAGTGTAGGCTGAGCTCCTGACGCTCTCCAGGTCTTTTCAGGCTGGTGATTGTTCCTATTCCTAGCTGGAGACAGCAGCAAAGTGTCAGGTCGCCACATAACACAGAGAATAAGCCCCATTGACTCAGCAGGGTTTACTTCTTCGTAGGCATTGCATGAGACTGCGTGGGCACTCTAAGAGTAGGCCTACCTGACAAGGTAAGGCGGAAATGCGAGCATGAGAAAGCCGGAACGCAGCCTTGAGCTTATTGGAGGAACGGCTGGGTAGAAATCCAGTCAGCCAATCTTTCAAAGGTTAAGCTAAAAGCTAAGGAGAGCCCCGCAGGATCATGCCCATTTAGCCCATGGTCCACCGGCCAACCAGCTCTTGCAAAGCTAGCAAGCAGGAACATGGTACATAGCTGTCAACATTTCCCTTTTTTAAAGGGAAATTCCCTTATTTTGAATAGGATTCCTCACAAGAAAAGGGAAAAGTTGACAGCTATGACATGGTAATTTGCCTTGCTAGAGCTGGAAGGGACCTCATCCCATTCCATAATGATAATTTTACTATTTATACCCCACACATCTGACTGGGTTGCCCCAGCCACTCTGGGCAGCTTCCAAAACATAATAAAACATTAAACATTTTTTAAAAACTTCCCTACATAGGATTGCCTGCAGACAGCTCGGGAGTAGATTAACTCCACACCCTTCAACATGTCTCCAATGAAAATAGAGATATCCTAAGGAAAAGTAGGACATTCCAGGATCAAATCAGAAACTGGGACACCTCTAAATCAGGGACGCCGCTGGAAAATAGGGACGCTTGGGGGGTCTGGTCATCTAGTCCAACCCCCTGCAATGCAGGTATCTCAACTAAAGCATTCATGACAGATGGCTGTCCAGCCTCTGTTGAAAAACCTCTAGTGAGAGAGCACCCAGCGCCATTCCACTGTCAAACAGCTCTTGCCAACAGAAATGTCTTCCTGACTTCTAGTCAGAATCTTCTTCCTTGTAACTTGAAGCCATGGGTTCAAGTTCTGCCCTCCAGAGCAAGAGAAAACAAGCTAATCCATGGGATAGCCTTTAAGATATTTGAAGTAGGAGTCTGAAGTTGCGGGTTAAGGGGAGATTTGGGTACCCCTTCGGCCCTCGGGATCTTACTGAACTGGAACAGTATGGGGTAGTAGTTAGAGTGTCCAGTTAGGAGCCAGGAGAGACCAGGGTTCAAATAACCTGTTTTGACTTTAAAATGTTCAGCACGCTCAGCCTGAGCACCAGAAACAGAGGGAATGGCAGTTAATGGGTGGGTGGTGGCTAACAGATTGAGCTTGAATCCTGACAAGACAGAAGTACTGTTTTGGGGAGACAAGGGGCAGGCAGGTGTGGGGGACTCCCTGGTCCTGAATGGGGTAATGTGCTTCTGAAGGTCCAGGTGCTCAGCCTGGGGGTCATTTTGGACTCACCGCTGTCCATGGAGGCACAGATCAATCCTGCGTCCAGGGCGGCTGTCTACCAGCTCCATCTGAGACCCTCCCTGCTTGCGCCCTGTCTCGCTAAGGTGGTCCATGCTCTGGTTTTCTTGTGCTTGAACTACTGCCATGCACTCTACGTGGGGATACCTTGGAAGGTGACTGCCACTAATCCAGAATGTGGCAGCTAGACTGGGGACTGGGGGTGGCCGCCGGGACCATATAACACCGGTCCTAAAGGATCTACATTGGCTCCCAGTCCGTTTCCAAGCACAATTCAGAGTGTTGGTGCTGACCTCTAAAGTCCTAAACAGCCTCGGCCCTGTATACCTGAAGGAGCATCTCCACCACCATCGTTCTGCCCAGAGACTGAGGTCCAGCTCCAAGAGTTTTCTGGTGGTTCCCTCCCTGCAAGAAGTGAGGTTACAGGGAACCAGGCAGAGGGCCTTCTTGGTGGTGGCACCCGCCCTGTGGAACGCCCTCCCATAAGATGTCAAGGAGAAAAAGAACTATATGACTTTCAGAAGACATCTGAAGGCAGCCCTGTATAGGGAAGTTTTTAATGTTAGGTGTTTAATTGTGTTTTTATACATGTTGGAAGCTGCTATCATTATTGTTCCACGGCTTCTCATGGGCTTTTCCTGGTTCATCTTGGACCTCTGGCCTTAGGCTGTTTTTGGGACCTCCGCTGAACTCCTTGGTAGATCCCAAAGGCAACAGAGGCAGAGAGCAACCTTGCACAGTATGTGTGGCAAGCCACCTCCGACCCAGACCTCCCCTTTGTCTGCTGGGCTTCTGGCTAGACAGGCAGAGATGCCTCAAGACAGCTAATGACAGGTTGCCACCATGCCGTTGATGGATGGGCTGGTTCTTTTGAGAAGGCCAGGGTGCTGGAGTCGTAGGGCAGGGCGTGCCTTGCAGGGAAAAGCACTCTGGAGATTAGGGTCAGGGAAGAAGCTCTGCAACTCTGCAGATGTCTCCAGACTCCAACTCCCAGAGGCCAGCAGGTCTATTTCTTCATCATCATTCTCTGCTGAATACAGGAGGTGGAACAAGACCTCTGTTTATAAGAAGCATTCTCTGCTAAGCAAAAGATGAACTGGTTAAATCAGCATACCCTCTAACATTTCTCTGATGAAAATAGGGATGTCCTATTTAATAATAATGGGACGCGGGTGGCACTGTGGTTTAAACCACAGAGGCTCTTGGGCTTGCCGATCAGAAGGTTGGCGGTTCGAATCCCCGCAACAGGGTGAGCTCCCGTTGTTCGGTCCCTGCTCCTGCCAACCTAGCAGTTCTAAAGCACGTCAAAGTGCAAATAGATGAATAGGTACCGCTCCGGCGGGAAGGTAAACGGCGTTTCCGTGCGCTGCTCTGGTTCGCCAGAAGCGGCTTAGTCATGCTGGCCACATGACCTGGAAGCTGTACCCTCGGCCAGTAAAGCGAGATGAGCGCCGCAACCCCAGAGTCGGCCACAACCGGACCTAATGGTCAGGGGTCCCTTTACCTTTACAGTGGTACCTCTGGTTACGTACTTAATTCGTTCCTGAGGTCTGTTCTTAACCTGAAACTGTTCTTAACCTGAAGCACCACTTTAGCTAATGGGGCCTCCCGCTGCTGCCATGCCGCCGGAGCACAATTTCTGTTCTCATCTTGAAGCAAAGTTCTTAACCCGAGGTACTATTTCTGGGTTAGCGGAGTCTGCAACCTGAAGCATATGTAACCCGAGGTACCACTGTATTTAATAATAATAATAATATATCACCCAACCCATCTGACTGGGTTACCCCAGCCTCTCTGGGTGACTTCCAACATGCATAAAAACATAATATAACATTAAACATTTTAAAAATCCTCCTTAACCCACCTTAAGATGTCTTCTAAAGATTGTGATTTACTTATCTCCTTGGAGGTCACATAGCTCCCTACTCTGATGAAAATAGGGACATCCTAAGGAAAAGAGAGACATTCTGGGATCAAATCAGAAACCAGGACAGATTCTGTAAATCCGGGACCGTCCCTGGAAATTAGGGGCACTGGGAGGGTCTTAATCAGTCACGACACAATGGGCCAAAGATCTAGGTCATAATATTCATATGTCTTCACGAGAAAAGCTGTGGAGCATAGAAATGAAATTTACTGCCTGTTACACACTAAAGGAAAACTATATGAAAATGATATACAGGTGGTATTTAACGCCAAATTGGCAAAGTTATACAAGATAGTATCAAACAAACGCAAAAAACGTAAAATGAAATGTAAAAATATTGAGGGAACTTTTTTTATATGTGTGAAGAGAAAACACCAACAAAAGAAGAATGGACTTTAAAGCTTATGGAGCTGGCGAAACTAGCAGCAAAAATAAGAAACCAACCAAACCATTCATGGACGAATTGAAGCCCTTTTTGGAATATCTGAAAAAATATCATAAAGAGATGAAATCATGACTTTTTAAAAAAGAGACTTTCAATCTCAGGGTTGTGGGTTCGAGCCCCACCATGGGCAAAAGATTCCTGCATTGCCTGGGGTTGTGCTAGATGATCGTTGGAGTCCCTGCCAGCTCTATGCTTCTATGATCTATGATCCAGTCCTCTACGGAGGCCTCAGGGCTTAGGAGAAAGAATGCCGTGAGCCAGGATAGAGCCCGAGGCCCCA